GCTCAAACTTCATCGGATGGAACGGGGCCGTTTCAATGCTCACCACCTGAAGATCTTGGAGAAGATCTATCTCCTGGATGGTTATACTGGTCCCATTGGATTTGGCACTCATGTTGCAGAGGCTTCTACCACATCAGAGGAGCCAGATGCAACAGGGGAGCCTCAGACCCCGGCCCTTCCCCCTACAGGTACCACCCCCAGTCATGAAGTGGATTTAGAAGAGGAGCTGGATGAGGAGCAGGCTGGTGAGGATGAGGAGATTGAGGTTCTTGGTGCCTGCTTTAGTGTACTTGATATGAGTGGTGACGGCCCCCGTAGCCAGGAGGACTAAGTAAAACATATGCATTACTATCTACCTAATAATACCTATGTAATGCAAAAGAAAGCGAGGGGAACAGATGATTATTGGGGGGGATACACGTTGTCGGCGTTGCGCACGACGAGCTCGACGCGTTGCCATCAACAACGGTGAGTAAGGGTTCTTCGTGATGGCATCGAACCCTTTATGGGCAGGAGCGCAATGCCGCCAAGTGCCAAACACCGGTGACTGGTATTCATGGTTGCCGGTGAGCACAGGTAAGAATTTATTATAAAGTCCCTACGCACTACTGGTAGTTATTGCCCAGAGCGTTACAAAAGCCATCTTTGATCGAACTAGACAGGAACAAGCATATCTTGTTCCTGTCTAATAGGACCAAATAGGTGGGGTTCACAGGTGAAGCAAAATAGATGTTTTGACAGAAACACGTCAATTTGGATTGCTACACATGCTTGAAGAAAACTGACCTCGCGCACTTGGTCTAATTGACCAACTCTCGCCAAGTATGCCGATCCAGTATCAGCCCATACTTGGTACCGGACAACCTTCAGCTCATCGTCGAAATCCAACGTGTAGGTGAAAACTTCTTCCCAACTTTTCTGAGTCCCTAACCAGGTAAATTCTCCCTTTCCTTTCAATGCAACGCGACTGGTTTCGGTGTCCACCAAGAACTCCGAGAATGTCAGTCTCTCGTACGAAAGGAGGGAATTGATGATCAGGAAGTATTCTTTGATCTGTGTTGCTCCCAGGAAGGGCCGACCCAAGAAAGATGCCAGCGAAGGCTCCCCGTACTCGATAGCGGAGACTTCCTGTGTTTTGGAGAAATGCGATAATATGGTGTCGATATCCTCCTTCTGCGCAAAAGTATCGCAAAAACTTTGCGCAGCATCAAGAAGCTGTAACCGAGAGCTGCCCATTTCCAAATTGTGAAGTTTTAGTAGAAATTCTCGCAGTCACATATTCTATGCATTTAAATGACGTCACCAAGTTACTGTTCACTGAACGGTGAAAGCAACAGCAATCACCGATGTTTCGTGGCTGAGCGCTGAGGAACAGGTCTGTTTGCAACTCATGACACCGTCTTCCTCACAGTGATTGTCGGAGCTATGTATGAGCATTAAAACCTCCATGCACTGGTATGAAGGGGTGTAGTCATCCACGCCTTTCGTTTCCTACGTATGACAGCCCCCAGAACAGTAAATTTCTAATTCAAGGCCCACTTTGCATTTCGTCTGGGGGAATATCCGGATCAAGCTATAACAAGCTCGTCAGGTTTATCCACAACGTTCTATGAACATCTATTCGATCAACGAAACGTTTGTCTGATCTGAAACACTGCAAGTTGGTCTGGCAGATGCTAATCGGACCTATTTCCGCGTTGACGGGTAGTTCATCCACGAACCCACTCGGTGCTGCTTGCAATGAAAGAGCTAGACAACCTGAGCGACGGTCGGGTCTCGGGTCTACATCAGAACTCACTCTTGTGCAAAGCTCTCCTCCGATTCTGCTCCATGGTTCTTATAGCGACACCATTGAGATTGCAAGCAGTCTTATTGAAGATGCCAACAAAATCATGGGTTTGGCCTCTACGCCGGGGCAGGGTTTGCCCTTCCGATGTTCACCTCGCCTCTCAGTATCTGGGTCTGAAAAACGTTGAGCCAATCACCCGATGACTTGCAGCTCCTGCTAAGACGCATGAGCAAACTCCATCTGATAACGAGGAGAAAAAATGCTGCTTCCTATAGGGCATTTGAAAGGAACACCCATTTTACATAACCTGTCATGTTTTTGAGGACGTAGATAGGGAAATAACCTTTGGCTGTCCTTAGTCTTAGCGGCGCCTTCAATTTTTGCAGAACGTAAATTCGAACGTCCAAAAAATCCCCACCTTGCTTTCAGACAATATGATCTGGACATTAAGCGTGGTTCCTGGGGACCGCGAAAACATCCGACGTTGAGGACATTGAACGGGAAAACATTGCATCCTCCAGGCGCTAGCAGCGCGGATGTATCGGCGGTCACAACAAGAAATCATAGATAAGGGCCGAGTGAGGCCTAATCAAGAAAAGTGTAGAAAAGGTCCGCACTTTGACCAGATTATCGATGGCAAATCTAGAGGAAGTATTCAGATAGGAATTGGATACTGATGGATAGCGCTAGAACCTCCAACAATCATGAAGGCCGCGTGTGTGATTCAAGAACACTAGAAGTGCTTGCCACATATACCGTATGACCTGTCATGACATGGGCACCTTCCATGACTATAGGCTCACGACATGGACGAGTTGCTTTCCATATCTACATTTTACGCCATTAACACCCGTAAGCCTTGAGTCGACGAGCCCCCGTCAGGAGGATGACTCACGACTGTTCCCTACCGCGAATGACAACGGGAGTTTCCTCGGCATCACAACCAACGCGATAAATAGCTTGCTCAACAGGCTTAAGCTTACAAAGTCAACAAACTTGCCTTGTGTTCCGCATTCATAATATATGAACGCCATCCTCATCTCTTCAAAATAAGACACGGATACGATTGGCTTGCTTTGGGAGACTTCATTCATAAGTAGATGGATCCGGTACCTGCGGGACGTCGATCGGATGCGGTGATAACATCGCCTCTGATGTCCTGGGTGAACCTATGCAAAATCAGACACCGTCACCACGTATAAGGATTCGCCTACAGTACTGTCGGTTGAAACAGTAGAGGCTGTAGGCAAGCTAAGTATAAGTAGGGCAAGTAGGAAAGAAGGAGGACTGACAGTAACCGACACGTGACCTTTGTTGTGTACGCGTTGTACTTCGTTGTTGATTGACATAAATGACAACATTGCTCCAAGCGGAGACAGAGGGGATAGACGTTCGTCTCATGCTAAACATGAGGATTGATGTGCTACAACATCCTCATTTCCGGAACGTTACGCACCCGTCTGGGCTGCTATGCGGCGGTTATCTTGTGAAGACACCAAAGTAAACATTAGCAGAAACGGCTGCAGGATGTTAAATTGTCATCTGGATGTCATCTTCTTGCTTCTTTCTTGACCTACAAGCTGGCTGGACCCTTGCTTTGACGGCCTATCATGAGCTGCGCTCTATGGAAGTGGTATACTTTCGGCGGTTCGACGGCCTGCCGCAGTCAAGACAGACACGATCTGGCCAAATTTTGCTTGATTCCACATCCGGAGGCCCGATTGGATTTTATTCCTATCTCGATCTATATCCTCAAAACGCAGGTTCTCCTCGTTGTTGCCGCTTTTGGCTTACAGTATAAGTAAAGCAAGTAGATAGGATTGAGCCTTTCTTCACTCCCTATCGTCCTCCATCTCCAAGTTCATAGCGTCAAGATTTTACATGGCTTTCAGTCCAGCTTTCGATGGTTTCCAGAGCTATGGGCGGCCACTTTCTCATCGGCCATCTATGGTTTACGGTGGCAGTCCGTACTCTCACTCAGGGTCTTTCTACCCTGACGGAGTGGCTTCATCTCACGGAGAAGTGAGTCAAAACCCTTATCCCATCTTCACACCCCTGTTAAACTAGCTGCCAGTATCCCCAACCCGCATATCAGGCATACGCTCCCTCTAGCAACGCGATAGTACCTGTGAACCATCGTCTTGCAGGCTCTTCAGGTAAGCGTTCCGCATCTCCCTTCCTCAGTTTAATGCTCAATTAGAGGGGTGCGTGGTGAACAGCTTATGACGATATAGGGATCCATGATTCTTGTTACCCAGACGAGCGTCGATTATCCATCGGTCACCATGCTCCTACCCCGATGCTCATGCCGCGGCACCGCCGTCATTCCGCAGTGTCATTCGTCGCCCGACCCCCTGCGATTGACCCCTACCGCCGAGGGAGTTCAATTAGCATCAAGTTCAAGCCAAAGGGGTCGCCCACTTCGGGAATTGGTCTGGATGAAGCGCAGGCCCATGTACGCCTGTCAGGCAATGATGCATACACCTTCCACGATCTGCATTCAGACGGTCGAAGGAGGATACATCTGAAGATCAAGGCATGCTCGATTTTGAACTTTGATGATTTCCTCTAACAAATGTATATCCTTGCAGTGGCACGGATACGTATCTCTAACGTACGAGATCCCCTTGGATGGGCACGATGGGCGTGTAAACCTGCAGACTCTCGCGAGGCGTGTGTCTCGGGCGTGTGTTCATTACCTTCAGGTAGGTCAGCGTTAAGTGAGATTGTCGCTGTGCACTCAAATGCAGTAGGCCAACGTCATCCCCGTCGTTTGGGATCGTGTTGTGCTTCATCACCTTGAGGAAGTGTCCTACGGTGTCTGGCAACCGATGCTATCGACACGTTGAACTTTGCTTTGACTCTGACTATGCTATCACCACCTGGTCGAGTGCCATCAAAAGCTCGTGGGGTCGTTGTATTCATACATCTCGGATCCATGGGTCATCCTCAATGGTACGGTGCATGGATGTACTTATACTATCTAATCTATTGTGTTTTTTTAACATTGTATCAACTACGTGGAATATATTTTTGAAGAAAAGATTTAACAACCAAACATTCCATTGATTAATGAGTCGTAAATGGATTACAATTACAGATAGCGGCGCGAACAGCAAAGCTAGCAATACTCCCAAGCGCTAAACCCCCAACCAGACAAAAACTCGCGATAGTGGCAGCGATATCCACATCTTCTACCCGACCTCTGAGCCTGGGGTTGTGTTCTAAGGATGGTGCGGACATCATACATAAACTTGAGACATAGCCATTCGACCAACCAAAGGCAAAGAGAATCGCCATGTAAAAGAAATTGGAGCTAATGACTGGGGGGGATGGTACGATAGATGGTCTCTGGACATTGCACATGAGAAAGACTGGAATGAAGAGTGTGCGGGCCACTGATAGCGTTAGGAGACGTTTCGCCGACCATATTAGAAAGATTGGGTACGAGCAAATGTATCGGCCCAAAAAGTCACCTATATTGAAGACCAAAAAATGGATAGAGCTGAACAGCAGGGGGTGAATGTCTGGATTGGTTGATTGAATGGACGTTGTGATGGCAGGATAAACCGCCTGCAAGACGACGTTAAGAAAAATCATAATGAACGCTGGCAAGGTAAGGCTTACCAACGTAATCACGAAAACATAGGCAACCGCCACTTCATAAATAACATTAGCCTTGGCCACTCGTATAGCGTCGGCCTTTTCATCGGACAAGCCAGTCCGCCTGCTGGATACCAACCCTATTCGTTCGCTGGAGTTTGCATCCTCGTCCAAGATCTTTCTAGGCAGTTGCTCGAGGGGGGCTGCAACACGAGCATAAACTGGCGTTTTCACCAACCAGCCATATGTCATCGCGCTGAAAATAAGGAAGATCGTTGACAGCAAAAGAAAAATGAAGGCAGATCTCTCCTCAGGCGAACCATCGCTGACATATGTGGAAGGCCTCCCATGAACAGAAGCTGCGGCACTAAGAACCTGTACCCCGCTCACTGCCACTGCCACTGCAGCTTGACCGGACATCATTGCTTGGACGGCTGGAGGTCCAAAGAGAGAGGCCACGGCAATGACGGAGGTCTGGAGATATGCGCCAGCTGTAGCCTGGGCTGCGCCGTTGAAAAGAACGAAAACGGTGAACACTCCAGAAGAGGGTACTATGAACGTGCTGAACGTCAATAAGGAGGTAAGGACAATGAGCCAGATTATTGCAATGCGAATTTGACGTGATGGAATAGTCTATGCACATTGATTATGTGAATGGTCGTATATTGAGTATTGGACTGACATGTTTGGTCGTTGCTGTCGCATGGGCCAAGAAAATAAAGTTTGCCGCATTGAAAGACGTGGAGAGGTATGAAGCAAATGTCGATTTAATTGGGGAGCCCACCAATCGCGATAGAAAAAAGGGGGTTGCCGTGATGATGACTATGTATATAGATGTGAGGCATTTGACGGCGGTGAAGGACAAAGTCCGTACCATTCCATGGAAGGAGGACGGCGCATCCCATGATGAAGTGTATCCATCTGACACGAGCATCGACTAATGGTGAAGGTGGATGCAGAACAAGCTGCTCAGTGGCTAAATCGTCGATGGAAGTGCGTGAATCAGAGTCATGAGGAAGTGGATGATACGAGGTTTGTGGAGATTCTGCTCGTTGCAACGACATCTCAAGTCAGACCAGAATTGGACCAGAAGGTGAGTAGACAGGCTATCGATTAATTAATTAATTATTTCTGGGATAACTTGATTTGAGGAATCCGACAGAACCAGCTCCGTGAGGCGACGTTGAAGTCTAGCTTCCTTCTTCTCCTTCCTCATCGCTTTCCTCTTCATCGTCGACTCCTGCGCCATATCCTTCCATCTTCTCTTCCGCTCATCGTCCTTCTTTGCTTTCAATAATTCTCGCCATCTGAACGCTGCTTCTGCCTTTGCGTCCCTCGGGCTACGACCATTCAGGTGTTTCAGTTCATCGGCCATAATTTCATCCAACAATGCCTTGTCATTAGCCTGGCGAATCTTCCACCTCATTAGTTTCTTGGCACGTGAATGAGGGTTAGAAAGTTCTTGAGCAAGGTAAACTTCAACGGGCTCAGAGTCATTGAGAGCGGTTAGGTGTGGGTTGTAGAGCGTGGCAAGGAACTCGTCCTCAGTCGCAGGGCGAGGGATTGGAGCTCTTAAAGATTGTTGGAATGTCGGCAATTTGTATGTGACTTTGACGACCTCCTCACGGGTCGTGTCATAATTTGCGGCTGGGGAAAAAATGCTTTAATGCTTGTAGCTGAAAAGATGGGCTGTATTGCTTACGCTCTGGCAAACTCCTCTTCTCTGGCTTTGGCCAAGGAATCTCAATCCTTTTCGATTCAGCGTAAGGTATCACAGGAACCGTGCTGACAGCGAATCTCTGCCATACATAGCGCTTCCGTAACCGGTCCCATGTTGGATGGGACGTTCCAACTCGTTGAGCGAACACCCTAGCATAGGGATGTCAGAAAATTTCAAAGAACAGCGAGCATACGTACGGGAGAACCTTAGGTTCTAAAACGCCATCTCCTGTTGGAAACTCATAGTTTCCAACTAAAAGTTGACACTTGGCATAATGGTAGTTTTTGGTTGGCGGTGGCTTATCCGCGTCTGTATTGGCCTGTGGCAGATAGTGGCGTCAGAGAAGGGACTAAAATATGTTCGAGAAGCATACCTGCGCAGCACCCTTGACGAACACCCTGCTGCTCATTCGATTTATGCTCAGCACTTCGTGAATATTTTTTGACTTGTCGCCACGCAGGCGAATTTGATCACCAGGGATAATGTTCCAGTACTTTATACGATCCTTGGGACGTACTGATTTAATCTTGGGGTCTCTAATACTTGAACGTTTCAACCAGAGTTTCGGAATGGGAAGGAGATGATTGAAGTTCGTTTGCCATGGGTTTGTTGTTGTCGCTGTTAATACCGTTTTCCGGGTGAAGTATCTGAGAGACATCGCCTAGCTGAAGGGAGTCAAGAACTGGGTTCAGCTTTGCATACAGCCTCTACGAGAGGAGGCAAGAGGTAGGAGGTTGTAGTGGAAAATATATGTCACGTGATTAAATGCTGGCAGGATATTTATATTTTTTTACGATGCAGAAATTATATAAAGTAAGGAGCATACACCGTAATATATCGTGTCGGAGGTCACCACTAAGGCAGCATGGATACATATTGGCAAAACAGTAGAAATACACCTAACACAAAAGAGAAGAGAGCAATAATTAACCTGGCATGAAAAGACCTGAAAACGAAACGTCCATCAAAGAGGTTGCTGAGATTTAGAGACACCCCAAGCCGTCGATGAAGAACTTGGCTCCTCCGATTCAAGAGTCTGTAGACAACGAATATTAGATCTAGAATACACAAACGTTGTTGTTTACCTCGAGTAACATCCCAAGCACTTGATCAACCTCAGAAGGGGGAACACCGCCACAGCCTGCTCCAATTAGTCGCCTATACTCACTCATTCGTCCACTGGTCCCCGCCTCCGCCTGGAAGGTAACCATTTCCTCAAACATGAATTTTCTCCGTTGCCGGTGCTGAGTAACGTCCTCTCGTAAACTTTGGCATAACTGCCGGAGCTGATCAGGGTCCGTAGGTATATCTGCGTGAAGAGCGATCAAATCCGATATATCCTCCGTCTGGATGGATGCTTTCTGTTTTCCTTTGGTTTTTTCACCATCCGCTGGCGCGCCCGCTTCGACTTCATCCTCAACCTGGTATATTGCGGTAGTCGACGTCATACTTAATTCCCCGTTTTCCCCGTCACGGATGATTTTCTCCCTGATTTCTTCGCCCTTCACCCACTTCTCCCAACCTAAACGGTATCTTCGACCCATCTTGTCAATTAGGCCGTTCTCAAGATCTTGCAGGTGTTGTTTGGCCTGTGACAAGCCTTCGGCTTGTGCTTTTAAATGCCCCACTGCTCGCTGACTCTCTAGAATCTCTGCTTGTATGTTACTGAGCAATGCCTGTGCTTGCGTCATGTCCCGCTCCTTGTCTCGGAGCTCCTGATCAAAGGAGGCGGCTAAACTATCCAACATGGTCGCGATGTCATTCACGCAACGCGTGCTGGCCTTCTGACCAGCGATGGAATGGTGAAGAGGCGGTCTGTCGCCGTTGGCGGGAGCGAAGGAGTAGTTGGATAAGGCATTGGAAGGTGGAAATGCAACTTGTGCATTGCGGAATGACAGATTCGTTACACGGGATGGCGGAATAGGCGAAGAGCGAAAACGCTCGTCTTCCAGAATGTAGTCCTCGGTGCTCTTGCCGTCGTGATTCACAATCTTGGGATCCGCGCCATGATCAATGAGAATTTTTACCAAACGTTTACTGCGACACCGGGCAGCCATAGTTAAAGCTGTTTCACCGTCTTCGTCTTGAAAGTTGATAACATCCGCGAGTTCCTTCGGGTAATCTGCGAGTCGAGTGAGAATTGTTTCCATGTAATATCGCGCAGCATGCGTTTTTCCTTTTGACATGGCGACGTCAACGACGTGATGAAAAACTGTGCGGTTGTAGTTGTCGATGTTGAGCGTAGAACGATGCATCAACTCATACAATTCCGGAAATTTGCGAACATCATAGTTGTTTGCGAACATAACGCTTCGCATTAGAGGCGTCTGCCCAGCTTTGTTAACCTTGAAAATGTCGGCGCCGGCCGTCAGAAGCAGTTTCACAATCCGGATACGTCCCATGGCGCAAGCCCAGTGCAAAGAAGTGTGGCCATCATCGTCAATGGCCATATTTGGGTCGAAGTCTTGAGGCGGTGAAATGAGGACAGGTGGAATTTGATTTGTGTCCGAAATGAAGTACTCCAGGACCTGGTCCCCGTATGACCTGGCATCGGAGGTACCGTTCAACCTTGGGCTGTCATCTCCAGACAGCTCGTCATAATGATCGTCGACAGAGCGACGATGATTACTTTGACTGGTGTTCAAGGGATGGTGAGCATCATCAATACCATTAAATCCATGTGAAGGTCTGGGGCTGCGAATAGGGGAGGGCGTACGCGAGCTAGAGGACGCCTCTGATGGTGAAGGAGTCATCGAACCATCCTCCGATCCACGAATTGACAAGGTGTCATGATCAGATTCATCCTCAATGGGATCTATAGGTTGTTTACGAGATGACCTCGTGTTAACCACGACCGTAGCGAGGTCTGCCACAGGAGCTCTGCGAGTGGGGCGACTTGCTGTGGTCGCGACGAGGTGTTTCGGAGCCAGAGGCGGGCTCTTAGCAGCAGGCTGAAATTCAATGATGGGTCGCAATAGATGTTCACAATTATATTGCTTCGCAAGGCCAAGACCGCGTTCGAGAGGAATCCATGTGCCTACACGCGCAGTCCTTTGTAAATACAGCAGTGATGGGAGACTAAGACACATACCCTGGTACTTTCCATATCCTCCTTGCACCTTTTCGTGCTCACCCTTTTGGACTTCGCGTTCCAAGACACGGGTCCGCTGTGGTTTGTCGAATCCAGCTACCTTCAATATCTGCGTCGCGTTTAACCACGAATCGGAACGCCGCCTCATCACCGCGACGCTTTTGCACATCCTGCACGTGTCAATTCACCGAATATTCTTTGTATATCGCGCTGAACAAAGCTCACATCTCATATACGGGTATACCGCTATAGGTAGCCTATAGACGAAGAGGAATTATTAGGTTGAATTGGGGACTGGTGAATCGCCAACCTTGAAAATTTGTGCATCAGGCATGGCCGTTACAAGGTTCCGTATAGCACTATGACGGAATACCGGTTGCTTCTTGGTGCTTCGCGTCTTATATGACTTTTAGCGTGGTGAGCACGGTAGGCGTTGATCAAGCAATCGTTGACTTTCGCGACTTGGCCGCCTGATGGACGCGACAAAACAATAGAGGTAAACAAGCGATTTTGGAATCTGTCCAGTTAGTATCCACTGCTTCCTTGGAATCTCCAAAACTGCTTGAATTTGTACTTTGTAAGTTTTATGTTCTTCATTCACGCAGCCTCAAACCGCTGACCAACTTTTTTGATTTCTATAATTTTTATCAGAATTGAATTTGGCTAGTACTTATTACGTTCTGGATATACATACAGTCATCCACCTGCTAATGATACACCCAAAATGAGAAATTAGCTTCAACAGATTTGAGCACAACCTTTCTCTACAAAAACTACATGAAATTCTCAGATAAATGCCCTTCTATGACCATACCAAATTTCAGAATGTTTGACCCACATTTCACAGAGAAAAACTAAGATTGTGGGTGTATCATTGAGGGGTGTGACTGTATTTGGCTATTTCCGAAAAACAGTCCATTTTGTATGCTCCACAGCTTTGCCAATTCTGCCTCAATTGCATCCAAATTATGTATGGTGGTAGATATGAGTTTGTACTACTTGTTACAACTTGTTTCGTAAAAGTCGGTGTAGTATTGAGCGAGATATTTGCTAGTCAAAAGTGTTGGGTGGTGTATCATTAAGGGGTGGATGACTGTAATACTTAAAACTCTCCAATTCCGCCACAATAACGCTACAGCGCTCCTGTAATATTAAATGCAGATGAGCGGGTTTGCGCTCGCGGTAGGATAACTATCTCATCTTATCTCATACATATGTTGGCCCAATCTTGGCAGCTAGCCTCTGGAGATTTTCTGATGGATTCCACTCTGTTCCAGGGCTGTCCAGGGGGCCATGTCACGACTCTGAACATTTCTTGGTGCAGAACAATACAACCAAACAGGAGCCTCACGTGGTAAGCGTGTTCAAGCAGCGTGCTGTTTTGTTCTCCAAGCTCTTGCTCCTCCTTGTTCCCCCCTTTTCCCTCCCCCCGACGCGCAGCATCGCCGGTATGGCTCCAAAGTCTGAGCCATTGTGCTGTTTTAGCGACAGGTTTGTCGTTTTTTCCATTATGCCACCATCTCGAGAGCTACACATGTTCAATCGCTGTTTTACAGACTCTACTTCACAACGTTCCCCCACCCCCCTCCCAATCCGCAAGCACTCAATCGTATAGCCGCAGAACCTGGAAATCAGCCGCGCCTACGTGGGCGAGCAAGAGACGGCCCTTCGGTTTCACCAGACGACAGTGCATCATACTATTATTTCACAATCGACGACCAGCTGCTGTATCTATCGTTCTTTCAGGACTGGGGCCCACTGAACATTGCCATGGTATACAAAGCATGTATCCTAATTCACGAACTTCTCGAGGTGCGACACGATTGTTGCATGTTCTACCCCCGTGCCACTTACACGTGTTGTGCCCTACGTGATATAGGATAAAGATCTGGCTTCATACCGACTCGTTCTTTACTCCTCAGACGACCCGAGACGAAAAGCGAACGCTGCTTTATTGATGGCTCTTTACTCGGTATGCGATTTGTTCGGCTGATGACTTTGTTTTCACTGAACTCGCCGTAAAGATGATCGTACAGCGTCGAGCCCCGTGGGAAGCTTTTCATCCCATTGCGGAGATGGAGTTTATGCCATTCCGAGATGCGGGGCGGGGGCCATCCGACTTCAATTTGAATATTCAAGATTGCCTTTGGGGAATGTGGAAAGCAATGCAAAACGGTCTTTGCGACATGAATGAGTTTAGTGTGGAGGATTATGAATTTTATGAGAAGGTGGAAAATGGCGACTGGAATTGGTTAACGCCGCATTTCATCGCCTTTGCTTCGCCAGTGGATACCAATTGGATCAAGCGGGACAAGGAGGCCAAAGAAGGGAAAACGAATTTATCAGGTGCTGGTGCTGACTCTTCTTCCTCAAATAGCAACAACTTAGCCCTTCAACGCAAACTTCCAACACCTTTCCTAAATTGCCTCGACTATTTCGAAAAACGGAACATCAAACTTGTTGTTCGTTTAAACACGGAACTTTACGACCGAAATACATTTTTGGATCGCGGGATCGATCATATGGAACTTTATTTCGACGATGGCACGAATCCTACGGACGAAATTGTCCGAACCTTCATTGATGTGGCTGATCGGGTCATCGAGGCTGGCGGCGTGGTGGCCGTACACGTACGCCCTCTCCCTTATACAAACAAAAAAATTCTGATCCTTCAACTTGTAGTGCAAAGCGGGTCTAGGCAGGACAGGCACGCTTATAGGAGCGTATATGATCTGGAAGTATGGATTCACAGCCAATGAAGCGATCGCGTTCATGCGCATCATAAGACCTGGCAGCGTTGTGGGCCCTCAGCAGCAATACATGTATCTAAAACAATTGGAATGGGCTAAGTGGGCTGCAGTGGACGAATGCCGGAAAGCACAAGCAACCTGTGCGGTGCCCTCTGCGGCCCCCGTCGCGCCAGTGACGCCTCCAGCAGAGACAGACGACGAAATGGACGCCATACAGACGACACCTACCAACTCCCTTACCACTCTACCTCCAGTGACTCCCGGTCGACATATAGCCACTGCTGCTGCTAAAGCTAAGGCGATTGCTCCTCCTGGACAGCCCCGTAAAACTCCCGCCAAACGTGTGGCTCAAGATTCCGACGAAGAAGACTCAGAAGACATACTCCCAGATCTAAAATTCATCCCTACCGCTCGGAAAGTAAAACCACCTGGACCACGAGGGGTCACTTCCTCAGAGCAACGTCCTGCTCGTGTTACAAGGTCAACGGCAGGCGCAGCGAACATTCGCAAGACGGGAATGGCTCCGCCGCCTTCTTCCCCAGCCAAATCCTCACGCCAAGGACCTAATAAGATCCCCAGATTGGCGACGACACGGACGACCTCGGCCGCAAAAGCCGTTGCAGCGGCGGCTTCCCAACAAACGCAACCGCGAACGACCCGTGCCCCGCCATCCCCAACACCACCTTCACGATTACCCACGTTAATTCCCTCGAAGAAACCGCACCACGTGTCGTCACTTAGCGAAGTGGTGAATGTGAATAGTTTCAAACGGAGTGGAACTCTCAGCTCTGATGCTTGGGTAGCGACCAACACGGCCGCTGTCGTGGTTCCAGCGTCCAAATCGACACGTCCCGGACTGAGAAGCGTACGGCGAAGACGAAGTAGCTTCAGCTCCGCAGACGTTGTTGCCTGATATCCCACTATCTATGCTTTCGACTGATGTGATTTTTCAAAATCTTCGGCCACTTGGGATCATTTCCCCTGATATCTACCCGGAAAGAGTTACACCTTCTCTCTCATCATGTCATATGCAATCTCCCCATTCCCCTAACTTGCCATAGCTTTCTATCCTGTCTTCTCTATTTATACCAGTTATCATCTTCCAATTCATTCTACGTCTGACCTTTAGGATTGTTCGCTGGACTCCTGGTTGTTGACAGTTTATTCCAATATCTACATGTAATCGAAGATATGTGCCCAATTATCAAGAACGAGACGAATATTTGTGTACGCATTCGAAGAACCATTTCAAATCTTCTGGATCAACGCCTGGAGTGATTCCGTGTCCCAAATTGGCGATCCACCCGCCTTCCCCAGCTTGGAAGCCTTGACACATCCGCTGGACCGCACTTTCAATAGCGTCTCGCCCGCCGTACAGAACATTGGGATCCATGTTGCCTTGTAAGGCTACCTTTTTTCCGACGATGCGACGAGCTTCGACAGGGTCTATACACCAATCCAGTCCAAGGACATCGTACCCAGAATGTTCCGCGAGAAGCCCAAGAGCATGATTGGCGCCCTTTGCGAAAAGTGTCATAGGTGTTGCTGGCAGGTTCTCCTCCACCAGCCGGCGTCGGACATTTGTAGAAATATATTTCAGAGTTGGAAATGAAAAAATGGAAAAATCGTGTGGCGACAACTCCCCCGCCGTAGAATCGAAGACTTGAAGAAGCTTATATGGGGGAAATCAATGGGATAATTTATGATCAGCAATATTGTACAGACCTGCGCTCCAGCCTTGACTTGACCGACCAAAAAATCAACACAGACATCCGCGATTTTCGCAAGCAACGCTTTAGACTCCTCTGGATATTTGAAAATCCAGGTTTTAGCCTTTTGGTACGTTTTACTTCCCCCACCCTCAATCATGTATCCGAAAAGTGTCCATGGCGCCCCGCAGAACCCAATCAAGGGAACCTCACCACCCAAACATTTCCTTGTCCTTGTGATGGCTTGAAAGACATAGTTGAGTTCCTTATCAACATCGACCACAGATGCCAGCTTTTCGACGTCTGTGGGAGTGTCGAGAGGATGAGGGAAATAAGGGCCTGGATTCATCTGAACCTCCATTCCCATCGCCTGTGGGATAACGAGGATATCACTGAAAATTATGGATGCATCCAGGAGCCCGGTGTACCGCTCGATAGGTTGTAAAGTGACCTCTGAGGCGAGCTCTGGGCTTCGACATACTTCGAAAAATTCATGAGATTCGCGCACTTTACGGAATTCTTTGGACAATGGAGAACGAGGATTAGATTGTGAGGGATGACATGAACGCGAGGTTTATACCAGGGAGATAACGACCAGCTTGTCGCATGACCCAAACAGGTGCTCTCTCAGTCACCTCACCTAATGACGAAATCAAGGCGATTCTGTACGTTCATGAGTAACTCGAGCAACTCACCTCGCGCAGCACGAAGTAAGAGGTCATTCTTCAAAGGCGGGAAGTCTGGGGTCATGGTGATTTGGTGAGCGAGGATTACGCTGAGTTATGTACCTGTAGAAGACTTTGGTACAAGAGATGAAAAAAGCTACGCCGGGTTAGGACCCTGGTATATGCTGTCAAATGTCCGATCCAAACAAAAAATCTCGGATCTGGAAATTTCGGCAATTCGGCAGTTCGCCGTTTCGCACAACACGTTGGAATTTCCCATTTTAAATTTCTAAGAAGGCGAATGTACATCGAAATGCACATTCAATGAGAAGATGAATATTAACATACCCGCCATGTAACAAAGTTCAAAGTGATTGGAAGCACACAAAATTTATAATGTCTACGAAGGTGAGAGTGGGCGGCGGATATGGCGAGCCTGTATATGCATCCGTCTATCCTCCTCCTTCTACCAATTTCAGTGTCCCCCAGATTCAAGGTTCTCTAGCAGCGGTTGGCGGCGGTCGCACACGACGAAGGCGATGGCGGGAAGCAGCTGCAGCTGAACGATGCAGTGCTGGAATTAGATGGAGGAAATTGCAAAAGCAGCACCATAGAAAGAGAGAGACGGCGGAATGAGAGGGGGAGGCAGTGAGCATCTTCTCTCATCGCACTCCTCGTAAACGGGATAAAAGGCGGGAGAATTCCGCCAGGCAAAACACACAGGCAGGATCCTTCGAGTTTTGCTCTGGTGTAATTTGTGGGATATAGTCAGTGAGAATGTTGAGGATAGAGTCTGGACGTCGATCTTTGCGCAGGAGTGCGTGAGCTTGACCAACAGGAGCCTGTTTGTACGCTTGACAGTACATTTGTAACGCGGTCTATAACCAAGAATGATGAAGGAAGTCGGGTTGCTAGAGCTTTCATGCTCACCTCGCTACCTTCATTTGTCTCGCAAATGTCGTAAATATCGTGTTTACTGTGGTCGTGCTCCTTGCAGGACACGATGGTGCTCATGCAGCCTGACTCACCCATCGTAGCAGCGTATAACAGCGCCCCCAGGTTCGCTGCGCAGACAACATTTCTGTAGGATTCCGTGCCAGGTGAGCCGCATCATTGTCAGGTATCGTTAAAATACTCACAGTTGTCGCTGCTTTGATCCTTTCTGTTATCCATTTCCGTCATCTACACCTCCATGAGAGATCATGTCGCCGAGCACTGCTGATGACTTGAAGAGCCATAGGGAGAACGTCAGAGTTCATAGAGAGGTTGACGCTGGCGTTGTGTTGATTTGGCAAGAAGGGAAGTCCGATCATTCGGCGATTCGGCGATTCGGCGAATTGCCGAAATTTCCAGATCCCAGATGTCCTCGATCCAAAACGGCCAAATTTTGGCACTTACGTACGGACGATTTTTCGGCGTTTCTGTCCGCAATTCGGATCCTACTTATCTTTTTGGACCATTTCCGTCCGCAATACCTATCGGACATGTAAATGCTCGAGATCCGTGCACATAGAGGATGAGAGATGGAATTTAGGTCAAAATGTCCGCATAAAACAGAAATAAAGTAAAAAACGGTCGTAATCAGGTCAGAGTATCCCTTCTAACCTCCCAATGTTTCCATATTGCAGTGCTGCATGAGCCACGGAATTGCCAAGTAAGATCTTAGTTACAAAGTCCTCTGAAAGTTTGTGTTCTGGGCCAGGATGAATGACGACAATAAACTGCCTGCTGAAACCATGACCTTCAAAAATACATTTAGCAAACAAAATGAGTTGAGCAACTGACCTTCCAATATATTCCAAAATCCCGACATCGTTGATTGCAATAGATTGCAATGGGGTGAAAGGAGCGCTGTGGTAATTAATGGCTGATGCTGAGTCGCGCTATTCCCAAGTGGATTATCATCGTTGAGAACGATGATGCGGTGCGTCGCTCAGAGGGCTTGGGGAAAATAGAAGATGTGGGAGGGGTTGTGAAATTTTTTGAGCTCAAACCCAACTCAAGCCGACAGCTACAAACGTACGAAATTTGGATCGGACCTCCGTACCGACTGGCCATTTACAGACGCAAAATGGATCAAACCTCCGGCCAAAATTCGGGCTTTCCGTACGCATAAGGATCGAAGGTGAGACGATTTCAGTAAGTTTGGGAATTGGAAGTTACGGCGTGCATAACGGCGATCGCTTACGGCGGCACTTTCCGTGACAAAAAAACGTGACCCGCCACACAACGCGTTGAAACGCCTGTATCGTGCGCGCTCATCCGCATCACATTACCGCCAATGCTACCCGCCTCCAACGCCCTCGACAAGCTCAAGGTGCACCCTGTATTTTGAAACCTTACCGTAGATGGTGTTGTGATATTCACATGCCAAGTTGCCAGCCACCTCAAACGCGACATCCTCCAACCACAACCGATCCCTCGAAATAACTCATCAATTCTGCCCTCCGCCTTGCCTCCGCCCATCACGAATTTTCTTGGAGCTTCTCTTGGAATGTCTACCGATGACATTGATGATTGTTGGGATCTATTGCAAGATTATGTGTGGGAGATACCTGGTATTGCCGCTTACATCAAGGGACTTTCATTTGTTCAAACAATTTGGATGGCCGTGTGGATTTAGTTGAGTAGATACATTCATTTGTAAATGGAATCACTTTTCTTATAAAATGTAGCTGCAATATCCATATACCCGCCTGATGAACTCGTGAACTAAGCGCTAAAGTAATCACGTGATGACGGCGGAAACTGCCGCCGTAAACGATCGCCGTAATTACGGCGCCGGAATTTCCAATGTACGAATGCCCTCGACGATTTTAGGTCCCATTTCCGTCCGCATAAGGATCGGACATTCTATAGCATATACCAGGGTCCTGCCGGGTTCTAAGGGAGCCTGTGACACTAAAATCACGTCTTACTTCAAGCTGCCGCGTCAGATGCCTCTTGTCACTCCGGTAGCACTCGTCGAGGAGTAAATATGCCCTATCGTAACCGTGGAACATATCTGTAGCTAACCTTGATTGTAGGTTCAAGAAATCTGGCGAATTTGATCGTTTACGAAGAGAACTCCTCACTCAGTTCCAGAGCGACGTCTGTTCCCTCTTATTCCGTAACGGCTCCGTCATTTGAATAACACCGTAAGAAGGATTCTTTCCCAGCCTTCAAGTCCAAAATTGAAGATATGGCAAGGCATTGGCTCTTTTCGGAGGAGATGATGCAATACTTGCCCCAGGATTCTGTGCACAAAGAACTTGCTCAGGAAATAGACAGGTAATTAGAGGTAACTTTCGACAAGTTTGTAGTCACCCTTCAACGCCTTTCCAGATATCCAATCGTAAGCAGAGCAATTTTGAATGTTCAGATGCTCTCCGATGAAGCCTTCGCCGCAAACATCCATTCTTCAGTTCAGAAAATTCTTCGTGAAGATAAAGGAGAAGGCTCTACCATCCCAAATGGTTTGTACCAGTCAGCAAGTACCTATAAATATGCGTTCATACTTGCATTTTAGATGCCGTGGGTCAGCAACCTAACGGAGAGCATCTGCAGAAGGCAGGCGACAATACTCAACACTCTACCACAGGCCTCGCCTCAGAACCTAACGACGCAGCAATTGCTGATCATTCTTAACTTTACCCCCCTACTCGTTCCCCGATCCGTAACTGCCGCGATGTCGATAGAACCGAATCCTTCTTGTGAACACACGGGGCTAACTAGTAAGGCAACACTCGATGCCTTCATCTGCAACCAACCGACTATGAGCCCCAACCCCTTTCAATATCCGACAGTTGGATGGCAGGGTTCGAGGGAAATCGATGCACTACGATAGTTCTGCAATTTTCCAAACATCATGTCTGCTGGCTTGTTGCGTTGACTCACTTCAAATATTTATAGCGTTTGACAATAATAATGAACTAACCGGCAAGAAACGACACGAAAAATTCAAGTTACATGGGCTCCTCCGATTGGATCAAGGATATAGCCTTCTCCGAGCGTGGCGTGATTGAGCATTTAAATGGCTTGGGATGACTGGCGATGAATATGTGTAAAATGTCGTTGCAATGGACCAGACCAACATCACAAACCTGATAGTTCCTGAAGTGTTCTCGTGAAGAGGTTCAATCACTACACCATCTTCAACGGCCTTCGCTATATTAAATACGGCCAAAGATGTTACGCAAGCAATATATACAGAAGCATCAGCGAGGTGATAACCTGAATGCGGTTTGAGATAATCTTGGTTAGGTTAAATAAAAGGGAAAAAGTACCAGGACAGGCCCTATAATTCTTTCAGTTAAGTGTCATCACAATGAGCCAAGCAACATACCGTCGACCGAAGCCAAACGAGAAATTTCGAGGATCAGTTTCGGGAGGCGAACCCTCCGTGGACATAAAACGGTCTGGGTTGAACTCCATTGGGTTGTGGTATACTCTCGGGTCATGGGTAAGTTTCCTGTTCTACGAATTTAGAATTTTTGGAGAAAGTCAGAGCGAAGACATCACATACCAGATGTTCGGAATGATTAAAGATCCCTTAGGAATGAAAAAGCCGTCGTGAATGTCGTCTTCCATTGCCCGGTGAGGTACAGCTGGAAAAGAAACATTTACATAGATAGCCCTCTTGAAAGTACTGGCCACATACCAGTTGGGACCACGGCATTCCACCTGAAAACTTCTTTCGTGAGAGCATCGACGTATGGTAGATTCTCCCGATCTGCAAACGTAGGAAGTCTATCGCTTCCGACAACGGCATCGATTTCTTCCTGCGCCTTCTCTGCAACAGCGGGATAGAGAGCGAGAGCAAGGAAAAAAGAATAAATTGCCGAAACCGTCTGGTGGTATGTCAATAAGGAGCGTTAAAGTTATGGGATTGGCCCCAACCGTATCTGCAGCGCCTGAGAAATATTGTGATGGTAAGATATATATATAATTTGCACGAAGGCCGGACCCATGCACCTGAGTATAGACTTGCTGCGCTCCATTTAAGATCGAATTCCTCATCGGCTGTGAGTTTCTGACCTTCTAGTAACGCGGAGGAGAAGGAATGGGTAGCCGTGCCAGCGGCCTTGCATCAAGAGGTGAATTGTAGTTTTTTCTCGCGCGTGTCAAACATACCATCTGCTTCTTCACAAAATCGTGCGGCTGCTCCACCATTTCAAAGAGTGTAGCAGCCCAGACTGATGCCTTTCTGCGGAAGCCAGCTCCCGGAAACCACATCGGAATGTAGCGCACTTTAAACAGTTAGGGATAGACGCAAAGGACCCCGGAAAGACTCACAAGCAGGAATCAAGTCAACCAGGAAGCCACCAGGGGCGGTCGCGATGGAGAATTGCTCTGTCGCTCTGTCTGCCAATTCAACAAAAGGATCGTTGTGTTCCTTCACGTCATATCCATGAGATATTTTAAGAACAACAGCACCGACGGTTCTACGATTCCAATGTCAATCATTGGGTTTATTTTTTGGCACAAAACAGAACCTACTTGCGAACATGGACAGCCAAGTCTTCCGGCTTCATCAGAACTCTGCGCAAGAACCGACGCGCCTCCAACTCCTCGATGGGAAGGAAAGCCTTCATCGCCGCTTGGCTTCCGATCAACTTATGGAAAAGGCGACGATATCGTCGAAAGCGGTCGCCGTACTGTAGAAGCACTAGTGTATTTTTCCATCCGACAAGTTCCCCACCCATCTGAAGAGTGGGTCGGTCAGAGTAAATCGCACTTTTCTTCTCCAGGATATCAATAACAGCCTTCGCGGAGTTAAGAATAATGAGAGGTTGGCCGAGAACCGTGACAGAACAAATGTCACCTAAACTCGAAAGTCAGCGGATTGCGTGTCCTGCAAAAAGACAGAGAGATACTAGCCCCATGTTTCACCCCAACGCGCAAATGTTTGCCATTCTTTTTCAGACGGCATGTCCAGAACATTTCCAATGAAGGGCAAGCCTTTCGGCCCAGGAGGAAGGGATGCGAAAGCCCTCTTCCGTCGTGGCAGCTTTTGGAAAATCCACAGGGCGGCAAAGAGAAGAAAGAAACACACAGATATGATACAGTTAAACGCCATGACGGGAGATGAGGACAAACGCCAAAAAAAAAATGAAGATGTTGGGTATCGAAATTTATCGTTCGGCGCTTTTAAGGAGAGGGAATGTGCCAGGATAGGATCAATCCCGATCTGGTTCACAGGGTGAGATTTTTCACTTTTGACTAAATCAGAAAAAAAGCATGAGAGAAGTCCGCGGTACACATCGTACCTTTCCACGCTCGATCTAAGTCATTCATCTGGGCACGACGTTGCGACTGAGGTGAAATGTGTCGTCATTCACTAGTTTGAGGAGAGTGCAATGGCGAATACGCCCAAATCGTGAAGTTCTCAGTCATTTCCAAAGTTTGGTGGTAAAGATCCCTCGAGATTGCCCGTATGAATCGTGGCTTGGATGCAACCAGGGGTTCTTTTTCATCAAAGCCAGATGTGTGGCGAATCTGTTGCTATACAAACAGCGCTTCTGCAATTGCATGTTGAGCCGTACGCTCCTTTCTAACCGATAGCTAGACGAGATCTGCAGGAAGGATAACCTCGAGGCCAGCAGGACGCACGCGCGGGGCAATCCATCGATCAGCCATCCAGAATTCGTTGGAGGAACATGGACTGCGTTTCTCGCGTAGTGTCCCGATCCACCTGCTTTTCCCCGAACCTTTGCAGCGCTATGGCAAACCTTTACTTAATGGTCGTCGTCGTGGTGACGTGCGAGTAAAAGGAAAGAGGAAGTTTTACATGCGAAGTTTGTGATACAAACAAAGTACACAACAGACCATAAGGTTTACAAAATCGTACACTAGCCAGCGAATGTCGGAGTCTCGTCCCGTTAGAAAGCACCATCGGCCACCGTCGACTGGCGCAACAGTTAATCGGCGTCGTCAGCAAGCTCTAAGTGAAATTTTACCTCTGGTCCATATCGTTCGCGAGAAAAATCTTGCATTGTTTCTATCTTAATAGATATGTTCGTAGGCCTCTAGGGTTCTGGTTCAGGAGACGGCCAAGGGAACAATGAGAAGGAAGAAATCACCAGTGAGCCCACTTGCCCTTCCCCCGATTTTGAGAAGTTCTGCAAGGAAAACGACATTTCGTCGCTGTCTTCACCTAATTCACGAATGCCGTTTCGAGCATTTAACGTTGCTAGAACAGAATTGCTATAGACTAACATTGGACAACACCCCCATCAAAAAAAAATTTGAAAAGAGTTCAAGTTTACTGACGTCGGCCCAAGCTGAAATAAAACGCCACGTAAATGAGAGTTTGACCCCAAATCAGTATCTGAAGATGCGGAAATTCATTTGTCAGGACGTCCACTCATATAAATCATTCAACTCACGGAAATCAGGGATGCAACGGCGCAGATGCTAGTTAACATGCCAGTGCTAACGGTAAAAAGAATCTGCGGCGACGTGACTAATAATTTTCTGTGTGTGAATGGAAAACTGTCGACGACGTACTAATCTGCTAATCATCGTATCCGACCTTCCCATGCAACTATGAGTCTAAGGAGCCGAAGGAACCGTGAAACAACTTACTTTTTAAACCCAGTCCTCGAACGATGGAGAAAGTAACAGAGGGAGGCTGCAATGAGAATGTCTGCTACCGCGGCTAATATATTCACAGTAATTGAGAGGCCCTTCCAGATATCAGTTTGACAAAACTCTGTATCAAATCATCGACATACCTTCAGTCGAGTCAGTTCACCCCAAGTTTGCAGTCGCATGCTGTGTTGATTGAGTTGAAACCTTCAGAAACAGCGCAGGCAGCTCACGATTGAACTGTAAAAACTAAGCCATTCTCAATCATTCTTGTTCAAAAAGATTTAAGGTAAGACTGACCAACGGAACAGCCTTCGTGAAAATAGCTTGGTTAGACATCCGCCGGGCAGCAGCGAAGCTGAAACTTGCCAAATTCCGCCAGAACCAATGCGCCCTGACGTCAGTTAAAAACAAAGTGACTGAGTTGGAGAAAGGAAACTGACCACAACGGCTGTCAACGGGATGTTTTGACTGCTCACTGTAATCTCGTAAGCGCGGCTCGTTCAAGATAGAAGGGCTGGTTGCATCCGTACACCTCCACACTCTCAGCGTTAAAAACCTAAATAAAAAGTAATGTCCAGCACTGGAACGCGGAGTACGTGAATGGTAGCTAACATTTGAACCAAGAAGCCAATGAAACCCTGTCGAAGGCGTTTTCACAATCTTCGGAACCTGCTGCGCAAGACCAACTCACATTAAACAACACTTCAAGCTGAATAAAAATGAGGTTATTAGAAAACCGCAATTGACCAAGAACGTCACACACCAGGATGCTCCTATATTTATATTAGAGATTTCATCATAAGAAATTGTGGAAATTTCACACCAGACCATATTCGTAAGGATAGCGGGATTATTGTAATTGGAGATGACATAGTAATACACTGTTGAAAAGATTCATCCAACAAGACGCGGAAAGCTGTGGGAAGCGAATACCAGTGTGAGAGATGAGCATTTGATGCACACTATCAAAGAACCAGACGCCTCCAACCTAAAGTATTGATATCGGTCGACACGGAAAATTAACAATGGAAAGCGCACGTACAAGTGCTTTGATGTACCAGACGTCCTGAACAACCATGAAAATAAATCTTGCAGCAAAGCAAACTGTTTCGGGTACCTTTGAGTAACGATTGAAATAATACCACGTCTGAACGCAGGATACTGCAGCGGCCCCGTAGTAGGTAAATGTTTGTGGACGTTAGACGAAAAGTACCTCCATAAAGCCTGGAGGGAGAGTCAACCTTCATCTCTGGTAGAAATCCGTAATAACTTGCATCGCAGCACAGATTACCCCTATAAGTGATGCTCCCATCCTGAGTTGGATCAGTCTATGCGTTAACATATATAGATAGGGCTGACGTGTTATCGACACTATGAGTGCTCTGCCGACTGTCGATCATATTCCGTAGCAGATGCGAGATAGTGGTGTGAGGACAAGTCCCTTTATCTTCGACGTTCCACGCTTATAAGGTCTTGAACAACGGTCAAGAAGCTTGGAGAATCAATGGTGGATTCCGAAGTCTGATCAGTGGCAGGCAATATGGTTAGGCGACACGTCCGTACCACGCAGAAACGTATTGTCCCCATGCGTCGACGAGATACGGCAGTCGTCGGATGTTGATGACTATGAGTCCATACTAGGCCTTTCTATTAGGAGCTTCCAGTCCCAAGCTTGACACCAATGAGGCGACTCGGGAGACTTCGGACACGTAAAATCGTCGGACACACGTGCACTTACCTGCCTTCTCGATATTAGAATATGGTTCTAAGGCACGGAGTTGGTCCAGTAGACCTTCAGTGTGAGGGTTGTGATGTAAGCCAATACCCAAGCTGTTGGAAAGCAGCGTCCAGTTAGGCAAGCGGCTGTTACTGAGCAGCAGAAACTATTCAAGTAGGTGGTGGCGCCAAGTGGATCGTGATTAGTCTTCTTAAACGATGTGCAAGCCTTATTCGGTGGGTGAAATCAGGCTGCGGTCGTAATGCGCGGGAGTAAGATTTGGACAATTTCATACAGTGTTATCATTGTCATGGTGGGTGCACGAGGATAGGCTAGAAGTTCTGCTCCCCTCGTTTTCGAGGCTGGTGCCACTGGGACTTCAATTGAAAAAAGCAACTGACGGCATTGCAGATGTAATGTGAGAATCAACATCTCGTGGCATTTGGAGTGAGGAAGTTGTCAGAAACAATGAAATTGGTCGATGTAGATGGCAGATGGTGTAGCCAAGCGACGCCAAACACACCCTCAAATTTCCTACATATTGCCAACAAGTACAAAACAAGTATAATATTTAGGTATGGCAGTGAGTCTTTCTGCAAGCTCTCGTTGATATTCTGCCTGACCTCTTTGTTACTATTTTAGAGTCGCTGCGCTGGTGCCTTCCGTTCCTTCTCGCGCCAAACTGCTACTCCCCGGTAAGCGCACCCGTTCGAAGGCAAAGCTCGAAACTAATGTGTTGTCGCGTAGATGCTTGAGGGGAGCTAACAGTGCAAGATGGCTGGCCACCGCGACCGAACCAACGTCAAAGTCGACACCTCCACCTCATTCTGTAAACGCTACATCAAAACCTGCCATTTCCCGTATTGTGGATGACATCTCTAGTCTCACCCTGTTGCAGGCAGTAGACCTTGTCACGGAGTTGAAGGTAAACATAAGTCAAATTTGAAACTGCCCTTACAACCTAATGTTCCCGTCAGACACGACTAAATATTCAGGAGATTGCTATGCCAGCTGCAGGCGTTGCTGCCCCGCAAGCTGCCGCACCTGCCGCTGACGAACCTGCAGTTGTGAGGCCGCTCTCTTGAAGTTCATTTTTGCGCTCTCACGCGTTGTGTCCAGGAGAAACCCAAAGAAAAAACCGTGTTCAATGTCAGGTTGGAATCGTTTGATGCTGGATCTAAGCCGAAGGTCATCAGGGAAGTCAAAGCTTTGGTGCCAAACTTGACGTTAATAGACGTATGTTCTCTTTTTGAATCTCGCCCATTGTGCATGTAATGAAAATGTCCTCAGGCCAAGAAATTCGTCGAATCGCTACCAAAAGTCCTTAAGGAAAACCTCTCAAAGGACGACGCTGAGAAATTACAGAAAACCTTCGAGGCCATTGGTGCGATCGTCAAACTAGACTAGATATGTGAACAACAGTATACATTATGCTTGACGACAACCATAATATGGAGAGACGGTTGTTTCAAAACAATTACAAGAGGTTGATCCAGATAGCTACGAAAATCTTATAGCGACAGGAAACAAAAGTATCAATCCTCTGAAAGGTACCGATACTCGAAGCGGAAGTCGCTCTTTTTCCGTTGACACCACGAACCTTCCCAGTCGAAATAAACATATACCCCTTGCTCGTATTCTTCCGTAATCGCCTGCGGTTCTGAGTGACGCTGGAACCAAGTCAGATATTTCACATGGAAGCGCCATGATTGCCGCTTCAGTTCTTTCGCTGCAAGGAATCTGTAACAACACGTCGAAGATTTGGGTCGACCACAATCGAGATCAATTACGCACTGTTGATAGGTCCCAGGAAGGAAGTAAAAGACATAGAACAATGTTTCGACATCTAGCTGTGAGAAGATGCCAGTGGTGCCTAGTGAAGGGTGGGGTGATTGGGGATAGTACGGGGCGGTGGGGTATGGGTTCCGAGGAACGTAATATTTGGGCCTGAAATATCTGGTAAGAAAATATGCGTGGAGGTGTTCATCTAACCAACTTTTCAGTGTCTTGAGGCTGTGGCACGGTCGACTGCCCCCCTTCCAACATCTTATGCACATGATCTAAATTGCTCATCCGCAGAGCTGCTACGGCCATGCAAGAGTGCGTTTGCTGAGAAATCGCTTGATTAGGTTTGCAAACCAAGACTCACCCTTCTGCTTCACATTCTCAAATGATACCACCAAGTCCGAGAGAGATCCAGGGAATGCAGACGGGCCAGTTGTACGGGGTGTGTGTCCCTGTTGGGGTTGTGTCGTTGATGGTGGTCGTTGAGCACCAATTGTTTGAGGAGGCTGCACCGCGGGTGAAGGTGGTCCCGGCTGTTCACTCTGTGGCACCTTGACACCAGGCGGGAACATTACTGGTGGTTGCGATGTTCCAGGCAATGGCGACTTTGAAGCTTGCGAATTCACTGTGTATTGTTGTAATTGTTGCGGCAGCGGTGAGGGTCCAGGAGGTGGTGGTGCCTGTTGAGATTGTAAAGATTGAGCAGCGTTCGACGAGGTCTGAGCTTGGGGTTGTTGCGGAGCTTCTGTGGAGGACACATGCTGGATTAAAATGACTATGTTAAGGCACTATTATGACTATATGAAAGCGTGTCACATACCGCAGGCTCGTTTGTTGCTTGAGGCGTAGAAATTGATCCTAATTAATTGAATTAGCCTCGAACTTGACCATACTTTCGCCTTACCCTGCCGAGCCACGGAAGCACGCTGAGGAGACGAGGTTGCTGCTGGCTTGCGGGTAGACGCTGCAATCGCTTCCGAGAGAGAGGGTGAGTCCTGACCAGAGTAAAATGAACCATCAGGCTGCTGTGAAACTGATGCTGATGAAGACAGCATTGGGCTAGTGACCGATGGGTGGGTTAGGCTTGGAGAAGGGGGTTGATCCAGCGACGTTGACAGAGACAAGGAACTTGACGGCGGTATTGATGGTGCAGTAGACGGAAGCGGCGGCGGCGGAAGCGGTGTTGCGGGGGTGAGCGCTGACGCGGACGCATGCACCGATGTTTGGGAGCCGAGATGGGGCGTCACCGCGGCCGCAGCTGCGGCAGCGTACCTTATGGGTGGTAGGACAACGGGCGCTGGCCGCGGAGGTTGTTGAGGTATGCTTGCCTTAAGGACACTTGCCATTGGCTGTTGCGCAAAAGTTAGATTGGGCGGAGGTTTCGCTAAAAAGGGGGGAAAAAAACGTGAGGACCCAGTAGACATACCCGAGAGATAAAAATCTTACTGTCCACTGATTGCTCTGTCGACGACGTTTAGCCCATAAAAAACGAAAGACTGGCGGAACTCACTCCTTAACGAAACGGCCGCTTTCTTTAATATTGGGCTGTCGTCACGTTTACTGCTCGTGACACTCTCTTCATCGTGTTTCTTAGATGCTGAACGTGCAGGTATGTCTGTATTAAACGTTAATTCATCACCACTTTGAAGGTGTCGCATGCAAACCTTCACTAGCCTCATCGGAATCGTCGCTGTCATCGTCATCTGGAGCCAATCCAAACTTCTCTTCCTCTTCGTCGAGGTTGAGATCGTCGTATATACCTTCATCCTCGTCGAAATCTTCGTCCTAAATTCGCAAAAAAAAAAAACCTTGAAAATGGTATGTATACGCCAAACAATGCGGTAAAACGAACCGTGTTGCTCTCCACGAAATACTGCACATCTTCCTTCAAACCTTGAACTTTCTCCGCTGGTAGAGAACCGTTATTCAGCAATCGTAAAACGATTTCGAGTCGGCTGATATGCCATTTCCGCCTATCGTTCAATTGTTCCAGTTCTTCAAGTCGGCCAGCGGCTGTCGAGCCTGCTTTGTTCCGCTTCTTCCCCGCCCCCTGGAGCGACTCCACCTCCGCCTCTGTTGATTCAACTTGCATCTGGAGCTCCTCGACCTGAGCTTGCAACCACTGTGTCGCCTCCTCCTTTTCCTGCTCCTTTGGATCAAGCTTGGCTGCTTGAATAAGACCCTCTTTAGAAAAGGCTTTCGTCTTCATCTCCTTCTCGCATGCCTTAAACTTCTCCATTTGCTGTGAAGCATGTGCGTAAGAAATTGTGGCAAACCCAGGAAATGACTGAGCACAAGACTCGGAACGGATAAGAGTGGAGAGAACATATGGGCACAGGCGCAACATACGAGACAAAAGTGCATGATGAACACCAACGCAGACGGAAAATAACTCCCGATGCATTACGACACAAGAGTGAATCATAGAAAGTGGAAAGCGCAATGACTAGTAGAGACACACCGTTTCAATCAGCCTCCGGTTTTCCAGCAATTGTGACTTGTCCTTGATGTCATTGCTAGCAACCCAGGTCTTGATTTGGTCACGCAACCGTTGAAGCTTCTTAATTTGTGTTTTGAGGTCAAGTTCTTGTTTCTCCTTCTGTGTTTGATTGGTCGACGCCTGCATTTTCTCGTATATGCCTTCAAAGAGCTCGACACCTTCTCCGACCTTCTTCAGCGTCCGGTCAATTTCAGCTATCGAGAATTGACAATTTATAAAAACGAGCGATTGAAGATGAATTCGACATACTTTGAAGCTTCCTTGCCGCCATGGCTTGACCAGACGAGATAGTAGAAACCGAAATACGTATGTCTGTTTGTTAAAGGATTTGCTGACGTAAACTTCGCGGAAATCAACCCAAGTAGTCCAGTGAAAAAAGACAGGATTCGGTCGGCGATCAAGTTAAAAGCTTGCAAACTAAATATCAAATGTAGGTACTCTCATAGGAGCATAGCTGATGGTTCTTAGCCTATGCCTTGGTACTTAGTGGACTCCGGATACTTTACTACCTATTTTTGGCCAATTGTTTAGATGTGAGGTCCACGTGCTAGATAAGTCAGGCCTCAGGGCTACCTTCGATTTCCCTAATCGACCACAACGACGACGACTGATACCCTTTCTCGACTGCGGCCAACATTGTCCCTTCAAATAAATTAGGGCGAAAACGCCAGATACTACGCAACAATGAAGTCCCTCAGGAAATCCCTCAATGGGAACAAGGACTCTTCCTCCAAACTTCAAATATCGACTCCAGTGCCCATTCCAACAATATCCAAACCCCCATCCGCCGTTCTTCCTCCCCAGAAGGTTATTCGCGCGCTGTTCAATTACAGGTCACAGGCTCCCCAAGAGCTATCTTTCTCGAAGGGCGACTTCTTCTATGTTCTCAGAGATGCAGACGACGTCGGAACCTGGTATGAAGCCCATAACCCGGTTACTGGTGCAAGAGGCATTGTCCCCCGTAATATGTTCGAGGAGTTCAATAAAAACATTGCGCCGTACGTTCTTTGATTCAGCCTTACGCTTGTGGTATCTGATTCCGTCTCCACTTAGAGTGCGGACCTCACAGGTCGGGCCCCGGACTGCGCTACCTTCACCTTCGCGTCCCGAATCTTCTATCCCGACGACGCCAAAAACACAAGTTTTTTATGCCATTGTCCTCCACGATTTTGTGGCGGAGCGAGCGGATGAGTTAGATGCGAAGCGCGGCGATGCGATCACTGTTGTCGCCCAATCGAACCGGGAGTGGTTTGTGGCGAAACCTATCGGCCGTTTGGGTCGACCTGGGCTTATTCCGGTATCTTTTGTTGAAATTCACGACCCATCGACTGGAAAAGCCATCCCCGATGTCCAGGGCTTGATGGATCGCGGGGAATTACCCAAGGTTGAGGACTGGAAACGAGCTATGCTGAACTACAAACAAAATAGCATTGCCCTTGGTGTCATTGACCCTCCTTCTCGTGGTTCAGTGCAGAGTAATTCTTATTCGCCACGGGAAGATTATCAATCACCCCCTCAGCCTCAAGCCGCTTCTGAACCAGCTCGTGCTCAATCGCCCGACATCCTTCCGGAAGGCATCCTTCTTTCTGCGGACGTCGTTTCCTTCCATTACGAAATGGAGGAATATTGGTTCCGTATTGACGCCATTTTTCAGCCTTACGCCCGACCAGACCAGAATGTACTACCTCCCGCGAAGCAACTTATACTCTTCCGGGTTTACAACGACTTTTATGACTTCCAGGTTTCCCTGCTCGATAACTTTCCACGAGAAGCTGGGAGGGAACCTCCACATCCTCGCACCTTGCCTTTTATGCCGGGACCTGCCCAGGATGTTGATGATGCCTTGACATCTACTCGGAGAGGAGAACTCGACGAATACATTCATGGTTTGTGTGCTTTAGGCAAATCCGGAAGCAGGAACATCTTGGAGCATCTAGTGGTCAGGAAGTTTTTGGCCTTGAAGCCCGGCGACGTTGACAATGAGGTGGAGGCACGGGTGCATGAGATCGATGCGCTATTCGCAAGCGACTCACCAGACGACCAGTATGTTGATGAGAGCCATGAAAGCAATGTCCGAGATCAGATGGGCCGGATGAGAGTGCAGGATGATCAACGCAGCGATGGCTCCGACTATGAAGATGAGGGTTATGCTCCTTCTCTGCAACAGAAGGCGTACGATCGTGGGCGACACCCTTACGTCCAGGGTAGCGAACGGTCGTCCCAAGACAATACTTTTCGTCTACAGGGTCAGAATCATCAACGGGTGGGCTCGTCATCCTCATTCCACAAAGCTTCTTCCTCGTACTCTTCACGCTCACGGCCCAACTCACCACATTACATCGAACGCAACGGGTCACCACAACCCATCCGCAATGGTGATTATACCAATGGACAATCACGCTGGACCGAGGGAAATTATCAGCAGAACAATGCTTCGACGCCCTCCACGGCTTCTTTCCGATCATCGCAAGCAATGTCTTCTCGCTCACATTCACATTCACACTCCACCACGACCAACCTCAATAACCCGCCGATCTCCGCTGCGAATCCACAGACCGCTTTTGTTAAGATCAAAATCTTTGACCGTGTATCAGACGATTTAATTGCCATCAGGGTTCATCCAAAGGTGACTCATTCTGAACTGATGGACAAAGTGCAGGCGCGCCTCGGAGGCGAGGTTGGGAATTTGCGATATCGCGACAGCATGACGAACACTTTCGTAGGGCTCGACTCTAACGAGGAGCTGCGATCGTGGATGGAGGGTACGGATAAGCATGTGCTCTACGCAGATTGAGTAGTTCCCAGTTGATACTCTCGGATTTTCCTTTTCTTCCTTCTCTTTTTTTCCTTCTCTCGTACTTACTTATAACTACTTGTGGCGCACTATTGCTCGGCTTTCTGTTCTGGTGCCGTAAGTATGTAGTTTCTGTATTTAGTGTACAACCTTGATGCAAAGGACTGTATTAGGATCCAGGAGTGCTCCGAACAAATCCGGTCAAACAGACACTCCAACCGAACGCTCACTGGCTGTAACCCCATATCTTGAGCACCACTATGGTTTCTCTGCATCGAACAATTCGTAATCTGCGAAGGGTGGGTTTTAAGGAATGGTGGAGACAGTTGCAATACATTGGTGACGCCAAGTCGGGCACCTTCATTGGTGCTGATCAGTATGTTACCTAGATCCCTCCCTCGATACCTCTACCTTCATTGTCATCTCCAGATTCGGAAACCGTTATTTTGAAAACCGGAATGGCGAAGAAGAAATCCCAGGCAAGTTTTTCCTTATGTCTCTCGTTGTCGTCTTTCATTGATCAAAACTTAGGCCGTCACCGTTGGGTGGATTTCGCTCAAGTGTGCTCTCTCGACTTTCTCCGCTCGATCTTGTCTAATGCGTCGTAATGCCAGCATGAATATCACGCGTCACAGGTTCCACCCGAGTGGCATTCATGGATACAGCATATTCGAAAGGAACCCCCGTCGCAGGATGCTGTGATGCAAAACCTGACACCTCCCTGGCAGGCGGTATGCATACTGTTATCGATGTTTAAGAATTCACATTGACGCCTAAATTAAAGGCTTACACAGAGAGCTTGACTGGGACACGCGGTGCTTACAGACCTTACAACACCACTGTGCCCAAAATGAACGCATGGGACCCAAAGATTACCGCTCGCAGTTAGGCAACCCACTTAAGTGTTATTGAATTCAAATCCGTTTACGTAGAGACTTTCGACTCGAGTAGGTCTTCTATAACATGTTCCGCGATTGAGAGACTGCATGTCAGCCCTGGAGACTCGATGCCTAATAAACTAATCATAGGACAAGTCCGACTTCCTAATCTCCCTCGCGTCGGATAGTCCGTCCTGAAAACAAAGTCCTGGAATCCACCGTTAGGAGGTACCAACTTCGGCCGCAGACCAACATAATCTGGACTCAATCCCTCCAAGGTTACTCCAGGCAAATAGCCAACAACGGTGCGGTGCATCTCTGGAAGCCTGGACTCATCAGGCACCAACTCCTTATTCCAAAAGTCTACATCCTCCTCTGAGGGAGAATGAAGTCCTCCCGATGGTGGAGAAATCCACTGGAGGTCAGGTCCAAACCGGATCTTTCCTTGCAAATCTAGAGTGAGATGCGTTCCAAGCGACTGAAATGCATGAACGCTTGGCCCAGTTTCAGGACAAGGGTAGATAAGGTGGGATACGTTACTAACACCCGGACCACGATAGCTTGCATAAGAACCACGAGCGTAGTACATGGGAATGCGGTCTTCCTCGCGAAGCAAGGCGTTAAGGATCAGGGTGCTTGAGAGTCCTGAAGCATTGATAAGAGTCCTGGCCAACATGGCGTCCCCTTGGCCATCTCCTGTCACCGCTTGTACAACCCAACCCTCTTCCAGTGCATCCACATCCGGAGTTCCGATCGTCCTTGCTGACCTGGGGTACGGGTCCACACGGACGACGCGCGTTGAGTAGATGAGTTCACCACCCTCAGAGTCTAGAATGTCTTTCTCCAGACTCTCCATTAGTGAATGTGAGTCTATGATACCAGTTTGTGGGCACCACAACGCAGCAATGATGTCATCGCTGAGATTCGGTTCCATCGCCTTTGCTTGCTCGCCAGAGAGAAGCTCTGTTGAAAGAACAAAGTCATTGCTGGACGAAGGGGGCGAATGAGGGGGCCACTGAAGCTTCAGAGACTTCGCATGAAGCTTTTCAATATAAGGCAGCTGATCCTGCTTGGCGACGACGAGTTTGCCAGTCCGAAGGTGTGGTATATTGTACGCCCTGCACCGCTCGTATAAGAGATCGCGTCCACGAAGGCATAGCCTCGTTTTGAGTGAATCTGGGGGGTAGTAGAGTCCTAGTTGTCATGCAATCAACTGATGCCCCAAGACCGATGCTTAAAGTGAGTTGGCACCTGAATGTATAACTTCTGAATTCCGCGAGCTTGAGTTTTCTGAATCAGACGAGGAGTATCTGTTGCACAGTTGCACCCTTACCTCGTTTCCTCTCCCGCTTTTCTATGCCTCTCAAGAAGAAGTGTTGTCTTCCGAGGAAACTTTTGAGTCAATCGTTGAGCGATGGCGAGTCCCACAACGCCTGGCGTGAGTCCCTTTGGTATGACCAACTATCTGGCGTAAAAAAAGGTGTGTATCACACCTGCACCGATAATGACAAAATCCGCAACGAACTCTGGAGCCTATTAAAAGCCTGAATTTAAATTTGAAAGCTTAGCGAGTTCCGGAGAGTCTTGCCTTGTACTGGTATCTCCCTGTGTCATTGAGAGCCCTTGCGAAGCCTTTAACAACCTTCATGGCTCGTTCTTGGAGCTCGATATCAGTCTATAAATAACACAAGTCCGGTCGCCGATCAGCCCGAAATCGAAACTTGGTCTTGAGCGTCTACGCATAACATCATGGCCACACCTGGTATGGGGCCGCAGCTCCTCTCAGATGCAGAAATTAAGCAGAAAATCTCCGCGCTTGACAATGTTCCTCTCTTTATGAAGTCCCTTCCATCCGATGACACAGACGACGCCGTCATTGCTGCGTTGCAAAACCTGGCGTATAGCGGGACCCCGGACGGTGGGTGAGTGCCATTTCTTGAGTGAACTGGTGTCTTGAAGTCTCAACAGAAATTGCACAAAATTTCAAAGAGCAAGGCAACGAATATTTCAAGGGGAAACGATATCGCGAGGCACTTGGCTTCTACAACCAAGGTGTAGATGCCAGACCCACCGATCCTAAGCTGCAAGAAACGTTGCTACTTAATCGGGCGGCTTGCAATTTGGAACTTGGCAAGTAATGCCCCATCTTCAGGGTCGATTGAAAGCCTTACACGAGCAGAAAATTTCGGTTCTGTGCTCAAGGATTGCTCAAAAGCCCTGCGATTCAACGCCCAGTCATCGAAAGCCTTCTTTCGTTCTGCAGTGGCACTGATAGCTTTAGATCGAATAGACGAAGCCCTCGACTGTTGTGAACGTTGTCTTGTTTTCGACCCGTCAAACACGGCCGTTAAAACTATCGGTGGAGAAGCCAAGAAGAAGAAAAAAGTGAAAGATCGGAAAGAGAAAGAGAGGCTAGAACGCATACAAAAAGAAGAGGAGGCGAAGCGGTTCATGAAACTCGCTTTTCGCGTATGCCCTCTCCCTTTGATGCTCTCGTTCAACTGCAGCTCTAACGTATATCCTAATAGGAGCGCAATCTAATCGATGTCCCGAAGCCCGATGGGTCCGCGAATCCATATACTCCCCATTTCGACCTAGATGACCCCACCCAAACGACTCTTATTATCCCTACCTTTTTCTTATATCCCCAATATGCGACGTCGGATGTTATCCCAGAGTTTGTGGAGGACACAACTTTTGGGGCGCACATCGAAGGGATGTTCCCTCCTCAAGCGCCGCCGGCCGACTGGGATGTCAAACGCGAATATATTGACGGAAATCTGGTTGTATACGCAATAACGAAGAAGAAACGGTTGTTAAAGATTGGCAAGAAGATGACTCTCCGGGATGTTTTACGAGCGGCAAAGGGCAAGGATGTGGAAGATGGCATGGAAGTGAAAGACGGTTGTTTATCTTTTATAATATTGCCAAAGGGCTCAGTTGAACAGAAATGGGTTGAGGATTTCAAAAATGTTAGGATAGAAGCGGTGTAACGAGTGTACATCTATTTACAGTTACAGTGTGACTTGTGACTAACATTTGGCTGCCGACCCAGTGCTCAGCAAGAAATTCGACTCGTCGTCGTCAAAAAGTCTGGTGAGTACATATTTCGATTCTAGTGTCTGTGAAGGTTCCTGTGATGCATATGTATCGACATTGTCAAGCGGGGAATTTTGTGGATGAAGGAATGGGATGGATGGCGAGACTGGAGTTTGGATGATGTTGACCTCGGATCTGTAGGGCCTAACTTCAAGATGTCCGTCAACAGCAAAATTCTTCGCACCGCAAATGCTCCTACCACAGGCCCTGATGAAGTCGAGACGAACGTTGCTCAGGCTTTGATCGATTTGGAGAACAACGTACCCGAACTCAAGACTGAGTTGCGCGCGCTCCAGATCTCCGCTGCCCGTGAGGTTGATGTCCGGGGCGGTAAAAAGGCTATTGTCGTTTTCGTTCCCGTCCCCCAATTGAAGGCTTTCCACAAAGTGCAGCAGAGGTGCGGGAGGCTCAGCTTTTGAGTCAAGCGTGTTAATCGCGTTGTTTTCAGGCTCACCCGTGAACTTGAGAAGAAGTTCTCTGACCGTCATGTCGTCTTCATTGCCCAGCGCCGAATGCTCCGCAAACCCACACGTAACTCACGGGTCAAGCAGAAGAGGCCTCGCAGCCGCACGCTTACCAACGTCCACGAGAAGATCCTGGAGGACCTTGTGTTCCCAACAGAGATTGTTGGCAAAAGAACCCGCGTTGCTGTAGACGGATCAAAACTGCTTAAAGTGTAGGTGGCCTGCTACATATCGTTATGTCGAACTCATATGTGTGGCTATAGTCTACTTGACTCCAAGGATGCAACATCGCTCGAATACAAGCTGGATTCATTCTCATCTGTTTACCGCCGTCTCACAGGGAAGGATGTGGTATTTGAGTTCCCGGTAGTATCGCATGTTGTTGAAAAATCTGGATGAGATTGATATACCGAATTGTGATATATTTTTACAAAATGCACATTGTCATTTTCATTCTCACGTGGCCCTGTTACCCAATTTGGGCTGCTCACAGTAGTTCTCCTCTCTTGACAGCCCTTCACTCATTTAAGAGTCTTTTACTCATCCCTCTGCCAAAGTGGCCGCTGGGCTCTCATTCCATCATAGAGAGAACTCACTCCCAGCGAGTCCCCCAGCTCGCTCATGGACGAATACCCTAGCCTCGATCCTTATTCACGGTCGCGCTATGAACATGGCATCGACAGCAAGATTGTCATAATGGGCAACTCTGGTTGGTCGCTTGCTATCGTAACCACATCCTCAATCTTCTCATATTATCTCCAACAGGCGTCGGTAAAACTAGTTTGTTGCAACGTTATACCCAGAACAGGTTCGACCCAAAGAACACGACATCTACGAGCGGTGCTTTTTTTGTAACGAAGAAGGTGTACGTTAAGGGTCTCAAGGTACGCCTGCAGTTGTGGGACACTGCAGGTCAGGAGAGATTTAGGAGCATGGCAAGTCTTTCCCTTGTCGGCGAATGAATACCCGCCTGACCATATCCAAAGGCACCCATGTATTATCGAGGTCGGTGTGCTCATCAGGCTATCATTCTATCTGTCACAAGCCACTCAATGCTTCGTGTCACTTCCCGCAGGCGCTAATGCGGCCCTCCTTTTGTACGACATCACAAACGCTTCGACTTTTCAGGATATTAGAGGCTGGCTGGAAGGTGTGTTGATGTCCATTGACCGAATAAGGACGCTGACCGTCTTTATCGGATATCCGATGGTAGAATTGAAGAAGAATTGCCCGCCCGAGTTGATCATATATATTGTTGGCTCTAAAGCGGATCTCTACCGTCATCGGCAGGTCACCTCCGATCTGGCTCGCCTCTCCCTCCACAACTGGTTTCCTCCACCCAGGCCGCCAACACCTCCGCCGCCACCGGTACCCTCGACGTTATCTTACATTCGACCGCGTTTCACCTCGTTTCCTGGCCTCCGTTCTCCAACATCCGTGACCCCACCTCCCATCTCACCCGAAACACCCGCATACCTGGATCTCCCTTCAAGTCGGGCATCAGCCCTACAGCGGAGTAAAATATCAATCCAAACACGCCCGCCTACATCGGGATCGTTGACTCGTTCTATCGCCAGCACCGGCACCAGAACTCCCCAATCATCCCGATTTGGTTCACAATTTGGCCACGTTGTTGGCCGGAATGAGAATGCGGACAACAGCAGCAACAGTATCGAGGAAGCGGATGAAAATGAGGATGAAGATGAGAGAGAATGGGGTTTGAGCAAGGGCATGGAGCTTTTCGAGGTTTCGGCTAAAGACGATCTCGGTAAATTTCTATCCATCCATTTTCCTTCAACTTGTCCTTAACTCATTTGGCATCAAGGTATTCAACATCTTTTCGACCACCTCATATCTGCAATTATTGTCCGGAAAGATAGCATTGAGCAAGAAAACGAGCTGAAGAAACGCGACAGCGTATTCTTATCGAGTGTGAGCACACCGGCCTGGGCTGCCCAGGTTGATGCGGAGGAGGCTCTCGAAAAGGCTAAACGCAATGGTTGGAGTTGCTGTTAACTGTTCTTGGCGCGAGCCGCCCCGCGCTCTCTTCACTCTTTTGTTTTTTTCACACTCGTTAACGCTGTATCTTGTTGCGGTTTCTTATTGCTTATCCATTATTTTGCGATCTATCAATCATCTCTGTCTCCGTCTCAATAGCACATCATTGCCTATGCCTCCCCAATCAAGCAGTTACATGTTTTTCTTTCTTTCTTATAATTACCTACGTTGTCTACTTCTACTTCTTTTCTATTCCAAGCATACCTATATACCTATGTATTAGTGAAAGAGCCATGCCATACCATTCCTGATGAGGGAAGCTGAGGGAAGATACCTGTGCCTGCACGGGTGTTCTTTACTGCGACCATTTAATAGCTGGCTCAAGCCACTCAGTAACCCCGCACCCTTCATGTCTCTTTTTCCCCCAAATCCCGCCTCAGAAAAGTCGCATCGAAGTAGTGCCTGTATCCCAGAACACTGCTTCTACGCGTTCGACACCCTGTACTGCGCACTCACATCAGCGACGCCTATACCCCCACCCTTCCCAGATGATAAATAGTATCCCCATTATTGTCCATCAAGCTCTGCATTCCCCGCTAACATAATCTCTGATCAGCCCACTGTTCGTGACATGGAACACACAATCATCTCGTCCAGGAAGAGCATCACATCTAAGAGGATGCATCGGCAACTTTGAGCCAATGGCTCTCCACGAGGGGCTGGCAGATTATGCGCTCATCAGCGCGTTCAGGGACTCTCGATTTAGAAAGATAGAAAAGGATGAACTTGAAACCCTGGACTGCGCGTTCGTATATTGTACCCCTCCATCTAACCTAAATAACTTTCTATTATCTTAGAGTCTCCCTCCTCACCGATTTTGAAACAGCCCAATCGTACCTCGATTGGACAATTGGCGTGCATGGGATCTACATTACATTCCCACATCCGTCCTTAACATCTCAAGCGTCCTCTTCTGAGACGTCTTCCCCGTTTTCATCCTCAGGCAGCCTTACCCGAGTGATATCAAAGCAATCGTTTTCCGCGACATATCTTCCAGACGTGATACCCGAGCAGGGATGGGATAAGATCGAGGCAGTAGATAGCGCAATCCATAAAGCAGGCTGGAAGGGGCGAATCACAGAGGATTTGCGCAGAAGTGTCAAGCTGCGCCGGTACCAGAGCAGCAAGTGTGAGGTTGCGTGGGCGGATTATATCCAATGGAGGAAGAAGCAGGAGGAGCAAGGATGAATGACAATGATAGATGAATTCTATAGGTATCCTAAAGCAAATGATTTTTGGTCCCTCTCTCCCAAAGCGCTGACGTCCGGAGTTGCTTATGGTGGTGAACTTGATCGTACAGATGCTTGTTGCGCAAACAACTCTTCCTTGATTCTCTGCATACGCCTTCCAGATAACCCATATGTTCCTTCAAACCGCTTTTCAAACGCCATCCAAATCTCACGCAAAAGCTCGACATTGTGTCCGCTAGCCTTGTCAAAAGCGGCCAAAATCCAATAAAAGGTCGCTCCACTCGGTGTCATTGTCTCAGGCAATGAAAGAAAAATGTCAAAAATTGACGTAAGGTTATCGAGAGTCCAAGTTGGTTCGTCTTCGCTGGTAGGAAGGTAGGGTGACGAATCAAAAAATCTATCCCCACGTTTGACATAGTTGGATCCCAATAGGGAGCGTGCCTTGGGTAGACGTCCAGCGGGGTTTTTAGCGTGTCTGCAGAATCCCAGGAAAAGGGCTCGGAAAGCTGGAAGGTCTGGGCTGTATGTGATCGACTTTGGTTGACCTGATTCATCTGGAACGACTGTGTCGCTAGAGAGCATGTCCATGAAAGCTTGCACTGCCAGTAAGTAGTTGCCATGATACGCCATAGCCTGGACCATGATCGTAAAGGTAATTTCATCCGGTTTCACGTCGGGTGTGATCTCGATACACTCGTCCAGTTGAAGTCGCCGAGAGCTCTCGCTGATATCTTCGTTATCAAGATACAGCTCCGGTGCAGCATTATAGCGCAGGATATGATAAATCACGCGGACGATGTCAGGCCTGTCGTTACGACTGTAAGCCCACATGCAAGCGTTCAAGCCATCAATCCCCAGTTCCAGCCGTTGCTGTTTCATTTTGAATAGTGTTGAGCGGATCCCAGATAGCCGCTTGGTTTCGGTATAAAATCTCAGCAATGCAAGGTGCGTGATCCTATTGGGGGGAAGGCCGGAAGCGCGTAAGAGAGAAGCCGCACGATGAATGACGGTTCCATTCAAGGTGTTCGCGGCAATGCTGAGCAGTGTTGAGTAAGTAAAGATATCGGGCTGCATTGGTGGACCTTCATGCCCGGTATGTGACATGTAGTCCCCAGTAAGACCCGAGCCAGGCTGACGCCTCGCCACCATGTCATTGAAAATGCTGATGGAGTTCGCATAATCCCCCGCCGTAGTCACTCGTAAACCCTTCCCGGCTTGGTGGATGAGCGCATTCCATTCGAAGATCTTGGTCTCCCCGCCTGCACTGTGAATGCTCGTCATCACAGAAAGGAGGCGGATGAACTGGGTTCGGGTTTTGGGCCTGTTGGACGCAAATATGCGAGTCATGCGGTGAAGGTGGGCGAATGGTAAATGGGGAAAGTGCTCGCGCACGATGGGGCTTTCTACCTGCAACCTGGTAAGGGCTACGTAGGAGCCCCAGATATCTTCTATGACATCGCTCTTCCCAATGGAGTCGAGATGTTTTGAGAGGAAAAATTCTATGTTGGATAAAGCAGCTTTGGTCTCCGCTGATTGCAACCCCGATTCGAATTTCTCTGCATCTACGGTTTCCGATGAATGTAGAAGGGCATGAGAAAGGTTGTTGAGCACAAGTCTGAATGCCACCGTGTTGTAGACGCGTAACGGAAGAATGTTGGTAAGTCCTTTGACCCTTTTGGAAAGGAAGCCCGCTTTCTTGGGAAATGCTGGCTTTTTTTCTTGGGTCGTCTGTGACTCCTCTGCGGCGATAGTTTGTGTTGACCGTTCGAGTGGAAGCTCTGCTACCTCCACCATCAGCCCAACATTCATCTCCTTCCTTTCCGCACAGTCTGTTTCGAGAGATAGCCCATGGTTGAGAGGTTTTTGGCAACGTTCGAAGGTACTTTTTTCTTCGGGAGCTGGTGACAATGTGACATTTGGCGTTGTCCGAGAATTCGAAAATTTGCGAAATGCTAGCTTCGACCTGTTGAATCCACGAAGCCGATAACAACATGGCCAGACAACACGCGTGGTCGACAAGGCAACACAGAGGCCCAGCGTGGACGCTCTTAGCATCAATGGGCCGTACAGTCATCCTGCAGAGTGGCAGTTAGGACGAGAGAAAACAAAGAGGATTATTACATACAGCCTGCACAAAACCAAAGCCAAGGGGAACGCCTCAAGACGTGGACACGGGCAGTGGATTTGAATGCTGGCCGCTGTTCGTGCTGGTGGGCAATAACCTGTCAATATCAAATAATAACCACAAAGTTTTTCACTGGCACAAACTCAACCCAGCAGAAAATTCGCACGACTCTTTCGGAAGGCAGCATGAAAGATCCAACAAAAGCAGTACGTCTTCGCATATTTATTCATGTCATGTGGGGTACTCAAAGCTAGCGTAAAAGTGTGCAATATGGGTGATGTCAAAATACAACAAAACGACAAGATATAAAGACGATCAAGCCCGGGCTTTGAGCGTTCCAAGGAATGCAGACTTTTCTTCGAACGTTTGGAAGGAACCGTGCTAAATTCCGGTTGATTCATAATTGCGTAACACAACACAAAAAAACAGCTGCTCACCCCGAACTTGGACGAAGTGTCGATGAATTTTAGTTGCACTTTCTCCAAGTCCCGACGAGATGTGTGCACCATCAGCGACTTGCGGATGGTGATCACACGCTTCTTAGTCCCAGGAATCGAACCCTTGAGCATGAGGAAGTCGTTCTTGACAATACCATAATGAGGGAAGCCACCCATAGGAGTGATGGACTTGTTGGTGATGTCAGATTCGGTTGACGCATTGGCCTCATCCGTGCCAGAGCCAATGCGGTAAATTTTCTTGTTGAGCTCAGTGCGATGATGATAACCATCTGACAAAAGGAAAATATTAGTTTATGAGAATGAAGAGAAATATTACCGCACGCACTTTGACCAGCACGGGCGACTGAGAACATGACCTTAGAAGGATGCCATGCTCCGATACAAGCAACTTTGCGAAGCCCTTTGTGAGTCTTACGAGGAAGCTTCTTCGTTCCCCAACGGTGGGTAACACCCTCGAATCCATGACCCTTGGTGACAGCAATAACGTCCACACACTCATCCTGCTCGAAGACCGTCGAAACCTCTACTGGTTTCTCGAAGAGAGCCTGACCGAACTCAACCTTATCGGCAATGGAACCGCCGTTAAGTTGAATCTCCATCAAGTGCGCCTTCTTCTGGCTGAGACCAGTCTTCCGGATCTGAGTGTGAGCGAGGACACGAACAACAGTGCAATATTTGCGGATACGTTCGAGTTCGCGAGCGACGGACTTGCCACCATCTTCAGCGTGCTTCTTGGCGTAGCGGGTGAAAGCCTTTTTCTTCGAGCGATACCAGTTCTTGTAGAAGCGACGTTTAATTTCGTCAGAAAGATGTGACGCCCAAACGGTAGTAAGTGTGCGAAGGCCACGGGGTGTCTCGACGTATCCAACAAGACCGACAACAATCATCGGGGGGGTTTCAATGACAGTCACGGCCTCGACAACCTCGCGCTTGTGCATTTCTGATGGATGCAAGGTGAGGCACGGTCACAGCTAAACAGATAGGTCAAGGCTTACTAGAGCCAGGTCGGTCAAGATCGCGAACTACATGGGTCATACCAGCCTTGTAACCCATGACGGCAGTTAAGTGCACAGGCTTCTTGGGATCATCCTGACAAATATGATCAACTCTGCTCCAACGATATAAGGGAAGGGGTACCTTTGGGAAAGACTTGACCTTTCCACGGTGACGAGCAGCACGTTTCCTTGGAAGGAAACCGAGAGAGCCGTGTCGGGGTGCTTCATACTACAAGGACATAAGATTAAATATTGAAAACGATGAGAAAGAGGGGTAGAAACGAACCTTACGATGACTACAGTGACAACGCTGAGGGTGAAGACAGACGGAAACGATGGACAGAGGTACTCACCTCATCTTGAAGATCTTGAAGTTGTTGAGCAGAACCTCCGACGAGATGTTAGTCTAAATTTCCACTTTCGGTAACGTCCGATGTGGCTTGCCGAGCTGTACAGTTTTAAGTTGTATTTAAAACTCCGAAATTACTAATATACTACAATGACGTCATGACATTTCTACATCCTTATCCACATCGGTTCTTGGCGCACCCCTTTCCACAGAATTCACCAGCTCCCTTCTGATTTCGGCGCTGATCTGTGGGTGCTGTGCAGCGCGGATGACATCGAGGAGGGCATCCTTTTGATCTGGAGTTAGATCCGACGCGTATCTGGGAGAGTGTAAACTCGGCAGTAAGGAAGGAGTAATAAATGTATACCTTTGTGTGAAAACAAGCAGGCTTTGGTGCCACAGGACTGGTAGCTTTTCTGCATCGCCTCGACTTGCGGCCTTGTACGAGTTTGAAAGGCGGATGAAGTGGAACACAAGGGCGTCCACAACTTTGTAGGGCAATTCAAGCTTTTTGTCAATTAGGACACGGATAAACAATGAATTTGGTCCTGCGGTGGTATTGAGATCAAATCTGTCAGAAAGAGGAGGAGACTAACCGGAATAATCCATTTCAGCGATGCGAAGCAGTGCTGCAGAGGCATGAAGAACTGGTACTTTGGTCCGAGCGAGTATAGAGGCAATGATAGTAGCTTCTTTGAGAGTGCACCCTTGCTGGAAATACACATCATGAGATACGTTTATTAGACATTTGGTAGAACACAAACATCCAGCAATGGAAAGATTATCCCCTTGAAAAACGCGCCTGGCTTGTATAACGATTTCTTTAGTGCCGCGTAGTAGTGTACGTTGAGCTTTTTGTTTTGTTGAATATCTTCCCTGATAGCTTCAAGCAGGACAACTCCCAAAAATAATTGTGCTTGAGCAGGTTTCATGTTTGAAATGAAGATTTTCGTTGCAGCGCGGCAGGCGTGGGGTGACCAATTTTCAGGGTGTGTAAGCGCCAGCATGCGCGCCCAAGCAGGGAGGGATGGTATAACTTTGAAAAGTTTCGGTAGAGCGCCCGCTCTATACTTTTGAAGAAAAAAACCAATCCTGGGAGTGTCAATCGCGTCACCGCTCGGGGAGAATGGTGCTCACTTGGTATACGCCTCTACAACTTGCGGATTGAGACCAAGAGCAGGATCTGGCGCATTACGGTCTGTAATGCAAGGTTAGTCCATGTTTCTATTTTTCAAGGCGAAATCCCACCTTGATGTACCTTTTGGATTGCGGCTGTGGTCGATATTTCGCCACTATCCAATTTTGCAAATATCAGATCGGCTAAAGTCTTCCGCTCGCTAACATTAGAGGGTAGCATAACGTCCAGAGCCTCCAAGTCTTCTGCATCTATGCCCTGAGCTCAGAGGATTGAGGATGATGAGACTTTAGATCATCAGTTCAATTACAACGCACAAACTCTTCCTCAGCTAGTTCATCATTCGGCGAAATGTCGAAATCGAGTTGGTCATCATCAGTTTCCTCGTCCTCATCATGACTGTTGTTATCGTTATTTCTGGGCCGTGACCACCCTTCCATTTGTTCATCATGCGCCGTAACCTCTTCTTCCTGGTCAGATTTCAGTTCATTCTGCTGATCTTGTGCAAGTTCGAATATCCTCCTTGAAGTCTTGGGGTCCAATATGACCTAAAGAGGCGTCAAGTTTGTTTAGCGGTGACATGTCCATGATTGGACTTTCCTCAGATACGTCTTCATGATCGAGGCTTTCTTTTCTTGATTTTTTTCTCTTTCCTGGCTGAGAGACGCGGCCATACTTTGACTCAACTTCGTCTTTGTCTAGCTGGACAAGGAGCGGATTGTGTCTTGATTTTCCAGAAGAACTTTTTTTTACTGAGGGCATGGTTGTTGAGGGGAGATTATGTTTCGGCAATCTCCTTCAGATAATTAAATCAATAATTACTTTGTTGGTGTTCCTTAACTATCTCGCACATAAAAGCCTACACACCCCTTGGCGGGACTTGTCTCTCTCTTGTTCCCCTGCCACGACCACAATGGCCAGCGCTCTCCCCGTAAGTACTACTATAATGTACCCCTTTTTCTTTCTGCTGACCTATATATTCAGATCAAGACTCTTGACAAAAGTGGCAATGAAATCACCTCTGTGGGTTTCAAGCGCTTCGGCTTCGATAGCGAGGTCAAGATCGACATCCTTCGCTCGTTGTACCTACGGCCACACTATGCCGTTTCTACCTTGAAATCCGCAGATATTGATGATGAAGCTCAAGAAACAACTCATCATGCTGTGTTCACTCAAGGACACTCAGCATACCAGTCAAAATCCATTTTTCATCCTGACACGAACTCGATTTCTTACACCACCCTCTCTCGATTCCCTCCTGTTACTCTTCTCCCCCCATCTGCGAGGAAACGCATTTTGGTGACTGGAGGTGCCGGCTTCGTTGGTTCCCATCTTGTGGACCGTCTCATGCTCTTGGGGCACGAAGTCACTGTCATTGACAATTTTTTCACGGGTTCTAAGACGACCGTCAGCCACTGGGTTGGACATCCCAACTTTGAGCTGGTCCGCCACGATGTCGTCGAACCTTTTATGATTGAGTGTGATCGTAGGTTTCCACGTCTCCAAATTCTTTCTCTATGGCTGAAATTCAGATTAGAAATATATCATCTTGCATGCCCTGCTTCACCGCCCCACTATCAGTTCAATGCGGTCAAAACGATCAAAACGTCCTTCATGGGTACTTTAAACATGCTTGGACTGGCGAAGCGCACTAAAGCTCGCTTCCTCATTTCGAGTACTTCTGGTGTGTCAAACCTTCTGACTCAAATGTGCAGCCAGTAAACCGTGTCCCAGAGGTCTACGGCGACCCTGAGGTTCATCCCCAAAATGAGGAATAGTAAGCCCCTTCTCGCTTCCCGTAGGGTAAACATTTATGACTTCCCCTGCAGTTGGGGCCACGTCAATCCCATTGGGCCTCGTGCCTGTTATGATGAGGGGAAGCGCGTTGCCGAAACCCTGACCTATGGATTCCAACGTCAAGACGGCGTCAATGTTCGCGTCGCCCGTATCTTCAATACATACGGCCCTAGAAGTGAATTCCGTTCTTATCTCGTCTCATTATACTCAACAATTACTCGAATACAGTGAATCCGTACGATGGTCGTGTTGTCTCAAACTTCATCGTCCAGGCCTTGAAGGGCGAAGACATGACTGTTTATGGCGACGGCAAACAAACCCGCTCGTTCCAATACATTCATGACCTCATTGATGGTCTCATTGCGCTTATGAACTCGGACGAGTCCCGGCCCGTTAACATTGGCAATGGAGATGAGTTCACCATCGGCGAGTTTGCTGAACTTGTTCGGGACGTTGTCGAAAAGGTGCAAGACGAAGATGGTGACAAGCGCTCCAGGCGCGTCGATATCGTCTATAAGCCTATCCCCACCGATGATCCTCAAAAGCGAAGGCCTGATACCACCAGAGCCAAGGAAACCCTTGATTGGCAACCGAAATGGACTGTCCGCATGGGTTTGGAGGAGATGGTTAGGTATTACAAGGCAAAAATGGCCGAGGGCAGTCTTTAGAGTCGAACTTTTTTGCTATCACAAATCGAACTTTGCAAGTAAACCTCTATCCACTGTTGTTGTACACTCATAGACGGACGGACTATATACAAGTTGTGGTTTCGATACAGTTTGGGAATAAAGAAATATAAGGTTACGTTCAAAAAAACAGGTGATGCGTGTTCAGGGTAGAAAATCGTCTGCCTACGCAAGAAGGCGGTGAAGTGGCATTGCCGGGGCATTGCCAATGACTTTAGTCATCGAGCCCTTTACGATGTACCTTTCGACGGCGCTGGAGTTTGAGACAGGCCTGATCACCTGTCCTTCAGGCAGCTCAGTTCGGGATATCGAGAGAACCTTTTCGGAACGTTCAGAATCTGCCTTGTTCTTCTCAAGGGGTAAGAATGTTGTGTCTAGATGTAAGTATTGCTATCAGTAAATTAATTTTCGCAGACCACAGAGAAAGACCTCACTTGCGACAGACAATCCGTTCTCCCCACTTTGGAACCAATGTTCTTTTCTTCTTTCGGAAAATCTGTGACAAGGTCAAAACCGGTAATGTCGATGAGATGTTGGTTCGCGTACTTCCGTAAGGGCTTGCCGTCAGGTCCAAGGGGAGAAAATGCTTGGTGACGGTTCCTAGCATATTGGGTGATTAGTTCTTCTTGGGCCTTGACGATGTCCTTTGGTAAACAAGAGAACGATAAGGACGATAGAGGGTCGCGGGTCCCAATACTTCCGTTGCTGGAAACTCTAGCAAGGTTTTGGAGCGCCGCCGTCATCCGTACTTCTACTGAAAGGGCAGGCGGCACGAGGTCTGAGCGGCGACGTGGAAATCGCGACAGAAATTTTGCAATGACTTGGTTTACAATGGAAGCGCTTCCAGGAACGATAGACAACAGCCCAGCTGCACCTAAACGCGTGATCGACGACACTTTCGAAGGGAAGTGTTAGGGTGACATACCCTTCACCGTATAAAGGACCGCTCCATCCTCAACACCGGTGAGTTGGGAAGCAAGACTCTCCGCATACTGTTTTGGGCACACTTCATTCCGCTCGCCCTGCCAGAAACGCGTAAGCTAATTCTAAAGAAAGTCAAAAATGACGAACATGGACTAGCAGGGTGGGTTGCGTGATTGATGCATACATTTCGGGACCCATTGGACTACGCTAGTACGAAGTTGGATTAACCCTAAATTTCGGTTGCGAACAAAGATAAGTAAGTACTCACATTCATCAGAACGCCAACAGTCTCCGCAAATCTGGGTCTCTCACGAGGTGGGATGGTCATTTGCCAAAACGCAATGAGCTGAAATGATGAGATGTTGTGCTGGATAACTTTCTGCGAAGCAAATCTCACCTCGTCTCGTAGTTCGGAATCACATTCCTGTCCGACAGGTTCATTCCGACAACAACACTGAATATTTATGTTCCCTCACCGGTCCAAAAAGGAAATTGACGCTCTCCATGCCGGCAAGTTCACAGGTTTCCAAATCTTCAGCGAAGCACCAGGTCTGCATCAACTCCTTCAGTGTTGCAGAGATCCAACTAAGTCTGAAATTCCGTTATTCGTTGTCGTTAAACACGTTGTCCTCGTGTGCTCACTCAGAGGGTGGTGGAACGTTGCAAAGAGTGAGAGTCAAACACATTTCGGGAAACCTAGTGATATTTTTGAAACCGATAAGCATCATGATATCAGTGCGACGTACAACACGGCGAATCGAAGGGCGCAGTTGATGGAAAGACTCTCGAAGGCCAGAATATGACAAGGGGGTAAATGAAGCTTCTAATTGACCTCATTGAGAAAAAAAAACGGAAGGATAACAGAGACTTACCTGACAACAAAATGCCAAATCGGCCGAGTCAACCCAGCTGTCGTGGCGTCCACTTGACCTGCATCGCGACCTCCCACATGTTCTCATGTCGAATGCGATGACATTATAATGTCCGGACAGCCGAGGGTCACAGAATTGGTTATCTAACCATGTAGAATCCAGAAACAGTGGGTGTAGCACGATGATAGTGGGTTTTTCTGGGTCGAACGCACTAACATTGTTGAAGGTGGTGTTTGTTGTGTAGAAGATAGATGCGAAGTCATCTTGACTGTGGAGATCAACGACGGGCATAGCTAGAGAGTACTGGTCTCCGTTAGACGAAGAGACATATGAGTTTCGGCAAGGTAGGACAGGTGGAGAAGCTGATGGAACATTTGGAATTTGACCTCGGTCGTATATTTAACATCTTGGCCGTGTCTAATTTACAACATCTTTGTGGCCCTGAGGTCTGGGTATTAGCCCTGAATCCAGATTTTGAATCTGCACCAAATCTGCACCTTGTCTTATCGTTTCCCACACTCTCCCGAGATAAGTTGATTGTATACCAGCGAAGTCGAGAATTCGGGAGCTTAGACGCTGGATTAGCCATCATATGCGCTTGCTGCAACATCGTCAACCAGATTCCAGATGGTGAGGGTTGGTACTGGGTACAGGCCCAGCCAATAACAAGTAAGTCTTGAGTTGCCAATTGATTTTGTTCAAGATCTTTCACGATTGGTTCCTCAATTCTCCAAGATTGCTCTGATGGAATTTCGGATCAGAGCTACTCGAGTAAGATGTGGATACCCGATTTACGTCGAAAGCTTTTGCGTCCGTGTAAAGCCGTGTAATGATGGGTGACTTTCCGTAACACAAATCAGTAAAAAATGACTGGCTTCACTTCGATATTGAAGTATTCCTTGAAGACCTAGAACCGCCAATCGAAGCGTCAACGCAATAAAATCAAAAACAACGCACGGATGACATTCATCAAGCACCTTGATGGTCGACATGGTCGCGCCTGGGATGGAAAGGGTACTTAGAATATATAACCACCAGTCTTCACCAGCATGTAAGTTAGAAGTGCGAGGAAGACCCCTTATCGGAGTTTGAAACGAGAACATCACACGTGCAAAAATATAGATGAGAGGCGTGCAATAATCTGCAATTCAAGCTACTACTACTAGTAGCTTGAGTGACCAGGCAATGGTCATATGACAGTAAATCCGTTACGAGGTAAGAAATAGGCAAGAAGTATGATCTGTCGTACTTTGTCGATGGCTCAACACTCTGATGTTCGCTGTCTCCACGCAACAGCGGGTTTCAAGAGGTAAGGAGCAACATACGGGCCTTCAAGTTGTCAGGTGTCTCAGCAATCCTAAAGACCTTATGTCTCACTGCTGCTTATGCCTGTGTAGCTGCAAGAATTCCTTCCAGCACATTCATGATCTTCAGTTGAAGCTAGGGAGAAACTAAGCGAGAGTGAGGCAGGGTTTCAAGTTTACATGCCTGTCGATCGTTTTTTTCGTTTGACACAAACATTGCAGGGATGCTAAAGTCCGCCAGTTCGGTCTGTTGTCTTGCAATCAAACCCTCCCACATCGGAAGAACCTTCTCGTGATCAAATCTGTAGAGATCCTTTTTGAAGGAATCGGCTATCTTCTGCAATTCCAATTCTCTTTTCAATACTTATTTGTAGGACACGAATAACGTATACCTCTGCCTCATGTTTGGAGAGCACCGTTCCAATTATGGCCGCCCTTTGCAAGACGTCAAGGAAGATGGACAGGTTCTGGTTCGAAGACGCACTTGATCTTAGCAATCTTGACTTTTTCCTCGTATCCCTTCTGAATGGCAAAACGGTCGGTCGAAAGACGTCGCTCAAGTTCGTCTTGTTCATTTTTCATCTAATAAAGAGTTCATAAGCATACTAGCGATACCAAACAGCGCGTAGTATACGTACCTTCAAGAGAGCGTCAATTAACCCAGCATCATCTCCAAATTGGGCAAGGAGAGGAAGCGCCTGCTGGAAAGTGCAACTCCTGTTGTCCTTTACATTTTGCACTTGTGAAATAGGTCTGCGCGAAGGTTGGGATGACAATTGAGAGGCAGACGACGGTTCAGCAGTGTTTGGTATCACATCTCTAGTTAGCGGGACTGGCGCCGGCGCTGGCGGGGAAACAGGAGTGGGTGCCTTTAGTTGCGACAGCAAAGACGCAACTGAGCCTCCTAATTCTGTTGGAGCGAGTAGCTCAGGATGTATGTCTGGGATTCGAGTGACAATGCATGAGGTATTTTCCGATGCTGATGCAGCTACTTCTCTCCACGCTTCCGAAGATCTTAGTTGTTCGAGAAGAGACTTGACAGCTTCGGGATCCTGGAAACCACTGGGGTCAGCATATGGTGGACTTAGAAAAGTCAGAGTTACATTGATATTCATCCCAGTTCTTGTATGGGGATCAATTTGTGTGAAGGCAGACAGCAAACCAATTGTCGACTACCAAAAAAGGCGCGACTTATATGTAAGTTTGGTTCGAATACTATGCGCATGAGCGACTGGGTTAGTCAAGGGTTAGTCTCCTGTAGTCAGCCCTATAAATATCACGTTTGTCTCTGTCAAGGGGAATGGAGGTCGACTGGCTGATTATGGGGAGTCGCGCTGGCTGCCACCAAGCTGCCACTGAACCACCGGTATCGATAACCAATTTGGAATAGAGCCCCAAAGATGCGTAGAAAAATTCACTTGGTTTATGCAATCTTCAAGCTTATATCCGGTTGAATGAGGTACCTGAAGCCACAAAAATGTCATTGTCAGAAATGGGCAAAAGGGATCCCTTGTTCAAAGATGAATGCTGGAAAATTCCTTTTATCACGTAAAGGAAATAGATGTTGAACCGGTATTGAGTAGTGCTAGTGAGCTTCAATGCAGACGCCTCATATATAAGGCATGGAACAGATAGATGCGCTGCTTCAAAGTTCTGAGCAAATTTACATGATTAACGACAGAAAATCAATTCATAACAGTCGGAAGGTGATCCGTTGGATGAAATATTCAGCGAAACCTTGAACGAATCCAAGGACAAAATCCGGAAGTGCTGGATATCGGAATACAATAGTTTCAGACGAGTTTCAGCTTGTCGGTCAGGCCCAAACAGGGGATAGATGCACGAGGCGAAGCGCCGCAAGGATTCCCTGGTGGGAATCTGTTGTGATGGGCAACTGAACCGATTATTCCCACCGTGTATTGTTCCCATCGTGGTGTCCTTCTTCTCCCCTCCCTCTGCCCTCCCTTCTTGCCGCCCTTTATTCTTCTTCTTCTTCGGGAGCTTCAGGACCCTCGTCTTCTCCTTTCTCTTTCTTTTCTTTGCTACCAATGCCTGCCACAGCCGACAATGATCCTCAGGCCACTTCGTCCCACATGATGAAGACCACAAAACGCGGCAGACCATTCCTCAAAGTTAGTTTGTCTGTCGTCATACGCTATGTTCCCTCATCTTTTTCAAACAGGACACTCTGGACCTCTTCGCAACTCTCATCGTATCTCTCCAATTGATTTTGAAGGTCTTGCACCCGACCCACGACCGCCTGTAATCATGCCAAAGCCATCCGAGTCCATGATCAGCTCCGGACCATCGTGGTAAATTGAAATCAGATTCTCTGCGTCATATTCTATCAGAACATCAAAGTTGAGCACCTCAGTCGGTTTCAAGAAAAATAAAAATATAACACTGACTTGAGTTGGCTAGAGTCTCAAAGGCCAGCCTGTTCTCGGTCGCAGATTTGGTCTTGAGCTCATGAACAGAGCAGCCCTCGTGCAACAAAGTTTTGGATTGGTTGCGCGCCCCGACTTCCGTGCCCAGTTCTACGGTTCCTAACGGGGCCAATAACGAGCATCATCGATGGCCCTCTCCAACCTCTAGAACAACGAAGACTTGCGTAAATCCGCCCTTCGAACCAAGCGAGTTTCCCGCGTGGCGCAAAAAAGTCGAAGCGTCTTTTGGTCGGGGAAGTCACCAGCGTAGATTGATCCCAATCATAACTCTATGAATAATTTCTCAGAGGTCGCACGTCGAAGGGTGAAAACGACGAAAATTTTGGAGAAGCCAACGGGATCATGGACCTGCATCAACTAACGGCACAGAATTAACGACTTAGCATTGGGCCAAAGAAGAATCTAGGCACGTCTCGCATAGCAGAACTGCGACTCTTTGACCAATATATCCGCCCAGTTTTACCAGTGAAAAACTCGCTCGCCATGGACAGACGTGGGTAGTCGCCAAAGTACGCCCTCCCCGTGCAATTTCGTGCTGTGAGCTGCTCGCAGATGTGCAAAAAGACGAAAGCCGACTCGGATCACCTTCACTGGACAAGGTCGGCGTTGGGTGCCCGGCACCGCGATACGAAAAGTTGGAAGAGAGGCGACGAAGAGCCACCAACCAGCGAACCACTCGGTCGAAATACGGTGTTGAGGTCAAGGAGGTACTTGTCGAACAACGAACAGTGGCGTTATGACAAGTCTTCAAAGTTCATCTGCATCCAAAGGATCGGCAGAATAAAAACCACCCCACATCGTTGCATCGTACTTAAGTAGATTGGCGCGACGCTGGAAGATTGCTGTCAGGTCCAAGATACGCGTCAGGATCGACCGGGCCGTATGGAGGTGAGAGCGTTCGAATGGCTTGTCAAGGGAAGAACTGTTGGCTGAGAACATCAATCGCTAGACAACGGATGACCGGTGCGAGATCTGGCATGTCCACAGGAGGGTCAATCGCGATTCGATCTTCAATCTCAGAGCTAGATTTGGGAACCCCTCATCGACGCGTCGAGGACTCGGAGAGGTGATGAGATACGCGAGATGATGCTTCGCGGTCGTTGTGTCGGAGTCTTCGTAAATTTTCTTGGATTTTTCATGTTTTGTTATTTTACAGCAGAAACGACATTTCGACGAAAGTCGCTCCAGGGTCATCACGGCAATGTCTCCGTAAGGAAATCATCTTTTAGGGAATGTTGGGTGCATTCGTCGCCAAAAGTTGACGTTGAGGTTTTGCCAGAAAGTTGAAACAACCCATAGGAAGTAGTCACATCGCGTTGCATTGTCACAAGCATGTTCTTGCCTCTCAGAAGGCGCTGCGAAATGTGGGAGATTCTCTAGAGTGTGCTTTGTGAATTTTCCGTTGTTCTCTGTCGAGTCGTATAGCGCAGTCGTTGAAAGGAAAAATACACATTTCAAAGACATGAGCGACGGTGAATGAGGAGCTAGTGCTACAATATATGACAGTGAATGACCCAATGTTTCAGGATTAAGTTTTTTTTCACGCTTCTAAGACACGGTACACCTGGGCGGAAAAAAAGGGTTTGAGACAGAGCAAGCAACGAAGAGTTGGGGGGTCTTACCTTCACCGCACCGCTTTTCAAATCCTCCAGCCTATAGCTCACGGCCTCCACAGTCTACGGAGGCATCAGTCAGTAACCAACCTAGGTCAAACGAAGAGCAACCAACAACGAACCTGCTGTCCAACATGTTGATTCGCGTGATACAATCTCACCTTCGACTTCTTCGGCTCAAACTCACCCACAACGCCCAACAACGGCTCTCCTGCGCCTACAGTCTGCGTATAGGTCTGAAGCCCCTTGTGACCTTTTAACTTCGCGTCCACCAGCTCCACCACGTCTCCAGGCATGATCTCACTAGCCCTCTTCTGCACAGCCGATCCAGTCTGCTGATATATGAGATACCCATACCCAGACGACAGCGGGGCAGCATTCGGCACTTCGCTGAGCACAGCGCTGACGAAGCCTGCATACGTTCCATCGCCAATCAACGACTTTTTAGATTTCTCAAACAGTGCTGTGGCAACTTCGCAAATCTGCACACCAACCCGACCCCAAATGGCAATGAGCTCATCCGCAGACAGTTTAGACTCTTGCCTTGCCAAGCTCCTTCCTCCTGGCACAACAGGCGGAGGCAAGGGAGCAGTGCCAGAGATCCCTGCGTCTGTCCAAGACATTGCCAGATCACCTCCGCCAAAATCGAACGATGCACTAGGGATGGAGGGAAGCTCCCACTGAGAGGAGATACTGTCCGCCAAATCCGACGGAGGAAGTGTTGGTGCTGCTCGACCAGGTACTGCCCGTCGCCCAGGCGGCAAATGTGGTGGAACCTCTTGCGACTCTACAGACTGGGGTTCGTCCACGAACACATACTCTGCTTGAGATTTTGGAACAGTCATTGACGACTTTCGAACTGGAGGCGCAACACCGAAAGATGAATCACCAGACGCGCTCCTTGCACTTCTCGTGGTCTGAACACTAGGTCTTCGAGTTGGGAGACTAGTCGGAAGAGGGGGTCGAGGAGGCTGAGAGTACGCTATATCAGTGGATCGGCGTTTCAGCGAACTCGAAGTATCAGTAGATGCACGTCCCTGCAAAGTAGCCCTTCGGTTTGGGACTGGAGGCGGCGTTTCCTCCTGTGCATCTTCATAGTTTACTTCTTCGATCTCGCTTTCTTCTGCCTCGACTTTAACGCCATCTTCCGAGGTGCCACTATCGTCCCTTTCATGAGGTTCAAAAGGCGGCGCTCGTGGAGGAGGAATGGCACGATGAGGAGGAGGAGTGGACACCGCAGGTGAGACGGGTGCTGAGGAAGCATCTTCATCCCTCAAAACATGCGATCGTTGGGGTGCAACAGTCCCAAGAGCCAAAGGCATCATGCCAATCCGCATTCCACCCATCCCAGACAACTTCGCAGCGATTCGCGCCTTACGAGCTCTCTCTTCTTCTTCTTCATCTTCTTCGCCAACATCTCCTTGGTTCTCCTCAGCAGCAGCAACAGGCTCTTGTGCTGCCTGCTCATCCTCGCGTCTTGCAGGGGGGGCTTGACGAGTAGGAACGGGTGGTGCAGCGCCAAACTTAATTCCTCCCAACTTGGCCATGCGCTCAGCAATTGTTCTGCGTTTCGAAGACTCAGCTTCCTCTTCAACGTGTTCCTCGCCAGCTGGTTCTGAAGCATGAGCAGGAGCCGGAGCAGGAGGACGCTGGAAGTGAGAAGGAGTCAAGTTCTCCAAGCCAGCTAGAGCAGGCGGCGACTGCAAAGTGATTGTTGACGCCCTCCTACTTGGACTGTGGAACGTGGGATCTATTGGGTCTACTCACGAGAATCAATCAATAGTTCAACCAGATTTCTAGAAAAGGACACTTACCCCCTTCCTCATCGTCCAAAACCTCAGAAGGGACAGACAACGAAGAAGATGCAGTCAAAAGCTCTTCAGGCTGACGAATAGGCGGTGGGGGAGGTGGTGGAAGCACCCGATGGGGAGGAGCTGCATGAGGAGGGGTAGGCGTGTGGTGAAGGGGAGACACCGGATTGCGTGGGGAAACCGGTATGGGAGGGGGTGGTACAATCACAGGCGCATCCACACTAATTGGTCGATCTTTCGACCTCATCGGGCGAACAGGCAGGACCTCATCATAATCTGAATCATGCCCCATATCCGAGGGAGGTCCTGGACGAAGATGAGAACGAACTGGAGGCGGAGGGATGTTTCTCATGGGGCGAGAGGTAAATTGAGGGGAAGAAGTCGAAGGAGCAGAAGATTCCCCATCACTGTCCCTTGCATATGCCTCGATAGACCTCCGGTGGGGAATTGGCAAAGGCACCGACTCGTTGTCCGTACCTTCATTCTCGTCGTCGTGTCGCAGAGGTTCCTCAATATACCGATTACGCGCCCTAGGAGGAGGCACGAAGAGATGAGAAGCTGCAAGGTTCCCATCATCTTCACCCTCATCCTCTTGCCCCACTTCTTCCGGTTCTTCAGTGTGCACATCCTCCTCATGTCCTTGTTGTTCAAACTCTTCTTCATCATCCGGTGTCGTCGGAACCACTCTCCGTGGTGGATACTCGCGAGCAAAAAGCGACTCTCTACGCGGAACCCGAGGTGGAGGTAAAGGTGGAGTCCCGACCTCCTCGTCCTCTTGATCATGTGCAAGCGTCGTGGACAGCCTACGATGAAGCTGACGGGTGGTACCATATTGCGAACCCTCAACCTCAACTCGCTGTTGCTGACTACGTGTCAGCGGTTCTTCATGTTCTTCATCGTAAGTCTCGTTTTCTATACGAATAGGAGAAAGGGGAAAGAGGAAAAGGCAAGATCAATGAATATTACACACAAATTATACAAAAAATAGGGGAGGGGATATTAATATTTACCGTCCTCTTCCTGGATGTCGGACGTCGTTTCGATCTTCCTCTTCTCTCCTTCCTCCTTTATGGGTTCAGGAGAATGTGACCGTAACCCAAGAGTTTCAGTGGGGGTTTCTTCAAATGACATTGATGAGTCTACGCTGGATTTCCTGATTGAATCTTTCCTTTGAGGAGGCTCGATGGGAGAGTCGATGCTTGCTCGCCTTGGCAGCGATCCAATGCTGGTGCGTCGTTGTGAGTCAGTGCTAGTGCGTCGCTGCAAGTCCACACTACTGCGTCGCTGGGAGTCAACACTGGTACGTCGTCCCAAGTCAACACTAGGCCGTCTGCCAAGTTCAACCGAAGGAGGGGACGCAGCAATGGGCGCGGCCTCTACGGAGGAAATCGACGCTTGTCGTTGAGGACGGGAAGTACCAAGGGCGAATGGATTAACTCCACCCATCTTTGCCAACTTTTCAGATACTCGCTTGCGTCGAGCCACTTCCTCTTCTTCCTCTTCTACCTCTTGAGTTGGTTTGAGAACTTCCATCTCAACCTCAGAGGACGCCTGGACGTGAACAGGAAGTTGAGGAGGTAAGGAGGGTTCACTCGAAGAGGGCTCCTCCTGGTGCTCGACAATGGGAGGCTGGGAAAGTGCAACAGGATGGTCGAAGATGGTCTCTGGCGACTTGACCACATGTTCGGCAACTGGAGGTTCAGCCGGAATCTCCTCAGTCAATGATTCTTCCCCAGTGACAGCAGCCGGTTGTTGTAGCTCAAGAGGTTCTGCTGCAGGCAAAGTAACCTCCTTCTCCTTCTGTTCAGCCGCCTCCTCCTGCTCAATAGGAGGAGGCCCAGGCGACTTGGAGACTTTCTTCCTGGGAGGAGCAGCTCGACGTGGGACAGCAGGGACAGGCATGGAGCTTGGGCTACGCGCAGGAACAGAATCCGCAGAGTCGACGGAAAGAAGAGACGCAGATTCTGAATTTTTCCTGACTGGGAAGCACTCTAAAATAACCAAGTCAGTAGATGAGTAATGTCTAAGAAGATGGAGCATACCAGCAGCTTCGCCTTGGGACGATTTCCTAGTCGGTAAGGTCGCTGAGCCTTCTTCCGTTGTAGCAGCTACGACCACCAGGTGAGGTAGATACAACAAAAGACGACAAACCACGTACCATCAGCAACAATAACAGACGGCTTATCCGTCTCTGCAACATTAACATCCTCACTCCTAGAAACCGCAGGAGGCGGTCCCGCAGCAACACCAGCAACGTTCACCGGTCCCTCATCCGGTTTGCCAGTTTCTTCCTTCAACGAGGGCTTCTTAAACGGCAGCAAAGGTTTGTGGCCCATAACAGGCGGCCCCATCCCCAGCTTCGCACCTCCCAATCTCGCCATGCGGGCAGCAATCGCTGCACGACGTTGTCTTTCCTCTTCCTCCGGGTCTACCTCGGTAGGCTGCCCTTCACCTTCCTCCGCAGCACCTTCCCCTCCCTCTTCAGACGGAACCTCTGGCTGAGGAGCCGCAGTCGGAGCAGGGACCGACGGTACGGGATGGCTCTCACTCTCACCATCGTCATTATCATCTTGGACAGGAGCAGCTACAACTGGAGGAGGCCTCCACTTTGGTTTCTCAACGGCCGGTTTAGGTGCAGGTGGAGGCGGGGCACCAAACGCTCCCTTCCCTTGCAGCGCAGCCATGCGTTCCTTCAAACTCCCGCCCTTTACGATACTATCCTTCGCATCAGAGACCGACATGCCTCCCGCCCTAGGTGACGGTGACGGATGGTCTGCCCCTCCGCCTGCGGTTGACGCAGACGGTGAAGAAGGAGGCGAAGGCTGCTTAGGTTTCCACGTCGCAAACCCCGCTGGCTTGGGTCTAGGTGGTGGAGGCGCAGCAGCAGCACCTCCCTTCTCAAAAGCGGCAATCCTGTCGCGCAGAGAGCCTGGCTTTGGCTTGGCCGGTGGGGATGGCTGATCTGACATGACTGTAGAACGGCGATGGTGGTTGTTTTAGAACAGATGCTGGCCTGATCTGAGACTGCTGAGCTTATAACTGCCTAATCATCATCCGCGCCCGACACGCGTTACGCGTTTCTCACGCTAAATGTATTCAAATAATATTTTAGGTGACTATCACAACTCCTTCATCGTCCTCTGCCTTCCGAAGCCAGAATGGTCCTGTAGGAGTGTTGAACACAAGCATAAGAATAGGCTAGCAGGGACATACCAACTGGGTCATCTTCATCGTGGTATATCGTCGTCCAGGAGCCAAGCACTCCATAAGCGGAACGTAGCCCACCAACTTGAATTCCTTCCAAGCTACATTGCGGGCTCAAGATTGGTCAACCTCAAGTAGCACGCTTCTCACCTCCAAATAGCATTTCCTGAGTCACCAGATACCTGAGTATCACGTCAGTGCTGGGCCATGGCGATAAAGTCGGTAAGCACTCACACTACTCCAATGCACTTGATTATCGGGCGTCATCTCAATACGACCACTCATAGTCGACGTCGACGGGTCCCGCATTTTTCCAAAGAAGATGATCACCGGTCGATCCGGGTGTTCAGGATCGTGTTCTGTGTGCGCCACTTCCAGGTCGACGTCCATCGTCCGAAAGATCTCCACGAAGTCATCCGACTCAAATATGGACGTATCAATCCCAGAATTCTACCGCAATTCATACCTTGAGCACACCCCCGCAACAGATACAGTCAAAAACATACAGGCGGGTCGTTGAATGCTAAGCACATTGTCAGTAAACACGCTGAGTAGTCAATAAGAACATACCATTCAAATCCCTATGATCCACAAAACAAAAAGAAACCTTCCAAAGTCCCTTAATCCCCGCCCAATCCTTCTCCTTCGCCAAATCCAATCCCCTCGGAATAGAAATTTGGGTATACGGCATGCTCATTTTATAAATCGCATATTCAACAGTCTCCCCTTCATCCAGCGTCACAAGGTGCCTTGACATAACATGATGAATCGCCTGCATATGCTCCCAATTCACACCTCCACGGACTCCTTCATTGGTAAACGGCCCAAAATCATTATCCCAGCGATAGTTCCGCATATTGTATACATACGCCCACGAAGCAACACGGCTTTTTCGAGTAGTATCGCCATTTGTTAAACCGTAGTACGTGTGCAGTTTTGCTAGGAGCTGTTTCTCTCGGTCCGTCAGGCCAGGACGCGTCTTTACGTCGTCTAGGAAGCCCTGTCGGAGCATGGCTGCTACCCAGACGAGGTTGGACGAGATTTCTTCAAAACCAGGAGTATATGTCCAATTGAGATTGGACAATGTGTCCTCAGAACCGCCCGAGGAGGATATCGGAGGCACGAAAGAAATCATGTCGATCAGCGTCTGCAAGACCTTGCCTAGTTCGTTTGGCTTGCAGAGCGAGCTGTCGATCATGACAGAACGTGCTCGAAGAATACGCTGCAACTCTCTACGCCAGTCAACTTTTGGCCTTTCCCGACCATCTTGCGTCAAACAGAGACGTGGGTCATCGTACTGCTGAGAGAGGTATAATCCGCCCCAAAGCGCGTCGTCACGGTCATCGTTGTAGATATGGGAACGAAATGAGCGACACGTTTGGGATAGTCGGGCAACGTCGAAAGGATCGAAAGTGAGCAGTATCTCGTCGATAAGCTCAGGCGGCAGGTCAAGGAAATGCATAGAACGATAAGTATGTTCAACGCAAGAGGCTAGCAGTTGTTCGGCAGAGCCATCGGCAGCACCGGGCCGGTAGATACTTAATCTCACATCCCAGATACAAAAAAAAATTGCGCATATCGAATGAGGGATACTCTACAACGCACCAGCTCTCCGCATCGCATCGACCAAACCATGCTGGTCTCCCAACCCATACGTCAACGTCATCCTCTCAAACACAGACGGTCCTTCAAGCTCAAGCTCCAACTATCAGCATTATGAGATTTCTTTACAGCTGTCAAAAGTACTTGTAACTTACCAACGAAATAATATCATCAAGGAGATGAGCCTGCCCCACACTCATTCCCACCATCGCGCCTTGATAGTTCCCATTCACGATATGCACATGAAAATGGTCTACCCAACCCAGCCTCAGAAAAAAACGCGAAGAGCAGGGGGGGCAACGAAAACTTACAATAACTCGGCTGATAATGCACATACATCCTCAACGCCCCCCTCCCCAACCCCCACTTCTCCTTCACCACACGTTCCGCTTCGCTCCTAATCGAACTCAACAACCCAACATGCCCTTTCCTAAGATCACGCAGACTCCGGATGGTGCGATCTTGCACCAACGCGACGAGGTAGAGAGAGGACACGGTTTTCAAATCCCATTTCATATCCGGCAGAACCATGAAATCCGTACATGAGTATAGGACTTTGGACTGTTCGGAGAGCCCGAGAAGGATATTTTCCACCCTTAGTAGTCAGGTAGGTGCTGAGCTCGCGTGTGAAGGAGATTGAATAGAGCTCACCACTTCGTCCGAGAGGCGGGAAAGGCAGCGATGTACGGTTTGACTACCGTTTCGTATAGTTCAGGCGTCTCGCGAACCATGACTTGTTCTTGTTTCGTGTACTACCACTCCAGAAAACCCAACATCAGATGAATGTGCAACACCCACGAAGAATGGGCAGAGATTCACCTTGCGAATGTGTACCTCCGTAGCGGGGCAGATGACATTGATCTTGAGGTCGCTCTCCCTGTTGTCGCCTAACCATCCAAAGAACCATGTGTACTGTCGTCATCGTCAACCAGGTGAGGGGGTCGGAGAGGAATCGCACGTACGATATCTGTGCTTTCTTCCATGACAGCCCTCTGTATAAGCCCATTATCACCCAAGAGACGAGGGGCATCTGTAGGATCCAACGCGGTCTTCTCAACGCGTACGATCGCTGGGACTGGCTCCGATGAGTTTGGAAAGGTTCCTAGCAAAGTCAAAGAGTGGGTGAGCGGATCTTCGTTGATGACGCGGTCAAACTTGAAGTTGTTCAGAGCGGAGAGTGTGTTGGGCGCAGATGGATTGGACATGGTTGTGGTTATGGTCAAAGGAGATTACATACTAAATTACCATACAGCAAATTATCGGCACAACTACTCCTTCTTATTACCCCGTCTAGAACCCTTCACCCTCCGAGCAGCCCTCCAAAATAGAGTCGCAGCGGCAGAAACGACCATGAACAGCGGAAAAACCCAACTAAGCCTCCACGTCCACCCTGCATCCTGCTCCAACCTCCTTACCAGCGCGTCAACGTGCGCTTCCAACTCCTGACGCGTTCCAGAGTTGTCAATGACGATATCAGCGTATTTGACTTTCTCCGCGATGGGTAATTGGGAGTTGAGTCGCGAGGAAGCGTCTTCTCTTGATGAATTATCACGGAGCATGAGTCGGAGGAGTTGGAGTTCGACGGAACTATGGACGAACGAAATATTCAGAACGATGAATGCGCGATGGAAATAACGACGACGAACCAATACACCACCACCACCTTTCCAACCATCTTCCACAGCGACCCCTCAATAAGCAACGGAACATCAAGCACACAATACTTATTCCCCCTAATCCAATATCCCAAAACCAGCCAAAGCATGGCCCACCTCACAGCAGGATGCACGATCCCATTCAACTTCCTTCTCTTCTCCTCATCATTAAATATGATCGTGCCCAATTTCTTCCGGTCGAGAGTCCCGACTGCTTGGATTACGCCGTCCCCGAAATAGGCTTGGATCTTGGCGAGGGCGGGTGTGCCGGGTTCGACGACTTGACGAGCGATGACGTCTGCGTCGATGAGGGGGACGCCTCTTGCTCGGAGGAGGTTGGAGACCGTGGATTTGCCGGTCGCGATGCCTCCTGTAAGGCCGACGACTTGCTGGGTTGTTAATAATTTTCTTGGGACATAATTAGAGAAATGGGCGCACCTATCATTGTAGTACTTGGCTAGACGTTCATGTTCAGAATCAAGTCTGTGACTCTGGCGGACGTGGACCAAAGTAACCTTGATGGCCCGGTGACTTACGGCCCGGAGCAGAGTACTGGGACAATATGATAAACATCTTGCAGAGTACTTAGATACTACGACTTGGGAACATATACAATACCCAACCTCTTTAACTGAAGCCTTTTCCCAACATACACCTTCAAAGCACTCAACTCATCCAACGTCATCGTCACCCCACATTCCTCAACATCACACACCGACGCTCTCAACAACCCCGACGCCCTCACCCCAGCCTCCACAAGCTTCTCAGATATCACAGACGACCCAGAGTAAGTATCAAGGTATTCACGAAACTCGTTTTGATCTTTTATGGCGTTTATCTCCTCGAGGGCAGCAACCATTTGTTCTTTCCTCAATCGTGTTTCCTTGTCGTCAGAGTTGTGTAGCTTTCCCCGAAGTTTGCTGTGTCGAGCTTGGGGTTTAACAAGAGACTGAGGGGCGGTGGTTAATTTGTGTTGCGCGCAGAGGGGAGAAACTAAGATACTTTTGGGACGTTGTCTGTATTGCGGAACACCGTGTTGACCGGCACCGGCACTGGGGTGGGCTAGCAAAAAGGTCAAGAACACATGAGCCGAGTCCGCATAAGTGAAATTTAAGACAAACATTCTTCGGGGATATCTTCCGCCTCTTGGTGGGAGGCTCGCAGCTGTTGAAACGGGATACATTGAGGTCATCGTCGTTGGGGGCAAACTCAGAGTCGCGCTTGCGTTTCATGGCAGAGAGGAATGAGGTCTGCGTCGAGCTTTCCGACCATATATATATATATATCGAGGAACCCGGTCATCTAGGCCGCTGGATAGAATTCCATCGAGGTCGAGGAAGGTCGTGTCATGGGTCGGAGGGACGAAGGAGGATAATTTGCTGTCGTTACTGGCTTGAAATGCGTCCAAGAAATGATCAGGACAGATTGAAAGCAAGAGACGTCCGATTTCGAGAAGAAGATGCTTCTCATTGGTCACGGTCACGGCCCATACGACAATTGGGTGACGAGGAGCGGTCAAGGTGTTTCACGATATGGAATCAAGAGGTCCGCGTAATGTATTACAGATCATTGCAATTAATGTGTTCGATTCGAAGAGAGGCCAATTCGCCCATCGATCGAAATTAATCCACCAAGTATAAGTAACTCAAGATTTTGCGTTTTAGACAAGAACAGAGGCTACAGTCGAGCAGTGTAGGGCATCGAGAGAAAGATCTGGTAGGTTTGTTGGTTGGGCCATCCCACAAGATCAGTGCATAGTTCAGTGGAATGGCGAAGTTGGGATGAAACTAAAGGAGGAGAAAAGTTGGGAAAGTAACGTGTCACGGCGCCGACGCGTTACGTATGTCACCACCCTCGTCACAGCCGCGTCGTCACCACATTCCTACACTCCTTCCCTCATACAATGGGTATCAAAGGCCTCACAGGGCTCCTCTCCCAACATGCGCCCAAAGCCATACAAGAACACGAAATAAAGACCCTCTTCGGGCGCAAAGTCGCCATCGACGCCTCCATGTCCATCTACCAATTCCTCATCGCCGTGAGACAGAAGGACGGCGAACTCCTCACGAACGATGCGGGTGAAACGACGAGCCATCTCATGGGCTTGTTTTACCGCACGCTTCGAATTGTGGAGAATGGGATTAAGCCTGCGTATATTTTCGATGGGAAGCCGCCAGAGTTGAAGAAGGGTGTGGTGAGTTTTCTTTTGGGGTTGGGTGGGCATGCAGGGACTGATGTGTTTTGGTGTAGCTATCGAAACGTCTTGAGAGGAGGGAGGAAGCCAAGGAGGAGGGAGAGGAGGCGAAGGAGACTGGAACTGTTGAGGATGTGGATAGGTTTTCACGGCGGACTGTTAAAGTCACTCGAGAGCACAACGAGGAATGTCGACGGCTCTTAAGGCTCATGGGGATCCCCGTTGTCATTGTACGCACTTTGCCTCTCTTCTAACTCTCATATTTAGCATGTCCTCTAGGCACCCTCAGAAGCAGAAGCACAATGCGCTGAGCTGGCGCGGGGAGGGAAGGTATACCTTGCGCTCTACGTATACTGCTTATTCTTACACGCAATACAGGTGTACGCTGCAGGCTCAGAAGACATGGACACGCTCACTTTCAACGCGCCCATCTTGTTCCGACATTTAACTTTCTCAGAGGCGAAGAAGCAGCCTATCAGCGAGATAAATCTCAAGGAGGCTCTCGAAGGGCTTGACATGAACATGAGCCAAGTACCTGCCTTTTTATTCGTTTTACTCCGTACGCTAACCACCATTCCAAGTTTATTGACCTATGTATCCTCCTTGGATGCGACTACCTCGAGCCCATCAAAGGCGTCGGTCCTAAATCCGCACTCAAGCTGATACGTGAGTATGGAGGGCTCAAAGGCGTCGTGAAGCATTTGAGAGAAAAGTGAGTTTTCGTCACCACACATACGTCGTCACCTAATCTCTTCCAGAGCCGCCGTACAAAAAGCAGCTCAGGCTGCCGTCGACTCGGACGAAGAGTCCGAGCACGAAGATGAAGACGAACCAGCGCCAACGTCCGATGTAGAAATGCCTGACCCAGTGGAAGAAGATCAAGACGGGGAAGAGGAAGCAGAACCAAAATCATCTCAGGCTATGCCAAAGAAGAAGAAAGCTAGTTCCAAGACGAAGGAGAAGGGTAAAGCCGCTGTGAAAGGCAAGGGAAAAGGAAAGGGGAAGGGAGGTGGAATGCAGATTCCGGATGAGTGGCCTTGGGAAGAGGCCAAGAAGATTTTTGAGAAGCCTGATGTTTTGCCTGCGGACGAAGTCGAAGTGGGTTGTGTATCGCCACTTTTACCGAAAGATGTGTGCTGATTAGTTGTTGCCCCCAGCTGGAATGGACCAATCCCGATGTCGACGGCCTTGTACAATTCCTTGTTAAAGAAAAGGGGTTCAAGTGAGCTGTCTTTCTTTTCCTTTCTTCCAGGATACTATTGCTGATCCCGTTTTTTTTCAGTGAAGATCGTGTGCGCAAGGGCGCTGAGAAACTTCAAAAGTTCCTTAACAGTAAACAGCAAGGACGGCTCGACGGCTTTTTTAGTGTAAAGCCGAAGGAGAAGGCAGCAGCGCCGGCCCCAGTTGGGAAGGCGAAGGGGAAAGGGAAGGTTGATGCGAAGGCGAAGGGGACGAAGCGGAAGGTGGGTTTCTTGAATTCTATGTCTGGGCCTTTGGCATGACCAATTCAATAGGTCGATGAGAAGGCGGAGAGTAGCGCTGGTAAGAAACCAAGGAAGAAATAGGCGTCACCTACTGTTCCTTTCCCGTCCGACTTGTTTGGGTTTCGGTATTTTTATTTCCTTGTCGGCTTTGTATATCTCTTGCAGTTTATTTTTTGCAGTTGCTATTCATCTTCTTGCGCAGGCTCCTAAAAGCATTGCCCTCGTCAACCTAATTATAGTCAGTGGTAACCATGTAGCCGTAACCAGTAAGTTACTTGCGATCACTTCAGACCCAATTCTCTGTTAGCCCTCCCAAGATTGGCGACTAACTAGCGGATATGACCACCATCTGCATGAAGACGCGAATTCACTGCACGTCCAGCGCGACTATTCACCAACACCTGAAAATTATGACGAGGAGAAAAGATATCATCACTACCAGCGGGAAATATCACGCTCGCACGAAGCACATCGACATAATCATTTTACCTGCTTCGTCATTTTCTCAAGCCTTCACGGGCGGTATGACCGCCCAAAGGCAAAACACACTACAGCAGCACTGGACTGTCTTCAAATTGAGCGGGAGTGTCAGAATAAGAGTAAGGAACTTTCAAAAGTGCAAGTATTCATCAAGTAAACACCGTTAATTTACGCTACAAGAGGTCACATTGTATAAGCTTGGACAAAGAACAAGACTTGAACTGGTCTTCAGCATTCCCTTGTCGCCCAACAAGAATAATGTCCATTCTCTCGTGCAGCACCAGGAGTGGCAGATTGTCGAAGTTTCTTGGCTATATCTAAAGGAGTTTCATATAACGACTTCCAACCATAAGATGCCTGCAAGAGCGCTTCCCAAACACCCTTTTCTTTGATAGGTAATAAAACGTCCGGGGAGAGACCAGCACACCAGATCTCATAGATGACAGCCCGGTAACTTGCAGATGCATTCTTGCGGACAACTTTGAGCAAAGGCTTCTTTGCTGCCAAAGCAAAGACAATCTTTATTATGGGTACAGCGCACCCTTTGTCCTCCAGAATATTGAGGTCGTGAGGATTCATGGCATCGAACAATTCCTGTTGAGGTTGGGTACCGTACGCTGAATCATTTTTGACTTGAATGAGAACTAGTCCTGCATTCCCAATCTCCAATTTTGTACCGTTCTTTAGGAAGGCATTGATAATGTCAACACCATTTTGGTTGTTCGCGCATAAGACTCCTGCTCCTCGACCTATCAATAACAAGAGGGAGGTGAGGTCAATAGCCTTGAATTCGTGCACCTTGACGAAATGTGAAAAATGCATTTTTGCTTGGGGAAAATCGCTTGCAAGCTTGTGTAGTTCTTGAGCAGATTTTTCAGAGCAATTGAAAAGCCCCCCCAAAAAGAAATCAGCCAGGCTGAAGAAGCGGTTTCCTTTCTCTGGGTTGCCGTAAATGCTGGGAGGGCCGACTGTTGCATCTCGCGCAAGAGTTAGAAGTAATAGAACTAAAAACTCCCCGCGATCTCCTTTCGAGATCGCAAAGCCCTCCATCACCGACTTCAGTGCATCTGCTGCATTGAATGAATGATCCCGCGTCATGAGAAAGTAAGCAGCCTCTGACAATATCGGTTCAGAGGAAGATGCTGTCGTCATTGTCTGACAGGCTCCATCGATTTTGAGGCACACGCGCATGTGCCCTTCGACTTGTTTTCTCTCGTTCGACTGCTCAATGTAGTTGGTAGACTGGAATTCGAGTGGAATTCGCTGAGCCAGGCATGCTAGTTTTTGATCATCTGAAAACTTTTTTACAAATTCTTCTGCCATGAGTTTTGCAGCAGCAAAAATGAGAATGTCACGCTTGACATCATCTGAACCCGCTTGCCATCGGGTTGCAAATCTATCATAGTTTCATAGGTAACAATTATTTTGGAGGTAAGAGGGATACATACAGGGGCCGACCCATGGAGCAGATATGCCCAGGAGACGTCAAACACTCAAGGTTCCAATCCCCATTAAGGCTGATTTTGTGAGCGAAAGGATCAAATCCCAGATCTGTGAGTGGCTGACCCGGAATCAAGTCGCCCTTGATTATGCGTTTTGAAAGATCATACTCCGCCGCTGGTGTGAATTCGGAGATCTTCCCAGTTGTTGAAAGGAAAAGCGAGAATACAGAAAGGGTGCGAAATGATCGGAGGAGTTGCCGCACTTGATAAATGACAGACCACTGTTCTTCATTCTCAGAACCCTTCCGCTCTGCAATGGTATGCGCTTCATCGAACGCCAGTATGATTAAAGGTACTTCGTCTGCGTTCTCTCCATCAGGTCTGATGTACAGCTTCTTTAAGAAATCGCAGAGCAGCGTGAGTGCCAACTTGGCAGGGGTAGGTTGGGAGTTGGTACGAGCCATCTCAGCAGGCTCTGCAGTGAGTGCCAACTTGGCAGGGGTAGGTTGGGAGTGGGTACGAGCCATCTCAGCAGGCTCTGCAGATGCGCTCTGGGAAGAGATATCTGTCGCTATACAAACTGCGACATAGGTATCTTCATGCGTATCCAAATGTTGGGGTGGTATTTCATCCTAGCCAAAGGTCTTCGTCAGGACAAGTGACACACTCAAATGTGACATACTTGTGGGGGATCTCTTTTTAGTTGAGATGCCTTGTAAATAACTTCCTGGTAGAATTGTTTGTGATATTGATTGTGGGACTGCATTGTTTGTCCCTCCGTCATGCGCTTTCTGAATTTACTTGCAACATTACTGTAATCACACCCCTCATACTCCTCCTGCTTAAGGGTTTCCAGGGTGTGAGTAAAAAGTGCTTCGAAGAACTTGTCAGCGCGATCAAAGGCTTCGTTCTTGGATGACACCGAGGTTAAGTAATCTCTGAGTGCACCGTCTGCAGGTGGATAACCTGAAAAAAAGATAGGTATAATGCAATACCCCAAAACAATAACCGGACACACCAGTTGTGTGCATCCCACGAAGGTTCATGGTAATGACGAAACATGTCTTCGCCAGTTCGTCCGTCATCCTCGACTTCCCCATACCAGAGGACTGGACTATGGAGGCATAATTGGCGTAGACTTGGGGTGCACTTTTTCTGTTGTAGTTAACCTTGATGTGGGCCCAAAGACCAATTGCAGCATTGCCCTTGTATCGGTATTCCCAAGATTTCTGTGTGGCTGGAGGTCGAGATGAAAGAAGATGTGATATACTGAACCTCAATGAACTTACCCCATTCTTGTTCTTCCTTATTACCACGAGGACGAACGACATTCAGCCCCTCAGGCGCCACAGCATTATCCACAAAGTTCAGCAGTGCTTGCATATGCAACAGAGTGAATGATTAGAAGAAAGCCATGTTTGATGTTTCACGAACAAAACTTACGAGAGTCGAGGAGAGGTTGGAGCCTGCGTGCCTCCCAGGCTGACCGTAAAGAGATGATCAGCTCAGGATGTGCAGAGACGACTTTCTCAAGTTCGCCGAGGCCCTGGAATTTGCATCTGAAGTCTCCACTCTTCTCCATTATCCAGGAGATAATAATTGCCGCTTTCTCGTTGCCAATTTCCTCCCCTAAATTGAATACGTCATACGCAATTGTAAATAAGTTTTTTTCCCGCTCATGATCAGCAAAGTTATCAGAAGACAGGAGCTGTCTCTTGGGGTGTGGACTGAAAGCTTCTGAATCTGAGAGTCGCTTCGACATGACTGGGGGTCAAGTGCGGTGTGTTGACTGTGGTGGGGAGTGAGGAAAGCCACTTCGCGCGCGTTCGGCAAAGCCGAGACGTGCAGAGCCTAGAAAAGGTATTTGTGGGGATAATGAGGCCTGCTAAGATGGATAGCCCGTTCGGCAAAGCCGAGGTGCGCAAAAACTAGATTAGAGACGACGGAGGGAAACAACCAAGAAACAACAGGATCGGCGCTTGGGCGATGACTAGTCACTTTCGATAGGAGATTGTTTGGTCTCAGTAATTCAGGAACAATAGTATTTATATAATAATCAACTCGGCATACACTGCGGGAGTTACTGTGGTATTTCGCCTCTGCAGAGACACTCTTGATGGGATGTGGTGTAGTAGGAGGAGAAAATGATCCACCTTACGTGGTTCCCATTCAAATTCAATCATTCGCGACCGACACAACCCTCCCAGAGAGTCGGATGCCAAATGTATGTAACGTGCCTTAGACATAAACTACCCTCATCTTGCTACCAAGCTCGTGTGATGAGTGTCCTGTGTCCACTGCTGGTAAGACCAAAGGGTGAGCGCCCTGTACAATGCTCCCTCCTCCACAGGATACGAAGGAGAAGGGGAAGGGAAAGGTTGATGCGAAGGCGAAGGAGACTAAGCGGAAGGTGGGTTTCTTGAATTCTATGTCTGGGCCTTTAGCATGACCAATTCAATAGGTTGATGAGAAGGCGGAGAGTAGTGCCGGTAAGAAACCAAGGAAGAAATAGGCGTCACCTACTGTTCCTTTCCCGTCCTTGTTTGGGTTTCGGTATTTTTATTTCCTTGTCGGATTTGTTCTGTATCATATCTCTTGCAGTTTATTTTTTGCAGTTGCTATTCTCTTCTTGCGCGTATCCGACTCCAACATCATAACTCCAAGTATCCTGATGCTATTCTGAATTCATCTTCTTGCGCGTATCCGACCCCAACATCTTGACACCAAGTATTCTGCCATGACGCCAATCCGATGTCTGTCAGCCTGAGGACCAACCTGATCAGTTTCATCGTAGCGCTTGCAGTTGGAATGGCTTCTCGGTCGGCGTTGAGAAAATCTTTTGGTGATGCATGGTGGTGTGGCGGCTCTAGTAGCTGCGGTCTTGAAGGCGACCCTTGTACGTATATATATCTGGGTTTCGCGTTCAAGCATCACGCAAAGGCGCTTGAAGTGGAAAGAGTCAACAAGTGTAAATACGCGCACTTGTTTCCGAACCGTCCACCTGCAGGTCCTGCACCTTCTGCCAACCAGCAAGGAGCAAGTTCGACCCCATGCAAGTTCGTATATTCAATATGAAGACGAATTGACCGAATTTCTTTGTGCTTGAACAGGCTAAAACGCTCAGCGCTCACTAATTGCAAATCGGGCTTCGGCTAATTACAAGCCACCTTATGGCAAAGCAATGTGATCTCAATTTTGCGTTTGATTCCGAACGGTTGCCGTCCCACCGCGAATTACCGCATGCTACCCCACCTTGGCCGCATATCAACCGTTCTCAATGATTCAATCATAGCTAAAGTTATATCCTACCAGGAACAACCGTTCCTGACCGCCATATGGTCGCACCGACCAGGGAGGCCGAACTTACCACTGGGCCCAGCAGGCTGATCTCCTTTTACAACGACCATCATCTCATCTCTCTCCCCTCCCTCCCCCACTTTCGTTTCTCTCCATCATGTCGTCGCCGTCGCCAGAAATTTTGGGAAGCATTGACAGCACGCTAGGCGCCGTTTTCATTGGATTTGCGCTCGCGTGCTGTGTGTATGGGATTTTGGTCTCCCAGACCTTCTCCTATTTCCGAAATTACCCTGGCGATAGGACTCTCTTTAAATTGACTGTGCGTACCCCACTTGAATATTTGAGAAATGAAGCTGAATGAAAGGGTCGTTAGGTTATCCTGATCTTGTGAGGAATTTATACATAGCGGAGGTCGTCTGCCTTGCTTAGCTTGATCTTGATTAGGATTTTGGAGACGGCAGATCAAGCGTTCATTGGTCATCTTGTGTACTATTACAGCATATCCAATTATGCGAAACCGGTGGTGCTGCTCAGAGCAACGATGACTTGGTCCGTACCAATTCCCCTTTTTGTTGTTGGCACTCCCTAAGCCCTATATCTAATAGGTCTTTGATTGTGAGGATTTGTAGCCTTTTCTTCAACCCTTATATCCTAACCATCTACATCCTTGTCAGCTACAATTAACTGCTGGGGTGTGTTTCTCGACGTACCATCGTTAATGTGTCATTCATGTCATGCAGGCCATCGTTGGTGCCATTGTAAAATGGTGAGTTGCATTATATTCTATTCAATCCACGCTAACAATCCGATACAGCTATTTCGGCCTCAGAGTTTGGAGATGTATGTGATCCTGCGAATTCCCTGCTCTTCAAATCTCATTCTGCTTCACAGTTAGCGAACACAACTTCTTCATCACGGGCTTGATTGTGAGCGGAATTTTTGTGCTGTCTTCACGGCCTCTTAATTTTTTTGTAGCTCTTACTCGCAATTGGTCAACTGGGTGAGCGTTATCCACGCAATCAAAGTAGCAGCTCTCCCTAAAATTCTGCAATCTTCTTACTAGGACTCGCTTTCGGTACATCCAGCATATTTTCTTATCGTCCGAAAAGCCATGCTAACGATCCGCTGATCAGCTTTCACCGTAGAATCGTAAATAATTCAGTTCGCCCCTTTGTCGGCGAAAGCTCATCTTTTTTTCCTCTCAGTTTCCGACTACCGAGCATTTTCGCAGTCCACAAGCTCCAGGTTCGCATTGATTGACAGCTTGGAGACGGGCGGTGTGATTGATTTCATATTTATAGACACTTGGGACGATATCACTCGGATGCGGTGTTCTTACGGACGTTATTACGGCGGGCGCCTTGTGCTTCTTTTTGCAACGTTTGCGAACGGGGTATTCACCGTAAGCAAATGCACATTTTTTTAACACACACTGTTCCTGAAGTCGGTTCATCCGTAGATCTGACAGCCTTGTGACTAGCTTGTGCAGTTACGCGATTAATACTGGTGTTCTGACTAGGTACGCGGTAGATTTTTTTTCTCGGTCAATAAATATCCAGGACTAACACCTTCCAGCACTGTCAGTATGGCCACATTAATCTTGGTGCGTCCTTTCGATTTTGAAATTTGTTTCCCTGTTATAATTTTGTTGCAGTATAATGTGATGCCGCCAAGCAATCTTTATTTCGTAGCAACATACTTCGTTCTCAGCAAATGTAGGTTGAATTTCCCCGTGGCGAATTTCCTTCTAATTCACTTCCAGTGTATGCGATTTCATTTTTGGCCACACTCAACACACGACGAATTATCCGTAATGGCCGGGGAACAGACCGTCAAGGTGCGACGACCAACAACACTAATATGTTCCACCTTGGTACTCGATTGCCGAGCATGGGTCCAGCTGAACTAGGACAATGGGATAAGGTATCCATCAGCCTTGTATCATAGTTGAAACTTGCTGCTGACAATCAGAATTAGGTTGACCACCCTGATATGCCCATAAGCGAGGTGCCGTTCAACAGTTACTACCCAGGCGCAAAGTAGGAATATTAATCGTCATCTGATCGTTGAGAAATCATTGACTGATGCGCATAGGCCTCGAATGAGTTTGAGTGACGCGTAGGGGCACGTTTTCTTTTGTTTAATATCGGGGTTGTACGGTAGAGTCGAAGACGTAGGATGTAAAAGTATTGAAAGGAATGATTGGTCTTTCCAAGTACGTTGTAGCATTCACTTGTAACCTTGTCACCTTCCTATTTCTATGGAGCTCCAGCTTCTCGGAGTGGGTCTCAAGGCGGTAAACTTACGGAAAAGGGTAAGAACATTTGCAATTGAAAGCGAATAAAACGCGGATTGATATCAGGATTCAATGCAAGTGTATTTATTCCTCAACCCAATCGCCCAGATGTACCCATTGGGAAATCCGACAACATCCTTTTCTTGACTACCCTTTGAAGTCAGATCCTCAGGCCTCAACGACAACACTGGATACGAGAGGAAGTGACGGGGTTCAGTGCTCATGACGACGTGGCACACAGTTTCTGCTGGATCAACTTCATACCCGCCTTGTTCTGATCAAATCCGGACTCATCCATCAAATTCCTCTCTGTCCCTCCCCTCGTACACATAGTGAATTGAACCCATCGGAGTCTTCGAGTCTCTTCGAGTCTTACTTCAAGGACACTGTGTTTATGCTACCGGCAGGCGGGCCGCCTGGTCCCCGACCCCTTTAAAGTGATCGCTGAGTCAACGCCATGAATTTCTGTCGCGCTAACAATGTCTCTTACTAGGTACGCACATACAACAAAACGGAATAGTCATTAAACCAGAATTAGCAAGAGCGTGGAGGAGACGGATGCACGCGTAAGTATATATTGATTGATATTTCCAACGGCGCTGCAATTTGAATATGCATTTTGAATTTGAAGTGTTATAACCAAGACCTGACCAAGACACAACAGAGTCAACGAGGAGTCAAAACGTGTCAACTTCAACTTGAGCAACCTCCTCTCGAGTTATTGTTCACAAAGTTCCAGCGAAAGCAATGGTTCATCGGTGCCTTCTTGTTCCGGAGCTCTTTGGATTAGTTTGTGAGGTCATAACGGATGACTGGACGTTTACGCCACCAGCTCGAAGGTCGGCGACTTTGGCATCCCTTGCTCGCACATGTCGTGCCTTCGAAGGGCCAGCTCTCGACGTCCTTTGGCGTGAGATCGAGGGACTGCGTCCGCTTCTCTGCACGATGCCGTCTGACCTGTTTGAGATACAGGCAAAGGATTCCTCCCCCCCGGTCAACCTATTGGTACGGTTGTGAATTCAAATATATATTACTGGAAGCATGCTGATTTTTCCGACCAGTGTTTGCGCAGGCCAATCTTACTCTCTGACTTGACCAGATTGCCATCTTATGCCCAACGAATATGCAAAATTCAGGCGGACTTCAAGTACACGCATTTTCGAATTGACGTTGAGGCTCTGCAAGCTCTAAGCATGGCAACATTTCATATGAGGCCCCTCCTTCCAAATCTTAAAGACCTCTGGTGGTATCATGGAAACACTACAAAAGAAGTGGAATGGTCGATGCTTCAGTGCATCTATCTCTTCTTCTCACCCAAACTCACCAAATTATCCATCGTTCTGTTCAATACCTTCGATAGTGCATATCCTCCATCCATCCTCTCTGGTCTTCGCAACTCTTGTCCAGCCCTGAAGGAATTGACTTTTGGTTTCCAACCCTCCAACCCCGATGAAGAAAATCGACGTGGTATTTCTTCTGTCATTTGCCAATGGAACTGGCTCCAGTCTCTATCAGTCACTGATTTGACGCAAGAAGCTCTTGAGCATTTCGCAACAATCCCATCCCTTCGAGAGCTTTCTCTCGGCTCTCTCGGAGATTTAACGCGTAGTTACAATCAACACTCGCCAATCGTTGTGCGCAACCCAACTAGTGGGTACCCTGCCCTTCAAATCTTATCAATCTCTTGTAGGACGATAGATGCAGCGATCGCTTTTGCGCAGCTCCTATCCTCTAGTCCTGTCGGGCATCTCCAGATTAAAGTTGCGGGTCCTTGTTTTCCTCGTCAATGGAGGGAGTTCTTCGATACCATCGTTCATCACATTTACCATCCCTCATTGGAACATCTTACTTTACGGGAGTTGGGCAATGCCTTGGACCCCCCGGAAGCACTCCATTCTGACATTGGACTCGAGGCCTTGACTGTGTTTACAAATCTTGAAGTTGTCAATATCCACCCTACTTATGGCATTCAACTTACGAGTGATACAGTCAACAAATTAGCTTATGCCTGGCCCAAAATTTGTGTTCTCAATCTTGGCAATACGTATCCATCTTCAAGATCACCAATCATAAAAACAGAGGACCTCATTCCCTTCGCACAGCGTTGTCTCAAGCTGAGGCGCTTAGGCATCGTTTTTGACGCTCAAAATACCCAGCTGAGGTCAAGTCCTGGTCTCTTCAATAATACTTTGAAGACCTTAGGTGTCGCCGACTCTCCCATCAACGCCCCAGCCGTAGTTGCTGCTTTTCTTTCCGATATTTTCCCCAGAATTGAATCGGTCACCTTTGACAATGATTGGCGGGAGACAAATGGGGATCGTGAGGATACAACAGAAACCGCAAGGATGTGGGAGGAGGCGGAACGCCTCCTCGAAACGTTTGTCAAGGTACGATTGCAGGAGAGGAGCAGGATAGAAACGCGTTGTGATTGACAAACGCCTGTTATTGTCAGTCAAGACCATTTGAAAAGCCGTAGCCACAATTTTGACTGCTCCAGTAATACGCCACTAGTGTACATATCGTAAGGGCTGGTTTCGAGACGACTTGTATCCAAATGCCATTAAGACTCCCCGAATGGTTGCAAATCCGCAGTCCCTACCCTCTCAATCCATTCACGATCCTTTCGACTCCAACGTTCAATAATCTTGAATCTTCAATGGCTTGATCTGTGCACGAACGCTGGCGATTTGAAGCTGGTTATCATACCTTCTTCTTGTCAAGTGGCAAGCCCGAAAGCCTGTTTACAGGCCCCTGTACTATTGAAAGGCGGCCTCCTCTTTGGATTTGGATCGGTACATGTGTTATTCTTCATGCCAAATGTTCGATCTGTGTGCCTTGGTACGCGGGATTCAGTGTGGTCAGTTGCGTTCAACAAAGTCGAGCTATCCGCAACGTACAAAAGTCCCCACCAGTACTTATCGAATTATTCCATCTGCAGCGTCAAACGTTTGGTATTAACTAGCTTGACTCCACGTTGACCAGCGTTGACCCAGGCCAAATTTCTAACAATTACATAGTGGGAACGCCACGCCTATAAGAACAGATTGAGTTGTTATTAACCCTTAGGTTTCGGGCACTTTTCCACTCACATGCAAAAACTAAATTTGGTGCGGTCCGCAACCGCTGTGGCCATCCTTTCCCGCCGTATGTGAATTTGTACCGGTGCCGACACCGTCCACGTTATTATTATCTAGCCAGCAACCTGCACAAGTTGGTGTCGCCCTTGAACTTGACCATTCGAATAGGCCACCAGTCAAAAGTATGCCGATGGTCGCGCTGTAGTTCACTTCGGCTTGAGTTATTTCGGCAGATTATTACTGAAAAGATCAGAAAGGGCACTCACGGTGTTCGGCTAGTTTTCCAGATAGAACTTGCGACGTTTTGGGCGGTTTCTATGGCGTGGTCAAGTGATTGCGACACTTGAGGCGCGAAGGTGAGTGTTGACAAGGGAAGTGCATTTGCCAAATATAGATCGGAGCAAGAACTTGAACAAGATGGCTTTCAACCAGCTGTTCATTAACTTCTAACGTGGACGTGGCAACTTTCTGTGCTCCATGACCAGCGTTTCCTCTTCTTCTAGCCTATCGATTGCACTTCTTCACTATGCTTGAGATAGCTTCAAGGACGTCGCCGAAACAGGCCTTCTCGCACCAGTCGACTCCTACGACAGCATGGAAGCAAGATATCCAACCTTTCAGCATGAAGACCAGCTTTTCAGGGTATGGAGATGACAACAACCTGGAGGCGAAGCCACCAATCTGTAGATACCAAGCTAAACGTCGACTTTTTTGGCTCCGAATCTGTGCCATCTCTATCCTCCTCATGCTGGTGAATTGTTGGCTGCCGGGCGTTAAATTCTTTCGGGCTTTTAGGGATATCATAACGCAAGGGAACACACAGATTCCACAGCCCGTCATTTCCACCGCTCGAACAGACCAGGTCCAGTTTGATAATTATACCCTAATTTTGAAGGGACAAAGGATATTCTTACAGTGAGTCGGCCTACACTCGGTTACAGTGCTACCGTTGACTCGTTTGCTAGCTCTGGGGAGTTTCACACATTTCGCTTGCCCGTTCCGTCGTTATGGCCTGACATCCTTGAGAAATTCAAAGCGGCAGGACTGAATGCCGTCAGTGTATACACCCATATGGGCCTAATTAACCCAGCTCCCGGTGTGGTTGACCTCGGGGGATTCCGTGCCCTACAGCCTTTGTTTGACGCGGCCAAAGCTATTGGTATCTGGGTTGTGCTTCGTCCTGGTAATTCAACCACAGCTCCAACTTCTTACAGTCACTGATCCCATATCTTGAACAAAGGTCCTGTAAGCTACTCTTCATTAGGTTGAACCGCAAACATCTCTTAGGTTTTCTCTTAGTATATAAATGCGGAAACGAGTGCTGGAGGTATCGCTCATTGGGCGACTTCCGAAGTTTCTTGCACTCTTCGTACCAACGCGTCCGACTGGAAAGCTGCCTGGAAAGACTATATCCAGGCAATTATTGATGTGACAGTGCCCAACCAGATCACGAACGAGGGTCCAGTTATTGGTATGTTGTTCGCTGATCCGACGGTCAACAATTTTTAACTTTTTGTTCTAGCGATACAAATAGGTATATACGCATAAATTCTGATCCGTCTTTTTCACTGAAATTTCTAAGATAACGAGTATGATCAAGCTGTTGGCGCGCAGGCAGAGTATTTCGTCGACCTCGAAAACGCATATCACGAATCGGCAATCGTTGTCCCCTTGACATACAATGACCCAGGTCCTAAACGGAACTTCATCAATGGGACTGGTGCTGTCGATCTTTATGGGTGTTTTTCCACCTTTTTTTTCTTTCAGATTCCTTGCAACTAATTGCATAAACCCAGCGTGGATGCTTATCCTCAACGTTTCGATTGCTCTGCGCCAACTACTTGGAATCCAGTTGAAACTTACTACCACGAATACCATTCTGAAGTGAATCCGTTACAGCCTTTGTATATTCCTGGTATTTTGATTCGGTTTTCTGCCATTTTCACAACTCAAACGATCTACAGAGTTTCAAGGGGGCGCTTTTGATGCATGGGGTCCAACCGCTTCTGGTAGGCTTTTATATTTTGCTTCGTTAGCAAAGTACAAATAGCTATTTGATACAGGATACGCGCCTTGTCGCGTCTTGACTGGTCCAGATTTCCAGTCTGTATTCAACCTTCAACTTTGGGCTAGCAATGCGAAACTTATCAATTATTATATGCTCTATGGGTATGTTCAGTCTTGGTAGAAAGTCAGTTTGCTTACCGAACTTTCCAGAGGTACATCTTGGGGTGGTATACCCTTCCATGGGGTTTATACCTCCTATGACTATGGCGCGCCGGTATGAATTTTCTACGAATTATGTAAATATTATGTTCTCAATCTTTTCGTAGATCACAGAATCGCGAGAGCTAACCATCAAGTACGACGAGCTCAAGCGGCAAGGACTTTTCCTCCGCAGCTCTCCAGATTTCTACAAGACGGATTGGATAGCCGACTCCTCGACTGGCCTTCAGGCCTCCACCAATTCCGCAGCTTTTGTAACACTTTTACGAAACCCAGACACAAGGTCCTCATTCTATATCGCACGCCAAGCCGATTCGACTTCATCGTATGTTGGGCTTTGAAGCTTATATGCATTCACCGTTCTTAATCACTTCTTCAGTGCCACCATAACTTTCAAGTTAAACGTGACGACGTCAGCTGGTACGCTTCAACTACCGCAAGTCGCGCCGTCCATCACCCTTGGGGGTCGTCAGTCAAAGGTTATCGTGGCAGATTGCACCTTTGGTGTTTTATCCAAGTTGTTGTACTCAACCGCTCAGATATTCTACGCAAGTACCATTGGTGGACGCGATGTCCTCTTCTTGTTCGGTGATTCAACACAGGAACATGAAGCCGCTCTTCTGTTGACTGGAACGCCCAACAAGCTCCAGAACTTATCTCCGCTCGTTTCTTTCACTGCATATGGCTCCCCTCTTCACCAACAAGGCGTCTCTCTTGTTAACTTTTTGCCTGGTATTGAAGGACTCGTCACAGTCTGGGATTCGGACACGCAACTGGTGTTGTTCGCAGATACAGATACGGCTGCGACATTTTGGTCGCCCAGCATTGCGGGAAAGGCTGGCGACCCGTTCCGCAACTTTTGGGGCCTTGGCACCAATGACTCAATCTTGGTCGGAGGGCCTTATCTCGTGCGCAGTGCGACCGTTTCGGGCTCAAAATTAGCTCTGCGCGGGGATCTCAAGACGGATGTAAGGCTGACTGTCATCGCCCCACGAGGCATTCGGTCCATAACGTGGAACGACGAATATGTGTCGGGGGATCTTGTCGCTACATCGGCCTTGACTGCCGTTGGGGGCTTTATCGGGCAGTTGCGAATGAGACCCTCTTTGGCAGGCATATCGGTGCCAAGGTTGACTGGGTGGAAGTTCAAGGATAGCTTACCAGAAATCAAGAGAGATTTCGATGATGCTTCGTGGCGAACTGCGAATCACACGAGTACGAATATTCCTCTCAAGCCTTATTATGGCGATGGGAGAGTCCTCTATGGATGCGATTACGGATTGTACGATCATTTTTCAGCCGTCTCGCATTATCGGTCCTGACAAGTTGTACTCCTTTAGCTGTGAAAATGTGGTGCTTTGGCGGGGCCACTTCAATGCCTCAGGTGCGGAAAAGAGCGTCGATCTGTCAATCAACGGAGGGCAAGGTGTGTTATCTTCGCTAATTGTTTTGGATGAAGAATAACTGACATGTGATAATAGCATTTGCAGCCAGCGTCTGGCTCAACGATGTATTCTTGAACACATCGTTTGGGAAGTGAGTCGCAGTGTCTACAGCATTGTTCTATATCTCACCGCCCTCGTGACAGCTCTACCAATAATCATAACATTCTTGAAGAGACCGACGATACATTCGTTTTTCCCGAGGGTGCCTTACTACCAGGTCAAGACAATGTGATCACAGTGGTACAGGTACGTTTTAATACCCTCCCAACTGGGACTCATGTGATTGACTTTATTTATCTCAAGGACAACATGGGATTGAATCAGACTGAGTGGCGTGAGCAGCCTCAAGTGGATTTGGAATTGAACTCTGATTTTTTCTCAGCCAACCCTGATACTTCCAAGAGCCCTCGAGGAGTCCGTGGCTTCAAACTCGAAGGAGGTTCCTTCTCAGAATGGAAAGTCCAAGGCAAGATCGGGGGATACGTGAAGTCAGTGGTTCATCGTTATCTTGCCCCACACCCGCTGATAAGAGAACATTTGAAATTGTATAGTTTCCCCGATAAGGTGCGGGGTAAGTTCTCCATTTAGGTACTGAAGAATATGCCCATTCTGAACCGTGCTAGGCGTTCTGAATGAGGGAGGCCTGTTCGGCGAGCGCAAAGGCTGGCATCTCCCCGGATTCCCTACCTCTGACTGGGATTCTCGGCCAATCTCCTCTGGCCTTCCCAATGGTGCTTCTGGATTCGGTTTCTTCGTGACGACCTTCAAACTCGATATGCCAAGAGGTCTAGACATTATGATGTCTTTTTTTTTCGGTGAAGCCCAAGGACAGCCATACAGAGCTCTCTTGTTTGTCAATGGATGGATGATGGGCAAGCGAGTCGCCAACCTTGGGTGAGCTGTAAACGACGTATTGAGCTGACCCCAATTCTCATTCATGTGCAGACCGCAGTCGAAATTTCCTGTGCACGAAGGCATACTCAACTACCACGGGGAGAAGTGAGATTTTTCCATCCTCCAACTACCGTTCTAATAGGCATCATGCAGCACGGTTGCCGTGGCTTTATGGGTGATGACGCCTAACAAGACTGCGGCTCCGGACCTTCAGCTTGTACTTGATGCAGTCTACGATGGTGGTGTAGGAGACGTTGTGTCAGACAATCCTCCGTGGTCTTCTCAAGGAAGAGGTTAAGTCGGTTTCGTGAGGATGATTCATCAACCAACATCTTATAACTATTTTCTTGACGCAAATATATCATGACAATGTACAAAGCACGTTCAGAGAACCGTTTTATTTTCAACGTATCAATCGACAACATCCCGAACACCAAATAGCCACGCCAGAATGCCAAGGACAAAAGATCCTACTGCGCCTATGAACCAACGCAAACCAGACCGCTCCAACCAATTGAAGAGACGAGCAGCGAGTCCATTGACAACGTTCCCTAAGTCGATGAGCATAAGGTGATGGTCGGCATGTTGAATCTCGAAGGGTGGTCGAACGGTAAGCCTTCGGACGGGGATGCTAAACCCATTGTGTTTCGTCAATTCCGTGGCTGGTATGCCTTCTTCGTCAATAGAGCATGCAGCTAAGAGACCTGACGTGAAACCATCCTCGTGGAACCCGTATTTGAGCCAAGCCCCTGCAAATGAGATTGAACGTTTGTTCTGGATTTTGTGCATTTCTCGTTGAGCACGAACAGTCTGGCATAGCCTGGTCAGTGCGGGGCCCAATGGAAGCATCAATTAACAATTCAAACAAACCTTTGAGTTCAGCACAGGATGTTCGTATTTCCATCGTCCCCCAACTTTGGCTGCGTCTGGTTCGAACGGTGGATTTAGAGTGACGAGTACCGGACCATAGAGTTCTTCTGAAATGTGCTGCAAATCATTCATGCCATCTGGAGTAGTTAAGTCGGTGCATGAATGAGTCCAACATCTGGCCACTTACACGTCCTGCGAGAGGGTCCATTGTAAACGGGTGAGAATTGCGCAAGGCGTGAACGACTTACAGTGAAACTCGATCTATATCCCGTTTCCGCGTGGATCCCTGGGTACCGCCATCGTGCTGGGTGGTTACTGTGAGATAGTTCCAACAAGACCATGCCATTCGACTTCGAGGCATCAACTAATGGGGTTCTTGAATCTTTGTCCTGTGGACTAGGGCCAATTGAGACTTACCCGCACATCTGAATGTAGCACAACTTCATTCTTGTTCCATTCGATCTGGCTGAGAATACGGTCTTCATCCTCCGTAATCCCGCCAGCACGCAAAATCTTGAGGGCTTCGTCGGAATGGCAAGCAAGGATAACATGGTCATACTCCTCTTGGTTTCCATCTTCTGTGACAAGTTGAATCTTCTGCTCCCGTCCCTCTTTCGATTCCAGAGAAGCAACAGACGTCACAGGCGTTTGAGGGTGATAACGTTCTCGTGGAAGCTTCTCGATGATCTTGTCGACGTAACGTTGGCTGATTCCGGCACCAATAAACTAAAAGTAGGCTCAACTAAGATTGCGACCACATACCTTCCACCTTGAATGGTTCGCCAGGGAGGTCTCCCGGTTATTTGGAGGAGAGAGTGATTGTACATGAACTGAATCTATACGCTCCGAAAATGAGCAGAGCGTCTTCAAAGAAAAAAAAAAGTTTTATACTAATGTTTGCGCAGGAAAATCAAGAATACATTTTCCTGGAGGAGTACTCCAGATGGCTGCCGTCATCGGCTAAAACAACCAATTTAGTGATGAGTCCATTCTTTCGGCCAAAATAACCTACGATCAGATAATTGTTCCGAAAGGCTTCGGAATAGCCTCCTTGGTCAAGATAGTCTCCAATGGATTTTTCGCTTGGTTTGTCTTCATCTACCGATAGCAAAAAGTTCCGCGCGGACGCATTGAATCGAACCACATCGTAGACCATTCTCCACATTTGGGGATCAAAGAGCCTCCGGGGCTGGCAAAAGACTGTGGCTACATTCTTCCCAGCCCACTCAAACACGCCCTGGTCCCGAGAGACACTAAACGTCATCTCAGCCGGGATAATGCGGATACCTGGCTCAGATGAATTACTGGACGGGAGACAGCGCTGGAGGAAACGGAGAAAGTTGGGGTAGGTGGAAGGATTGAAGACTATCTATAGAAGAATGAATAGCCGAAGTTGAAGCCAATAAATGAATCGTACGAAGCCTCTGAAGGACTGTTAGCATGATCATTGAGTGAGCGAGTAAAAACCTACGTATCAACATCGACACCGTTCTCCCATGATTTTCCCTTCGGTAAGAAACGAACTGTATTCGCGTGCCCTCCTGGTCGATAGTCTGATTCGTAGAGGTGGACCTCGTGGTCGCTGTGCTCATTAAGCAGCTGAAATTTATGAGCATCCTCCAGGAGTCCAGCCCTACGCACTACGAAAAACTCACCCAAGTCGCAGCCAGGCCAGAGACGCCGGACCCAACGACGGCGACCTTCATGGCGGGGTGACGGTGGAAGGAAGGAAGATACGAGCGCCGTGGAAGCCATTGGGATTTGGGACAGGATCGGGGACGTAAACAAGATCTAATCAAAAATAGTAAAAGCTTATTCTCTACGTTCTGTCAACCAATTGTCAACGCCCCCGCTTGACTGAGAAATATGCCTGCTGAACTTCCAGGACTTTACTGGGATGAGGCAAGAAACAGATATTTCCCCATTTCTTCAAAGCCCAAACAGCCAAATCCACCATCGACGACCTCCAAAGGCTCCCACACAACCCAAAGCGTAAAACGAAGGCGGTCCCATACACCTTGGCGAACAAATGGCATCGTTCGCGGGACGTGGAATTACTGCCTCAGGGAAAGACTTACATAGTGCGTTTTTTCATCAGTATAGGCGGTAATTTGTCTTATTCGCGTAGTGAACTACTGTCTTTGCAATACGCAACAACATCCCGACTCAATCACACCCACGTACCAACACTTGGCCGCATAAAATCCTTCTCTGTGAATCTATATGTCATTCTTTGTGGCTCACATTCCTTACCAGCATATCAGACTGCAACTCTGAATGGCGAAAACAAACGACTTATCGGGGATGATCAGGGTTGGCTATACAGTTACCGAGAGGAATCCAGCCAGGACTGGGATGAATTGAATCCTGAACTGAATCTGCATCCATTATCTGAGGTAACAGCCTTTCTATGCATCCATGCCTGTTTTCTTACCCTTTCCCTGTAGGTCTCTTCAATAAGCATATCTGGTCCGCTTTGCGTGTACGATCTCTCGAAGAGCGGCGTTTAAAATCTAAACTACTGAAATCGATATCTAGAGCGACGTGTCTTGGCCCATTTGCTAAAGTAGCTGTCCAGGATCTCACGGCTTCGGGGTAGGCTTCATTGTCCTGTTTTTGGACATACATCTTACGTCTATGACAGAGGGGCCTACATATTAAATTTCAATGGGACTCACGACATCTGGGCTTCGCATCTTCAAGGTCACAAATTAGTACTAGGTAGTTCGACTACTTTATGGTACCATTTTGACCGTTGACGAAGCGAGCTTCAGGTGCAAACCAAAAGGCAGTGTATCTCTCCGACGTCGATTCCAACCGAGCCCCCCAATTCCTAAACACGAATAGCGACGTTTTCGCTGTGTTTCTTCAAGACGTACGTTCATTTGCACTGTTCAACCCACAACTTCGCTGAACAAGCATTAGAATCTGATCTACACTGGGGCTCGCAACGGGACAATTCAAAGATTTGATACTCGTTCAGGGAAACAGCGTGGCCAGAAACTCTTTGAAAGCCGCTTCTTCGACGCTCCTCGTAGTTCTGTCCTCCATTTGGAGCCGATTCGTGACTCACAGCTTTTTGTCAGTCAGATGAATGGGGATGTAAGCTACCCTACTCTTTTCTTTCGGATTTGCCTATAAGCCTACTCACTTGGTTAGCTTGCTTGCTTCGATTTGCGTTTTCCAGGGTTATCATCGAATCCAGTTGTACAATACGAAGGGCATGTGAATTCTTACACCCAACGCCTTGTGCGTATACTTCTCCTTCTTCGTCATCCCTTTGAACCTTTTACTTCACTAGGGAATTGCATTCGATCACACGGAAGGCTTTGTTTTTGCCGCCGGCCAAGATTGTCGTATTCGAGGCTGGTCTCTTCACACTGGTGCCCCTATCACATCCACACCCCCAGACCCGACAGTCAAGACTACCTTGAATATTCCGGTGTCAGCTGTCCATCGTACCGAAGCGAATGTCGAAGGCAACCCGTTTTTCACTACCTTTCCGCACCCGATAGAGACTATGGAAGTTTCGACTGAGGCCGGGGGTAGCTCGCTCTGGGCGGCCTGCGACCATGAATTGTTCCAATATCATCTGGGCCAACGCTGGATTCCTGTTGCACAGTGACTGGTTATGATGTTGGAAGAGTGACACTCAAAGAGGGGAGATCACATCCCACTACCGTTTCTGAACCACTTGCTCACTCAGGCATGGCGAGGAGTTGAAGGTGGGTACCTCTGGCAGATAAGCACAGTTATCTGGCTGAATTTACAAAGTGAATTGTAAATCAGAACATCTTGCAATGGCGGCAGTCTTCTCGGTCTTCTGAAAAGGTGATTGCATTACATAAGTGATTCTAAGGTAACAGAACTGTCTCCTGAGACATGGAACACCCTCACTGCTTCACTCAACATGGCCGGCCTCGAAAGATCTGCTAAGCGTGTTTCACAGTGGACCAATAACGAGCTCCTTGCTTTCAACATTCGAGTAAAAGACGCTGGGGTTGAGGCGTTTTTCAATATCCCTCAGCTCCCCCTACCAACGGTTTCTACAACAATTTTGGATAATCTCGACGAGCCACCTGGGCCTTTGCTTGAAATGGACTATCCATTCTTCGCTTATAAACACTATGCAGAACAACCGCACACCTTCAATGATTTTCCTATGTTCCTTTTGAAACTCTTACGCTATGAAAGCGGACGTCGCCTGCTCCTTGTCTGGGCAAAGGATCCCTTGCTCATGGCTGGTCGGCGCGTCATTGCAAATACCGATCTGTACCTGATGAAAGTAGGTGAAGTCAAGGAGGTTCTCTTGATCGTTCACGAGGATAAGGTGAGTCGTTTAACTGATACCTTTTTGAGGCTGACGGTACTCCTGTCAGCACTCAAACCAAGATCCCGAAGCACAAGTCATCGCAAAGGCAATCGCCGCCTTCGACCGCAATAATAATAACCGCGTGAAATCAGGCTTACAACGCCTGCCGGACAAGGACATTTGGGCTATCGTCAATAGACGCAATGCACTCATCTTTTATCGTGTTCATGTTACGACAGCACTTGTTGATGCCCTTGCCGCGGCAACCTATCCACAGGAAGAAACAATGGTCCTGAGGTTTATACCACCTGTCCCGAACCACGAACTGTACAAAACGGAAGGAATGCATCCGCTGGCCAATAGGCGTTCTGTCTTCCAATGCCTCGAAGCCCTCAAGGCGGTTATAGTACGTCTTTTGCCAGCAGGGAAAAAATTGCATCTCACATGTTTCTGAAGGGATATGTGTGAACCGAAGGAAAGGAAATTCTATTGGTCGGTTGCCAGTTCTTTTTTATCATTCGCTGGAAGTTGCAGCGTACTCGAAGTGCACTAAATCAATGAAAAGCAATATGTATGTTACAAATCACCCTGAGGACATCCCACTCTTTCCATGAAAGGAGGCACATTTCTGGGCGTCTGGTAATGGGGTTGATGCACTTGAAGGAAGGTCTTCACGACGTACGCAAGTTCAGCGACATAATGTAAGATATTTAGCCCATCTGTCGGGCTGACCTGCCAAGCGTCAAATTTGGCATTCCTGAACTCCTGAAGCCCTAAGACTCTAAGAGGCTGAGCCTGTGTTTCTTCGGCCTGGGGGACACAAAATCCACCTCTTCGTCGTCAGAGTCCTCGACGATAGTAGCAGGGGTTTTTTTCCTGCGTCGAGATAGCTCCTCCTTGATAGCCGCCCGTTCACCCGTTGTGTTGAGCCACAGATGGACTGGCTTCTCAGCAGCGTGCCGACGGTGAGTCTCGAAGTCAGCGCAGATAATCCCGGGGCGACGAAGGAGGAGACGACAGTCTTTCTTGACCTCGTGAGGATATAAACACAAAACCCACAAAGCGCAGCGAATGTCGTAGTACTCAAGCCTTTCATTCCCGACAGTCATTAACACCGATAACGACGGGCCCTTCGCTACTCTATTCATTTTATCAGTATTGATGGTTGGTGGAGAGATCAATATGATACTTACCTTCCCCCCAAAAGATGACGACAAACTTGTTGCCCGGGTTAGCACGAGGAACCCTGACATGCCGCTTGGTGTTGTCAATCGTCTCACGCATCCAATCCGCATTCATATGGTTGGTGATGCCAGGCCGTTGGGACGGCAGTCTTCACAGGAGGCATTTGCCTGGGAATTGCGAGCTGGACGTGCTGCGGTGTAGTCGAGGTGATAGGTGTGGAAGGGCAAGTGGAGGACGAAGCGGTGGGTCCAGGGCTGAGCGTGGTGGACAGCAACCCAAGAGATGCTGCGATTGCGGCCTGATCCGCGATCCTCTTCGTGCTCGGCAGCGAGTTGGCTAGGGCGGCTGGACTCCTCCTGCTCATGCTGGGTCTGTGTCTTGGGAAAGTTAACGGCCGCGGTGTTACCAAGGTTGGTAGGGAAATCAAAAGACGGCGGGCCGAGCGACAATTCGAAAGTGTAGGGTGGCGTAGTCGAAGAGGAAAGCGGTTGGGGTATGGTTTGATGAAACGAGGGTGACGGCACTGATGGCCTTGCTTGAAGCTTGACTTTCTGTCTGTCTGAAAGACGCGTGAAGTTGTGTCCTGGCGCAGAGCAGCCATTTTCTGCGATGCAGCACTGTTTGCACATCTTCTTCTCACATCGCCTGTAGGACGGACGTCTGCAGCCAGAACGACCGCATATTCCTTCCACTGACTGAGAGAGAGGGGGGGACACAGTGGGCGCATCCGGAGCTGTTGTTTTTGGAAGTGTGAGGTGGTAATTGCAAGGCGGTGGACACTAAGGCGCTGAGCAAACGAGGAAGGATGAAATGTTATTTGGGCGTAGAATCAGCCGTGCGCAAGAGGAGTCGTGAAAGTCGTGAAAGGAGAGGAAGATCCTTGTGCAAGCACAAGGTGTCAGGCGTGCAGACACGAGAGACGGAGAGAGGAGGGATCGCGATGAGAGAGATGTCGATGAAGCTCAAGTTGAGAAACGCATTAGCGGAACACGTGTGCGCGAGATTCAATCCAGATTTAATATTGCAGTTACCACGGATTTTTGCGGTGACTGCCCCTTGGGCTGACGCATAACGAGAGCCGCTGGCTTGGTGCGATGCCATGACTGTCTCTTGAGCGTTTTCCGCTCAATAACGGCGTCTACATCTTTGCTCTCAACCATCATCTGCAGTCTGTAGTCCGTGAAATAACCCTTGTTCTCTGCAGAGACTGGCCGTCATCTGGTGCTCGCAGGTCTGGAGCTTTCATACTGGTTCTCGCTTGCGCTGTGTTCTGTGGCTGGAGAGCTATTACCTGGCCTTTCGACTGGGCCGCCTTGGCTATCTTGGGTCTAGGCGGCGGCTGACAGCTAGTTATGGCCAACCTTTGTCTTGCCTCCCCTAATTTTTTTTTCAGTTAAACTGGAGCGAATGTATAGCGAGAGGAGGCATACAGTCCAAGAATACCTTCGAGGTAAGCATGTCAATTTCAATAAATGGAACTAGAAGCTCAAAGCACTCTTAAGTCGAACTTGGAGCCTCTGGAGATGTGATTACTCCTCCTCCTCTTGTAGCTGCCAGACTACGTCGCTTTGGTCGCACCACCCCACAGTCTGCTCAGTCAAATTCGTCTTCTCAATCGCCAACAGGTAGGAGTTTTTACTTCATGCACGCGTATGATCTTACTCTCCTTATCAGTTTTTTCAGGCTCAGGCTCAAACTCGAAGCGTCTCCGTAACAGTGATGATTCTTCACCTATACCCCTCTCTAAACGCCAGCGCCGTGCGCTTAGTGAGTATTCATTCATTCATTGTACTCCTTTCATCTCACTGTACATGTTTAGGCATCGATCCATTTATTATTCAGGCATCAACTCCTACCACCAAGCCTCGGCCATCTGGTACATTCGCCCTTCTCATGCTTCTCGATTCTTCGGATGGCGATGCTGGAATTACAGCCCAAGAATTCAAAGCGCTGATCAGACGATGCAACGCTTGCTCCCTATACATGACTAAGCGTGTCTTCAATGACCACGTATGTCAAAAGGTAAATATCAGCACCCAAGGCAACGAGGTCATCGATCTTACTGGAGATGATGACTAGATTTCCTGGAATTCTCACCCCATACCAATTTATCCTCCCCACACATTTTCATCGAATTAATCCCACCACTCTCCTTAATTATTTATTTTCTCAAATTGCTGGTTTTACTGATTTTCTAGCTTCCACCACTCTCATTAAAATAGCTTGTTCTCTCCAACTGCTGTGCCTTCTACTTACTATGTTGATGCACATCCACTTACTGTCATTACACACATTCTCATACTTCAATTCATTTTTTTGTCATTTAGGATGGCTCTATTTGCATTTTGTAGATGTGCTGTGAGGAATTTGGCAGTGCGGCGTAAGCACAATGATTCTGACAACTTTGTATGCGTATACAGTGGCGTGGGTCCTTAAGAGCGCTTGAAAACTTGTGGCATGGGTTCTTTGTCGTGCTTTGTGTGTACGGACTTAAGTATTGTTGTGCAGGAATTTGTCGTAAGTAAAGAACAACAAGAAGAAAAAGAAGAAACAATAAATTTGTGCATATGAAAACGAAATCCTGAGCTGAATACGAAGATAGGAGGGCTGAGCGAAGAAATTGCCGGCGATGACGTCAAACAACAAGAGTGTTTACAGTAAGTTGCCGGTGATTACACCATATATTAGGAGGCTTCTTTGGTAAACGCGCTTTCTAATGTAAGGTGCTTCAGAGGTAGAGGAATCCTGTTGCGATTTTAGGTGAAGCAAACCTGCATAATATTCAAGTAAGGGAATATAGAATGTTCAAGTTGACAATGTTACACACCATTCCAACCAGTGCCTTCGGGGAATAGTGTTTCTTGGACCTTTGTAATATAGCTCCGTAGATGGTCACGGTTGGCGAGCGATGGATGCAAATCAGAAAGGGTTGGGTTCGTGATATCAGGAAGAAGCTTTCGTAAAAACACCTGGACTGTGGGGTGGCGCATAAATCGTCGAGGGGTTAGATCAGGAAGATCCTGGTGGAGAGCCCCGAGTAAATCAATTATTTTACTTCGGATGGAGGGCGGTGTCTTTGCTGGTATGGGGATAGGATGTGGGTGATCCCCGTGGCAAATTACAAGGATATTTGGGCATTGAGCCCGAAACGCCTCAGTTGGCTGAAAAATTCGGAATGTGCATGCGCACTCAAGGCGTATCATCTCAGCGGTGACAAGTTCACCTTCCTCATCTCGATGTTTTGTCACTGTGGAAATTTTCAATCGAGTGAAAGGAATTTGAAAGTCTATGTCACTTACGACAGTTCACCTTTATGGTTGAGGTATTTGCGATGCTTTTGCAGCTCACAAGGGGACCAACACTATCAAGTGTAGCCGCCTCTTCCTCGAATTCTTCAATGGCCTCTGCATCTTTGCTGAAAAGTGCTTCGAGGTACTTAACGTTGTAAAGCCCTTTCGCAATACCGTAGTCCACAAAGTGATCGAGATTTTTCTTCCGGTTATAGTGCTCGCAGCTTGATTCAATTTTAAGAAATCAGTCTTTATTCAATTGAAAATTCGAGAACTAACCAAAGAAAAGAACGAGTTTTCCATGTAGAAATTGTATTTATTGCTCCAAAAATGCGAAATCAGCTTGTTTTCCCTGCCAAATTTGGCACTCTGGAGAGATTGGACTATAACTTTCCAACCACAACACGTATGAACATGGTTTGTACCTTCACGATCATAATTGAATTTTATTCGCCCGTTGCATTTGTGTTTGGTCGGATGGCCACGTTGAACTCGTTCTGCCTGAAGTAGCCTTGCTTCTCGGACCCGAATTTCTTCTTCATTGAAGATCGTTGTTTCAAATGGTGGCACACCACAGCCTTGTTTCGTTATAGCAGTAAAGTATGCAAGCGTCTTCGAAAATAGCGCTTGATGGAGCGATGCTTGCTGAAATCGGGTGGCTCGATCTTCTAATAATCTCTGAGAAAGATCTTCGCGTGACGCTTTTTCATGTGGAGTACGAGCCATTTTCATATCGGAGAACGGGCAAACTTTCATACCTTGACCTACTAATGCTTAGATTTTTTTGCAAAAAAAAGAAGCATTGATACGTACATGTGGCATGGGATACATAACACGGAACCTCGTTACCATCTTTATCCAACAAAACGGAACAGGTTATTGTCCGCTTTCCCGTTGTACCCCGCGGTTCGCCCTGTGAGTACGCGAAATTTCGCGCGGGGTTGCGCCAATCTTCTAGATCGATGACAAACAAATGGCCGATGAATCTGAACTTGCTGGTCTCCGGATACTCAACAAGATCTGCAGAGTGATGGTAGGTGTAAAGTCTGTCCAGCGTTGTCTTGCGGTTAATTTTAACGTTGTACCGAACGGACGGGGTTGAATTTAGTGGACTCGGAGGCTCAGAAGATGAGAACGGAATTTGTAAGGATGTCGATTGGCTGGTAGAGTTGCCAGAATTATTTATAGAATGGTTTGAAGGAGGGGTGTAACCTTGCTGCTGTGATCGCGAGTGGAGATCCAGTGAAGGAGGCCCGGGGTGTGTGCGTGGTAAAGTCAGATAAGAAATTACGGTCTGCAACGCGTCCTTGACTTCAGAAGGCGCGTAGAAAGAAGCGTCACCCGCGCCAATATTTGCCGTAAGATCTTTGAGCCTCCCAACTTGGGAAGTTACATCATACGACGTGTCATCAGGGAAAAATAACTTGATTATGTAGTTCTAAATAGCCACAGTATTTATAGTAGCCTGGTATACAAGTCCCCCCATATGTTGCTTCGGTAGTTCTCCCTTGCATTGTAGTAGACACCAGTAGTCTTCCCTTGTACTGCAGTAGATACTAGTAGTATCTTGGTAGCATCTCAGTTTCCCCCCATACTCGAAGGTAGCACTCAGTAGTTCCTGCCTACGGCAGCTACCTGATCTACTAACAATGCTTATTTTGGCACATGCTGGGGATCACGAAAATAGAAAATTGCATTGCGAGTTCTAACTATCAAACAACTACTAATATGTACCTAGGCTGATAACTCACTGTTGGTATCCCCAGTTCGGCCATCAAACTCCATTTGAACCCGATCCTTGGCGTCACCAACACGCCTAGAAACGATGGCAGCTTCTTTGTTAACCACACCGGAATTATGACTTGAGCCGCAATCACCTGAGCCATCGTTGCACAATTGAATCTGCTCGTGCAGTTGGTGGGCCGTTGCAGCCGTTCGGGAGGGTGTTGGTGAGTCGTCGTTGTTGTGGGTGGGGCCGTGTTCACCATTGGTGGGACGGGGTGCTCGGCCGTTGTCACTGAGCGTGGTGGGTCGTCGTCGCCGTTCGTGGGTGTTGTGGTGGGCCATTGTCAGCGTTGGTGGGGTGGTGGGCCGTCGTGGGTGCTGGTGGTGAGCTGTGCTCGCCGTTCATGGGGGTGCTGGTGGGCCATGGTGGTGGGCCGTTGTTGGCGTTGGTGTGGGCCATTGTTGGCATGGGTGGGGTGTGGCGCTGGCCATCGTTGGCGTTGATTGGGAGTGGTGGTGGGTCGTCGCCGCTAGTGGTGTTACCGTGTGTTGCTGCGTGTAATCGTCGTTGCATGCAGTCATCGTCATGCTATTGTCGTGTGTTCGTCACCTTTCCTCGTAGTGTGGTTGTCGTCTCCTATCGTCGTAGTGCAGTTGTCGTCGTCTATCGTCGTCGTCTGTCATCGTCATCCGTCATTGTCGTCCATCGCTGTTGTGTCGTCGCCGGCTTTTGTCGTCGTTGCGTTGTGCCGTTGTAGTTGTCGTGTAGTCATCTGTTGGTGGGTCAAGTCAGTTGGGTTGGGACAGGGGTGCTCACTGATGGACGACGACGACAAATCTGTCATCGTGTAAGATAAATGTACGTGGTGTCAGTGGTGGGAGGGAAAGAAAGAACGAACGATTGTGGTTGAACTTTCCGTGAGAAGTCAACATAGAATCACGTGGCATCGGAGCTCGAATGGACTTAGAAACATTTCTGATTCAGAATTAGGCAACAGCACCGGTTTCATCAGCATGATTTCTATCTTCTCCGATACTTGCTCGATCTTCATGTATATTGTACGTGACGTATACAACATCAATATTTCAAGAGTCTAATGCAATTTTCTATGTGAATGTACCGGGACAACTAATAATACCCAGGCTACTAATGGTAGTGTGAGGTTAACTCAAGCAACTCGAGCAACTGACATCACTTGATGGTGTATCAGGACTACTAGCACATGACTTGTAAACTACCAATGTCTACCACCTTCATACCAGCCTACTGGGTATATTGTCAGAACAATGGGGACAATGTATACAAGGGGCAAACTACCTATACTTTTTTTTTTTCCTGATGGTGGCTTACACTTTCTAAGTCTGAGCCACTCATAGCAACCAAGGGCGAGACTGCGTCGTCAAAAGGAGGGATTGCATTATCTGAATCAACGTAGAATAAGAGTTAGATTGAACAATGGGTGAGATCGGCCACTTGAATGGCTACCTCATGATATTGTACAAAAAATTCTACAGGGATTCAGACCCCTCTTTCTTATTATAATAGTATAGATACAATTACAGATAAGGAGCAGGCGCCGGAGCCATCAAACGTCGGTAGTTCCCGACCTATGTGCCTGGATCTCAAAATACCAATCGAACTAGGACTCGGCCAACCTTATACGATCCGCGAGATCAGGGTCTAAATGGACACAACACGACCTCACCGCCTATCGGATCAATGTCGTTCCCACAACTCTTCAAAACTTTTTTGGAATACCTGCATTCCCCGCCTTGCCAGTCACGTATTCTCAGGCAATCCTTTTGAACCTCAACCACCCACCCCCTGGCCCCATTCCTTTAAGTGAACAGGAAGAAGACTTCTTTATGCATATGTCAAACGTAGAAGATCCTAGGTCGACTGAGTCTTCTGTCGACGCCTTTTTCCTCTGGCTCTACAGTTCCGGTGGACCCGTGCAGTATAGCGGTAATGGCCGCGGTGCGTCTCAAAAGCGTGAGTTCCGCTTCTGGATGTCCGGCGAAAAGGTATTCGCGAAGAACGATATATATTTGTGGCGTCAGTTGGGCTACCGCCGTTATGTGCTTGTACAAGAGAACAAGGTTAGTTTTCTGTCGAGTCCATCACCTGTTAGCTGACCTGAATGTCATGCAGGAACTCGGCTCACAAGCTGACCCAGAACCTCAACTCATCGCCGAGGCAATTGCCGCCTTTTCAGAAAACAACGAGGCACTAGTTCGATCAGGCGCAAATCCCCTCCCCTTCTGCGACATCCCTGGCATCACCGTGGTCGGAACCGCGCCGACCTTCTATCTCATTCGCGTTACCACAAACCTTATCAAGGCCCTCGAACGAGCCAGATTACCTGCCCAAGCAACAATTGTCAAGAAGTACACACCACCTGTGCCAAACCCACAAGCATACTTAACCGACGGCATGCGCCCCCTTGCCAACAGATACCTCATCTTCCAGTGCCTCGAAGCTTTAAGAGCACTCATCGTAAGTCTCTCCTTTCCTATAAGCCTAAAATCAACCTGTGTATTTCATTCTTTTTCAAAGCCTTAAGAATTTTCTACATAGCAGAATTCATTGGCGCTTCTGGCCTCTTGTGCAACTACATCCCACAACCTCCACTTTGGTCAACTATCTCGAGCTCACACTTCCTTTATACTATGTTGAGCACGCATACCCGTCACCTCAACAACTCGGAGCATAGAACCATGATCAAGAGCGACGCAGTCTTCATCTTCAACATTGAGGAGAGCAAGATTAAGCATTGGACTAGTATTTAGTATGCCGAGTATATGATGATTTGTAGTAAGAACAACGCTTCCAAACAGTTCGCGCCTACCGCTCATAGAAAGGAGGGATTCAGCGAAGGTAAGAAAGATGTGAAGACAACCCAGATGTGTTTCTGCTATGTCGAGATGACGACGTTCAACACTCCGTTTGATTCACACTGCTCGACAAGGCATTATCCCAGGAGGAAAGGGCAGACATATGTACCCTTGGAGGTGCTGCAAGACGGACGCGAGTCGCTTGACGACGGTGGCTGCAACAATGTCTGAGGCCTAGTCGGGTGACGGTGCACAGGCTCAGCCTGTCAGGGATTTGGGGTGCATTAGTTGTGAAATGGAATGGACAAGATGTGGTGGGTACGTACAACGGAGCAATGACGTTGCAGTAGTAAATCGTAGACGGGGCTGGATGTGTATCTTTGGGCATGGAAGATATGCCGGCGCCGTGTCGGGAGGTGTCTAAACCTAGTACACTTGCCAAATTTTGGCACTAGCTCTGCCCCTACTACTGCTTCTGTTACCCCGGCTACCTTCGCGCCTCTCTGTTCATCGGAGGTCGCAGCACTCATCTCCTCTCCTCCCGATGTCAAGCTCCTTTCGTTCCTCGCCCGCGGAGTAAAAGACTGTTAGTGTGGTTAGTTTAAGTGTAGGAGTGAAGGACGGTGAACGAACCTTCCCCTTGGACTGTAGGCAACCATCGACTTTCTCCCAGATCCATGAGCAGAAGCACGACGACGGCGTCGTCAAAGAGTTGGTCGAGCTTCTGGACAACGGCTGTGGCTTATGCGAGCGACGCAGCGGTGGGTGGGATAGTAGGATGGTTTGGCATCAGTTCAAGTGTCTCGACGTTATATACGTAACCATTATTGACCTGTAAAATGATAATTGATTTAAAGAGAGGAATGACACATCTTTGAGATTGCCCCCTACGCAGCCTCTAATTCAAACAGGGGTTGCCACACGGAATCGGAGAACGAGAGGCGCGAGGGAGGCACCGACAAAAGTGATAGTGCGTGGAATTTGACGGACGTGCGGACTGGGGAAAGGGGAACAGTCCGTCGACATTCGCGCGAGGTGGTATCCGAGAATTCCAGCGCCGGGGAGAAGGTACTTCGTTACCAATGTCTCCTTGAGGTTGAGGCTAGCTCAGATCCTCCATGGCATGAGCTTGTGGTCCAGGCGGTCGCTTGAGTGGCCCATATAAAGTGGGTAGCTTGGTTACACGCAGATTATGAAGAAGAAAAAAGATGGCATCCATCATGAGCTCGACCTTCGACAGTCTCATCTATAATTTGAACGACTCCGGATCGGCTCTTCCATCAATCTTCCATGCACAGATTGGAAGTCCGGGGTCACGCCAGCAGAGAACGGGTGTAGGAGTCTGGCTTGGGTATAGGGTACGGAGGTATAGGTTGCTGGAGAAAGGAACGCACTAGACAGACTGCATAAATGAACAGAGAGACGAGGTGATAGGAAACGATAGTAGTGCGGAGCACCAGCGGAGATGGGCGTTCAAGCTTTCAAGCTCAAGTTATCTATTCGTAATAACCATGCTACTAGCACAACCTTTTGTAACGGCGGGGACGTAGTTGGCCACATACCAGTCGCGACCCGAATCCCCTAGCTTCTCAACCCCGCCATTTCCCGCCTGGAGGGGCGTCGTTTCACGCCACGCCATGTGTATCGCGTTGTGGTCGCTTAAATATCCCCCGCGCGGTACGCTTGTCATTGGCGTCGGACTTGAATAGATGGGGCCGTGTCCAAGTCCTGTCATGCGCGTCGGGCGGTGGAGTGTTGTCTTCACCGCTGGCAGCTTTATCGCCGAAGACGTTGTTGGGCACTCGTCTTTGGACTCATCGTTTTCGTCCCCTCGCTGGATGTGGTTTACGTAGTTGGGACGGGGTTTTTGTTGGTGATACCGACCTTGGGCTGATTTTCGGTGGCAGGATTCGTCACGTTGGACTTGCGACGGGTTCATGGGAGGGAGATTCTGAGAGGGATGGTATACGGTGTGGTATGGTTGTGGTTTGTTCAAAATTTGTTACTGGTTTGTGAGTCCCACAGGTCATGTGAGGTTTGACCATTCTGAGAATTAAGGTTTTTGGCGGAATCTCAAAAACGATATTCATTTCCTGCTCCGACTCAAATACTTACATAAATGATGTGATCATTGAGCCAACTAACACCCTCACTGTTCCACCCAACATGGCCAACCTCGAAAGATCTGCTAAGCCTGTTTCCCAGTGGACCAATAAAGAGCTCCTGGCTTTCAACATTCGAATAGAAGACGCTGGAGTTGAGGCCTTTTTCAATATCCCTCAGCTCCCCCCACCAACGGCTTCTACATCAATTTTGGATAATCTTGACGAGCCACCTGAACCTTTACTCGATGTGGACCGTCTATTCTTCGCTTATAAATGGTCAACAGGATTGCCGGGTTCCAACATTGATTTCACTATGTACCTCTTAAGAGTCTTAAACTATGAAAGCGGACGTCGCCTGCTCGGTGTCCGGTCAAAGAATCCCTTGCTCATGGCTGGTCGGCGCATCATTGCAAATATTGATTTGTTCCTGATGAAAGTAGATGAAGATGAGTATCTCTTGATCGTTCACGAGGACAAGGTGAGTTGTTAAACTGGTACATTTCCAAGGTTGACTGTGCTATTGTTAGCACCCAAAGCAAGATCCCGAAGCACAAGTCATCGCAAAGGCAATCGCCGCCTTCGATCGCGATAACAATCGACGCGTGGAATCAGGTTTACAACGCCTGCCGGACAAGGAAATCTGTGCTATCGTCATGAAACGCACTGCACCCATCTTTTATCGCGTTCATGTTACGACAGCACTTGTTGATGCCCTTGCCGCGGCAACCTATCCACAGGAAGAAACAGTGGTTCTGAGGTTTATTCCACCTGTCCCGAACCAGGAACTGTACAAAACGGAAGGAATGCATCCGCTGGCCAATCGGCGTTCTGTCTTCCAATGCCTCGAAGCCCTCAAGGGAGTTCTAGTACGTCTTTTTCCAGCAGGGAGAAAATTGCATCTCACATGTTTCTGAAGGGATATGTGTAGATCACAATCGAAGGAAAGAAAATTCTGTTGGTAAACTACGGGTTCTTTTTATCATTCGCTGAATTGAAGTTGCAGCGTACTGGAAGTATACTAAGTCGATGAAAAGTAATACGTATGCTACAAAACCTGTTTGAAATAAAGGACATCTCCTTTGATCCCACTCTTTCTTTAAAAGCACTAACTGAGACATAGAATACCCTCACTGCTTCACTCAACATGGCCGACCTCGAAAGATCTGCTAAGCGTGTTTCCTAGTGGACTAATAACGAGCTCTTAGCTTTCAACATTCGAGTAGAAGACGCTGGAGTTGACGCGTTTTTCAATATCCCTCAGCTCCCCCCGCCAGCGGCTTCTGCAACAATTTTGGATAATCTTGACGAGCCACCTGGGCCTTTGCTCACAAACGACCATCTATTCTTTACTTATAAACGCCATGCAGAAGACCCGCTCTCCCTCGTTGAGTTTCCTATGATTCTTTTGAGAAACTTAGGCTATGAAAACGGACATCACGGCATCAGCAAAACAACGACAACATTGGATCACTTTGTAGTCTTTGTAAGTTTCACAAAACCTTACGAGGTTTTGCGTCACCTTTCAATGTAGCATAATCTTAAAGTAAAGTATAGAATGTACGCTGGGACTATTTGACATTATCCAATGTTGGTACAAAGTTGTTGAAGGGATTTAAGGTAAGTGGCATTTTGTTGCGACATTGGAAGGTAGGTTAAATTATTTTGCATAATGTATAGTCATACCAACATACAATATGAAGCTCAGAGTTCAATGATAAACATAATTACAAGCCCATGACAAAAGCTGGCAGCCTTTTTTTTTTAATGTTGTTGTAGTCCGTGGTTTGTGGAAAGATAAATATTGTCAAGTTCTCGTGAGTTCGAGCGGAGCTTTAATTCTGTGACGTCATAGTCTTTCACGCCTCCCCGAAAACATACTTATAAGGACAAAGTCGAACTCAAAACTATTCCGAGTACCTTCCTTCCCGCCCCCTTCCACCTCCTCACTATTATGATGCGCTTACTTATTTATGCTCGTGCAACCATCCCCAGAGTCCACTGCGCGTCCCAGAGCGACCCGGAGCCGACTCGCTCACCACTTGGCAACACCACGTTCTGGCGTGACGGTAGAGGTTTAGAGCACACTTTCTTGGCGAGCCGTTGGCGGGAATGGAATAGGTCCTGAGGTAGGCTTTCATAGTGAGCACTCACACCTTCTTTTACTTGCGCGTTCACGCTACGGTGTTTTCAGGCGCATATATGCGAAGGGACTCAGACGTGTTTGTCGGCCAGAGGTGCTCCCAGTAAGTCAATTTCCCATTCCCCTCGCTGTTATACTCAATGGATATATTACCTCGTCGCTCACCCGAGGCCAAAGGCTGAATTTGATGGATTTGGATTTCCAGGGACGTCATCGTGATCAAACGAGGATGGCATGCAAAATTCGACGCGTATGATGGAAAGTCGAATACCGAGTTGAGCTTACTCCGAAACTTCTACCGATTCACCTTCCATTTTCATGGTTGGTCATAGTGTTGCGCACTTTCTGTACTTTCTGTCCATTACATCCAATACAATTTGATTATTCACTTCATTCGTGTTGTTTTGAGAATTATCAGTTAGGGCAGTCAAATGGGTCCATCACTGATGGGCCAGCGGCGTGTGACAGGCGCCCATCAACAGTGGGCCAGCGGACTCGGCCGAGCTGTCAAAAATTCGGCCTTGGCAATGACTGGGCCGAGACTCTAAAATAGGCCATGCGAGATGGGTGGGCCGCGAGTACAGAACCCCATAGAGGACGGATCGGCCGACTTTGCCCCTGGCGCCCATGGGTTGCGCCCAATTGCGCGGATCCCATTGTTGCGCCCATTCGTCTTTGATGCAGTTAACCAGAGTGCTGCCTCGTTAGTTTCACTGTGGGGGACCACGTAGGAGAAAGTTAAATAGATATATTATTTACCTGTTGTGGGTTGCGCCCAATTGCGCGGATCCCATTGTTGCGCCCATTGGTCTTTGATGCAGTTAACCAGAGTGCTGCCTCGTTAGTATAACTGTGGGGGACCACATAGGAGAAAGTTAAATAGATATACTATTTACCTGTTGTACATCTGTGTTGGCGGCAGCCTCGTTGTTGCGCCTGCAGGCAACCACATTTTTCTTCGCCAACCAGCCAATATTCCCCACCCATTTTCCCCGGTCTTGCTGCGATGCTGCAAGACTTGAGTAGTTTCAAGCTCACTCAAGAAATAGCTGACTTTCTCAAAGCTAAATTCCATGCTACCCTCCATGGAACAGCACAAAAAACACCCTTTCCCCTGCACTGGACACTGGACCTGTTGGATGACTGCAATGGGATAGTTGTTGTTTTGGTTGAGGCTTTCAAACACCCAAGTGCGCCACGCCTGCTCACATAGTAATTGGTTGATTGATCTCTTCAAGTCCGCACAACATGGGATGCCACGAGGTATTGCGATACCATCGGCGCCGCCCTGACCGGACAAAATCCTAAAACAGAAGAGAAATCTTG